TAGCTGTGATAATCCATCAATTCAGCGTCACACTTAGGACTTCTCACTATTGCTGGCGTTTTGATATAGAACTGTGATAATAGACTGTGATATTAAATTTGAACGGCAATTTCTTGCAGATTTCACCCAGCCAAAGTTTCTACTAATGCAGATTAGTGATATACCCAGACCAAACCTATACCTAGCACGTGCTACCCTACCTATACCTATACCCAGTCACGTGCTACCCTACCCTACCTATGGTCCGTGCGACCCTACCCTACCTATACCTATGGCCCGTGCGACCCTACCCTACCTATACCTACGTCCGTGCGACCTATACCCTACCTATATCTAACCCTAGGTACATGGTACCCATCCGCCAGTCTACCCTCACGTGATATATACTGTCTACAATTTTGACGCTTATGTTGCTAGTGTTGATTTAAGGCACGTAACTTTGTATTCTCTTAAGCTAGGATTGTTGCTAATTGCATAGCAAGCTGACAACCCTTAACAAGCTAAGAGATAGCTTGACTAGTAAGACTCTGTGATTAACGCCTAAGGAGATCTTGTACAAGGCGGGCCTGCTTCTACAATCAATTAATAGTATGTGGTGTCTTAGCTGTCTAGGCTGCTTCTATACTAGTAGCTGTCCCTAGTGGAGATAGTGTTCTAACTATAGTAAGGCATGTCAGGACACGCTCTACATCAGGAAAAGTTTTTCCGTTGTCGAAATCAGGAAATCCTGGCATTGTACTGTGGGCAACAGTAGGACTTATAGGCCTACAATAGTTATTTAATGTGTATTCAATGTCTAGCTAATTTCAAGCTAATAGCTCTAACAGTCCTAACAGCTGCAATAGCTACAATAACTCCTAATCCTGCTATAATAGTAGCTCTACTTAATAAACTATACTTTTATTATATTAATATACTACTAAGTCTCCTCTTTAAAATAAGCTATTAAACAATATTATAGGCCTATTAATAGAATAGTTATTAAGCATAGAAGGTTTTAAGCTTAATATTCCTTGCTAAGATACTAAGTTAAGATTCTTTGCTAGGGCTCTAGCAGCCTAAATATTAGAAAATACAAGAATATTATTCAAGAATAGTAGGTAAACCAAGAATTCTACGCCTAGGCCTACCTGTTCTGCAGTGTGTGCTTGTTAGCAGGTGCTTTGTTATGTGCTGTTGCAGCTGCTACGTCGTGTGCTGTTGCAGCTGCAGCTGATATATTGTGTGCTGGCGCAGCTGCAGCTGCCATGGTGTGCTGTTGCAACTTCAAAACACAAACCTTTAACAAACAAACCTTTAACGCTCTATAACTCACGTTGTAGTAGGCCTACAATAATAATTTTTTGCTCATTTTAAAGCTACAATTTCGCTCTATCTGTGCATGAAATTTTGCAATTTTTGAATATTTAATACTAGTGCTAGCAGAACTAAGGGTAGCTATGTAACAACATTACAACATTATTTTAAGTTTATTAAATATAGGCACTTAGTAGTTTAGCTGTTAGCAATATTAGCGCGAAATTAGGGCTGTTAGGCGCAAATTAGGGCTGTTGGGGCTGTTGAACAGCTGTTGCACGACCATGCCACAACTGTCAGCAACAGCCAGTCTGGGCCGGATTTCGAAAAACTTTTCCCGATGTAGACTGAATAGGATAAGCCCTGTTGCTTAAAAACTAGCCTCAATGTTACTCTCTAATAGGGCAGTCTGCCTAATCCTTAGGTATATCTATAGGAAGTTATGCTTGTCTACATAGAAGATACTTTAGTAGGCAAGCTTAGACACCTTATGTCTATACAACATCTTAAGAGGAGAATAGCAGCCAACGTTAAGTGGCTAGAGGAGGTGTGACGTGTGAGGAGGCATACAGAGAGTGATAATTAGGTTGTCTACACAGTACTGATTAAACTTAGGTGTAGTGTGGCTGCTGTGACTGTTAAGAATAAGTAGCTAATAAGCACCTGATGAGCAAGTCTGTGTGTGCCTAGTAAAGTGCTTTACCTAGTTAAGGCTTAGCTTATCTATTGTCTAGCTGTTGTCACTAACAGCAACAGTCTAGTCAAGTGGGAGATATTAATACTAGCTGGCCTAGTGGAGCTTCCCTGCTAGTATAAGGAAGGGTGGGATAGACTAACCTAACGCGTTAATACACTTAATTATTATTACCTGCTTACAATTGCCTAGCTAAATAACTATAGCACGACTAACTAAGTTAGATCTAGTAAATACCTTTAATATTAAAGCTACTCCTATTATAAACCTAGTCTTATTATAAAGTTATAGACGTCCTTGTTAGGTATTCTATGTGACGCGTGTCTCCTCTACTAGCCTAAACCACGCGCTAATCCTGACAGGATCTTCACAGCGTGCCCTCTAAGAGTGGAATTTCCTATTCTATTTTGTCTAAAGCTCTAGCTGGCGGTTAATAAAGCGTGACACCTAGCACTTGCTGATAGGTGGGGGAGGAGGATCTTAGCTGCAGCTAGTGAGTAGCGCGTCTGCTATGCGTCGTACGTCAATAATCTAGGGTAGAAACCTATAATAGTTAAGGTCTAAGATCTACTAAATAAGGGACCCCTCTTTAACAGGGCTAAGCTTTTAGTTAATATACATTGCCTTGTTTTTAGGGAGGATACCTTAAAGGCACGTCTAAAGAGTTAATTATAGGGTATTATAAGCCCTTACAAGGGCACAGAGGGACAAAGAAGGTCTTTTCTAAAAAGATATAATAGTAAGGTTTAATCTGCCTTCTTAAGAAGGCTGTATAGGTTGTTAGTGTAGTATTATAGCTAATAGGATAAGACACGTTAAGCGCGTTTTAGTGGGGTGGCTAGGATACTAATATGGCCAGCTTACTAATAGAACACGTTAGTTAAGGAGCTAGAAGCAAAATCAAAAAAAGCCTACCCTACCCACCCGCCAGCCTACCAACACCTATTATCATTAATTAGAAAAGCCGCTATGCCAATGCTCTTAGGCATTAAGACAATAGCCTGCAAGACATTACAGCACACACAACAGAACTAGTAGTCTAACAAGAAGATTAAGCTCTTAAAATAGTACAAGAGCTAGGACTTAGACTAGGCACCACACAGCAGCCTAAAGGAGCTAGACCTACTAAGAGTTATCCTAGCTAGACTGCTTTCTATCTAGACAAGACATGGCAATTTTGCTTAGTACTACTAAAAGTAAAACTACAAGGATGTAAACCTTACCTACTTATGCAGGCAGGTAGGCTGGCGGAATGGGTATACTCCAACGTCCTTCGTGGGTACCCCCCAAAACTTTGTCAATAATACATGGATTCTAGCGAAATAGGGCTTAAAAGAAAGAGAAAAACTACCTCTATATTTCTGTAGTAGAGGGTTTTGTTATAACTATTAAACTGCACAAGCTAGAGGCTAGAAAAGGTTAAAAAAGGGGGGGTACCTAGCGAGCATACCTATTAATAGGTATACTTTGCTAGGTAGTGTTAATAACTTAGCTAATACTAGGTGGTATAAGCTAATTCTTTTTTTATTAGAAGGCGCAATACTAGGCGCTTCTATTGAATAATAGATTATGTAAGCGTATCTCTGCTAGTTAAGAAGCTATAAGCCAAAACGTAAAAAAGCATACCCTACCCATCCGCCAGCCTACAGGCAGGACAAGACTGTAGAGCACCCTGCGCTCTGTCGCAAGACGCTAGGGACCTTTAGTAGATAGCCACTATAACTACCTATACCACTATTAAGTTAGGTAGACGGCCTAGCGTACACTGCAGTGCTAATAAGGGAGCTAAAGGCCTTAAAAGCGTTTATTAGACTTACACAGTACTACAATAGAATCTACCCCTGCTAGCACTCGCAGCCCTGCAGCAGCAACAAGCCATGCAGCACGTTAAAGGCTTAGCTTAACTGCAGCAGCTGCAATACTCCCCACCCCTCCGCCTCCCATTCTATCCCCTCCTGCCCCCCTCCTACCCCTACCCATAAACTTTCTCTCTCTCTTAGCACATGTATGCCTTAAATTGCAAGGAAATTGTCCTGATATACACGCACTGCTTAGCCTCCCTAACTAGAAGAGGAGCTGTAGTTCTAAAATAGTAGTAATAACTGCGCAGGCAAGAAATGCTTTCTAAGGCAGTGTGCTAGCACTGTAATCCTATAGCTTAGCACGTCTTATATGCCCTTCGGGAGGCGAGATGGTGGACTTCATCCCCATCAACTAGACGTAAAATGAATACCAACCAGCCAACCAACCAACCAATCCCAGGTCACAAGAAATGCCAACGGTCCCACTCATCGATTCACGTCTGAACTGTCGTCGCTAATCCTTTTGACAAGCGTCGATATCTTTGGCCACAGTTCCGGTATTCGAAACGGTTTCGAAATCGCAGAATCCATGCCAGCGGTCAGAGCCTGTTCCACTTGCTCCATGCGTGCATTCGCACTGACCGCAAGAATGGGAAGCCTCGTGTGTGAGTCCAGTGGTGGAGGTTGAGACAAGCTGAGTCCATGGGACGACGATATCGTGCTGGCAGATGATGCCGTCAGCTGCCTCGACAGATTCGACGGCCTCACCGCTGGCGGTGCCAGCAGACCCTGTGCCTCGTATTCGCGAATTTTCTGAGCACAAGTGAGCCCATCCATCACAGGCATCTCGATGTCCATCAGCACGAGATCGATATCGTATGTGGCTGGTGTCGCAAAGTAACCTTCCTCCTCTTCTTTGCCAATCTTGTTATGTGCGTTCTTCGGTGTGCCTCGCCAGTACACACTGCCCTTCAGCCAGTCCAGAGCTTGCTGGCCATCGCCTGCGACGCTGATGTTCCACCCGAACTTCGCCAGTTGCTTCTTAAGTACTTTCTGATTTACAAGGTTGTCTTCAACGATAAGAATGTTCAGCTTCACTCTTCTCATGGCTTCCTCTGTAGATTGTGTTCTTTGTGCACCTGGTCGAATATTTAGTGACTGGCCAGCAGGTGGCGTCGCCTTTCGCGTGCTGACGAAGAAGGCGAATGTCGAACCAATATCTGGGTCAGAGGTAACGCCTATGGCACCGCCTTGGAGAGTTGTAAGGGACTTCGAGATGAACAAGCCCAGACCAGAACCTCCGTACTTTACATGCGTGCGGGGAGTTGCTTGGCTGAATCTCGAAAATAGCTTGTTCTGCTCGTCGTATGTCATGCCACAGCCCGTGTCTTGTACTTTGAGCCAAAGGTACGCGAGCTCGCCGTTACCCCATTCAGGTCGGCTAGTGAGGTTCTGCGGTTGCTCGCCAGAGTGAGTGAAGGTAATAGATTCCCACACTCTAGGTGGGCGTGTCGGGGATGCTCCAAGTGTGACTGTGATCTCGCGGACAGGCCGATCCTTGGTGAATTTGATCGCGTTGGTCCTGGAGTAGGCGATTAACAAGCGACATAGTAGGTATAGAAGTGACTTACAAGAGGTTGATCAAGACCTGAAGCAGCCGTGACGGATCCAGCATAACCCAGTCGTGCCCTTCAAATGTCGGGTCTTTCCGAAATTCGAGCTTGATGTCCATCTGACTGCACTCTACATCGAACATCTTCAAAGCTTCCGACACGACCACAGTGGACTGGACTCGTACTGGGGTGATGAGTATAAGATTCGAGTCCAGCTTTGAGAGCGTGAGCACATCGTCGATGACGCGCTTCTGGTGCAGAGAACATGAAACAATGGTTTGCAAGGAGTCAATACTGGTCACGACCTCGTCTCTAATTCTCTTGAAGTCCATGTCGTCGATTGGGGTTATCCCATCGTGCAGTGGCAGTCCTTGCAATGATGCTATGACAGAGTCGGCGCATTGTACTACCGCAGATAGGGGGTTACGCAGCTCGTGCGATGTCATGTCGATGAAGCTGCTGCTAATTAGCGAGGTCTCTCAGGTTGTGGAATAAGCGACTATACTTCTCTTGTTGTCGTTTCGCTTCCAGCGCTTCCTCTGTCCGCTGCCTTTGTACAGTCTCTGCCCACTTGAATTGCTAGTCTCGTTAGTGCAGGTCCACGAATGAAAGTGTTCAAGCTTACTGATATGTCAAATAAGGTACCTAGGATGCCTAGACATCGTCAGTTGCAAGCAGTCCTGTCAGATGTACAGCACTGACTTGTGACGTTCCCGCTCTCATCAAGCTCTGGATAATTCGAGCTTTGCACCCAGATGTTCGAGACGATACCGTCCTGGTTTACCCACGTCTCCTTCAAGCGGAATTGTACACCGTCAGATTTTTCTCCTGCCAACATATGCGTCCAGTCGTCCTCGACTTTCTTAATATCCTCGTCCGCAACTAAGCTGAACCACTCGAACTCGTCAAGAGGCCGACGTGAGTGTCCAGTCAACTCAAAGAACTGATCATTGACATAGTTCATACCTGTGACAGTAAGTATTGGTAATGATCCGCAACTCTCTCCGCACGGACTCACCCTTCTCAGGAACGAAGATGTAGATGGCGATCGGTGAAAGCGTCGCAAATCTTGCAAACTTCTGCTCTGATATGCGTGCTCGCTCAAGCGCCTCGACACGTGCTTGTGCAGCTTCCTGCGACTTCTTCTGCGCCATGATGTCGATTGTGTTGCCAGCGATACTGATCAAGATCCCTTCATCGTCAAAGACCGGTACACATGCCGAGAGGACCCACTGTGCAGCATCACCTGTACCACGTGCAGCTTTCCATCTCATTTCGAAGGTCACTGGATTCCCGGAAGTCAGTGTATTCCACATGGACATGACAAGAGCCTGGTCGTCAGGATATACCAGGTCCATGAAAGAATATTCCACATGAGCGGGTAGGTTTCTAGGATGTGACGATAACCGGTACCATGCCTCGTTGGCGTGGATCAATTTCCCCTCTGCATTATACTCGAAGACTCCAACGTCGGACATTTCCATCATAGTCTGAAGTCCCTCCCAGCGCGCAGTCAAATTGGTGCGAGGCAATGAGTCTGCCAGGACGGACTTGTTAACTCTCATGGCTCGTAAGATCTCGTCTTTCGAGCAATGATATACCCGGCCCCAGTTGTTCACGTTCGATGTGACAACCGCCTCTTTCTCCAAGCCCGGTGTTGTGACGTCTTCGTCAACCTTCTCTTTTGGTACGATTTCCGCAGCTCTGATGATCTTCCATGTCCGATGCTTTCCTGCTTCTTGTGGGAACCATCTCCATCCTTGAAAAACATGATGCGGCTTGTGGTCTCCAAGAGCCTGCGCCCAGGACCTAAACAGGATCGCTGTCCGGTTTTGCTCTTCCACTTTTGCTACGAGGCCTTCACGGCGAAAAGCCTCATTACAGAAAGCAAACGAAAAGTCGAGTGCATGCTGCCCAACTCGGATCACAAATGTGGGGACTGGATCCTCGTCGAGTATGTCCAGATCCAGTGATGTCGTTGGGAGGGCTTGCGTGTTTGTCGACATGCCGTGCCGATCCCTTGCGATATTCTGCGAGTCCGTCGTACCTTAGCACATCTTCATAAGAAAGAAATACTTGTGGGTTATTCGACTCGCGATGGTGATGCGCAAACGCCCAATGCGGGATTGAAACAATTGTACAGAAATGTGTAGAATTGAGGAAGTCTCAACCTTGTGTGGCGCTTGTCTAGTTGCGCGCTTCACGGACCGAACTTGCTTAATTTGCCACCAAAACAACTAGCCTGAGGTGCCAGATAGTCAATTGCGACCCTGACTTCTTAACAGCAGGTGCAATTCTTCGATTTTCAGCTTCAGCGACAAGGTCTTGGTCCTAGGGAACGACAACGGACGCCAGTTGCCGACAGATGTCCTGTAAGGTCCGGACCCAATCTGGAGGGTCAGCCAATCGTTCATCTTCACACCCATGAGCTAGTCTGTGTGCGTTCCAGACGAGCGATGTGTTTTCGATCGTTTGGCTATATGTGCTGGTGGTGAGGAGTGATGTCATTCCCAAGCGTGCAGCGGCGGCTGACCTATCATCGGTCATCATTAGTTCGTTTGCCAAGTCCCGGCTTGGATTGGTCAGATCTCGGTGATCTTCGCCCAAGACATCGTTAGACCTCTCTGTGCTTGCAGAGCTTCCTAATCTGTAACTTTCTTTCATCCTAAGTACTGCAGGGAGGTCTAGAACTTCTACTGTCTCAGACGAGATCTGTACTGGCTTCGTGAGGTCCACCTGTTGTGAATACACGGAGCGAAACGGGTACAAAATCTCGAAGCCAGCAATAAGACATCTCGACGACTCACTTGTGGCGAAGGGGATTCGCGATTAAAGGAGGAGGTGACAACAGTCTTTTTAAGCGATGTGAGCTTATGGTCCACTGTCACATGCGGCAGATACACCCGGTATAGCCCCGCTGCCGAACCACCATCTACGATTTGCTCCAAAACTGGATCGTGAGCTACGTCTTCAACTGCGGATTCTTGTTCTACGCCGGGGTGCTGTGCCACTGGTCCAATGCCTTATCCTTGGACGCACAAATGCTGTCTGGGAGTATCTAGGGATTCTGTACGCACAACCTCCACTGGGAGGGGGCCTTACGATTCGCAGCGCCGCAGAGGTACAATGCAACACAGAGCGCATACAATGCTTCGAGTTTTGTAAGTCAGCTCAGTAAGGTGTACACTAGACCAAATTCAAGCCCTTGCTACTTTGAACAATAAGGTGATAGCAAGTCTGTGGCTTATGACCATCATGGAGCCTTTTCTGACATTTGTAGTGACTGCCCTCAATAAGCTGCTGCGCAACCTACGTTCTCTGGTTTCACCCTTCAGGCTCTACAAATACTTGCTTACTTCACTGCTGCGGCAGAAACTCAACGAAGCGATGATTGCCTGACTTTGAACATTCGGTCAAAGGCGACAAATAGGTCTCCGAGCTTACACAAGCCCGTGCTTGCGCTGTTCCATGGAAGACTTAAGTAACTCCAGCTTCTTACCTCAAGTCTGTCGACTCATTCCCATCACAGGATTTGCTGGGTCCAACACCAATTCGCCCTTCACCAATGGCCAACATCTCGCTCATGGCGAAGACCTAGTCGTCGTTTCTGTCAACTATCGTCTGAATGCCTTTGGCTTCCCCGGCGCTCCAGGCGCTGACACGAATCTTGAACTGAGTGATCAGCGACTTGCTATTGAATGGCTGAGGGACAATATTGCAGCTTTTGGCGGCGATGCTAAGCGTATGGTGACTGTTGGGCAATCTTCGGGCGGCTCTGCCGTGGACTGGTGGTCTTACGCTTACAGGAAGGATCCTATTGTTCATGGTCTGATATCGACTTCAGATAATGCCTTCAGTTTTCCTATGAACACGGCTCATCAGCACAGAGACAGTTGGTCCGCCCTCTCCACGGCGCTCGGCTGCGGATCAACAGGTGACACTATTACGTGCATGCGATCAAGCAATATTACCACCAAGGCGGTCACAGTGGCCGTGGCCAAAATTCCTCCTAGTCCAGGTGGAAATCCAGTTCGATCTACGCCACCATTCTACCCCATGGTGGACAACCAGACCATATTCGGTGACTACCTTTTTCTCTCTTCGACGGGCAAATTTGCAGGGTTTCCCTACCTTCAAGGCCACAACGACTTTGAACAGGGCTACTACATCATTTCAGCCTTTGCCCAGGGTCGCAACGTGACTGCTGCGCAGACAGCCCAATTGGCAAAGACCAAGATTCCCTGAGTGCAGAGCACGGCCTGCGAGAGTGGCCTCTTACCAGCCTCATCGATGTGATTGCTGAATTTGCACCAGCAGAACGCGCACCTGAGCCTGCGAGCCTCTAACGTTGGTACCACGGTCCGACATACTTTTACAGCCTGACTGTAAGAGCGGAGAACTCGCTCCTGAAATACTTGCAGAGAGCGACGAACTGAACGCGCGTATCGAAAAGCTATCGCCTCGGATGAAAATGCCAGAATATATCCAGAAGATTAACGTGCCATGAATCAACGCAAACGGCCTTACTGTGCAATCTGAGGTCAACTTCCCAGAGCCTGCACATCCGGACAAAGTCAAAAGTAAAGATGGGGAGATGTAATTATTCAAGCCCGTGGTCAGTGACGAGCCAGGGACGATCAAGCGCGAAATCAGTATCCTTCAAAAGATCGAGCAGCTTGAAATAGACATCAAGGCCCTAAGACTGGTTGGTTTTGTCGCATTCGAAGACAGTAAAACAGAAGCCATGGGCTTTCTACTCAGTCATATCGAGGAGCCAACGCCACTAACGAAAATGCTGAAATCAAGGATTCCGGAAGAAAAGAGAGAGAGAGAGGTGGAGCAAGAAAAGTAAAGAGTATGTCGACACGCTGCACAAGCATGACATTATCTGGGGAGATGCGAAGGCGGATAACTTCATTGTGGACAAACATGACGATTTATGGATCATTGACTTTGGCGAAAGCTATACCGAAGGACGGGCTGATCCAGAGCTATCCGACACATTGGAGGATGACAAGCATGGATTACAGAAAGTACAGAACGCGTTACAGAACCCCGATGATAATGAATTGTCACACAAGAGCGGCTTAGACAGGAGTAACACTCCTGATCCATCGGCGACCGTTCAAGAGACTGCATCAAGTCTATTCGTCACGGAGGTCCACGGGCGCAAAAGAGGTTATGCTGAAGAAGTCCAAGAAGACCTTAAGCAGAACTCTTCCAAGTGCAGGCGTGAAGAGACGGATAATTAGATACCTATTTGCTTGAGTCCTTCTTTAGTGTATTGGGGTTTGTATGATAGTGCAAGCCAATTAGGATATCTGTGTGTGCCAACTTATGAAATGGCTCTGTGGTGTAATTTCGTATCGGAGTCCCTTGTCCGCGAGCCAAAAATTTTCCTCATTATCGTTGCTGTGACCGACAAACCTGGCGAGCTAAGGCCAACCTTCACAAGAAAAATCGAGCAGATAAGGCGAAGGCTGAGAGGAGAGAATAGGATAAAGAGAAAGAAAAAACAGCGCTCGATCTTGCAGTCCAAGTGCGCGCGCAAGAAGCAACACCATGACTTTTGGCCTCACCACAAGGCTGCTGTTTATACCCCGAACTTCATGTACTGTATATACTGTGTAGAATGGTATAGGTATTTGTACTGCTTGCTGTGGCCAAGTTAGGAGCGCTATGTACTCTCCTAGAAAGTAAGTTGCTTCTACACTCTAAATGTTGGGCGCTCTGGTAAGAGGTTAGCAGCAGAATTCCACTGCCACTTGACCATCTTGATGGCTCGACAATGACGGCACCATACCGAACGCTTGAACATTGTCTTGGTGGTCGACACCAATCTTGTGAAGACAGTAAATAGAGAGACACAGCTCGTCGAGACACTTCATTTGTGTCGTTTGTCTTCTCGAATACCTCCTGCTCGCGGCATGACAACGGGCCTTTGCTCTGCTTCGGGGTAGGGTCAGCGGTGACCAGATATCAGGATTGAGGCGGCAGTCAGTGACGCGAAGAGACGGTCCGGCGGCTAGAAAGTCCCACAGGGCGAGCATTGCGCTCACAAGATATAATGGAAAGCGCGTCTGTGCGCATTCTCAACGGTGGGTGTTTTGTTGATACACTACCCAAATTTGGCTCGACCTTGCGCCAAAGTCTATTGCTACAATTGCACACGCCAATCCTCGATGCTCCTTACAACGCCGCACGCTGGTAGAATGATTATGCTTGCCCTGCCTCTTCCTTGCTTTTGCTTTCTCGAAAATAGTAAGCCAACACTGTCACCTCCCCTGACCTATCGTGCAGCCTCCTCAACTACATCCCTAGCATCCCTTGCTCTTTGTAGCCACTGCTGGTCCTCTGCGTCGCGACCTAGAGTGTCGCTACCAAGCACGACTCGCAGATACTCCGCAAGCCCGATTGCGTTTTCTGCACCGCCGAACAGTGTCCCTGAGCGCCTACTTATGATGCCCCACTGCTCAATGGTGTAGATGCTCCACTTGAGGAGCAGCTTCTTGTTACGCCCGGCGAAAGGTGCTTCTTGTGCGTACCACAGGGCCTCGAACGTTGCGACGAGAAATTCGAAGGGTGCGTTGAGGCGGACGAGGATGTCGATGGGCCATGTGACGCTGGAGTTGAGGATGAGGTCTCGGTTGTTGGAGTTGATGTCGTGTGTGTAGTATTCGAGGTCGTACTGGAGGAGCAGCTGGAGGACGATGTTGACGGGGAAGACGTTCTCGTTCATGTTGACGCGGCGACCGATTTCTTCGACCTTGAGCGCAAGCACCTCCCAGGGTTGTGGGATATTGGCTGTTCTGGCCTGCCTGTGGACCTGCTCGACGAGATTGGACCAGGTGTTCCGGATGTCAGGGATGTTACGATGGTCTGCGGCGTGGTAGATGAGCAAGCAAACGTCGTAGTAGCCGGCCTGATCGGCGTAGTTGTGATACAGCTGATTGCATGTTAGCCTTGAATTGAGACGTTCTGATGAGAGGGCGTACCTCGTCCAGCGGCTGGATCTGGCCGTTCAGAAGTCCAAGCACTTGTTCCTTACGAGCTGGGTCACTCGCAAGTCGATCGTCGTTTCTGAGCTTGCCCAGGATATCATCTTGGATGTTTGCAATGTCAAGGTGGTCGGCGATATTACGCAAGAGCTCTTGTCGCGACTGCCTGTTCCGTACACCAGTCTCAGAGAAGCCGGTCATGCGTGTGGATGCATTGGCTTTCGCGAATGAAAGATACTCAATCCGCTTCTCCAGAGCCAGGCCTAGATCACTCTTGGCAAGCTGGTACTGTGTCTCTGCAGCACTAAGGTAGTCGTTGTAGTGAGCGTAGTAGCGCCACAGGAGATCTGCATGAGCAATGTCCTTCTCGGACTTCTGACGCAGGTACTCCACGACGTACGGCGAATTGATCTCAAGCAGTCGCTCTGCCCAACCATTCGACATGTACCAGTTGTACAAGAAGTTCTGGAACACCTCATCGTCCGAGTTGTTGATCTGGTCGTACGCTTCGAACTTGCGCCGTGTGACCTGAGATACAACCCCATCCTGTACCGGGCCTTGGCTGTTGTATGCCTGGTCAACCGCCGCAATGACTCGCAGAATAAGGTCGTAGCACGCGGTACGCTTCTCGTAGAAGTCCCTTCGCGCATCGTTGGGGTCTACGCTTGGGTCGTCTTTCTCTCGGATCCACGAAAGGGCCTTATTTCCACGGTCCCACTCCTGGGCAACCTTTAGCGATAGCCGGATTGCACCTAATGGATCGTTAGCCTAGCCACTTCCAAGAAAGACATACACTGCAACTCACCGGCATAGAACTCGAGCTGGATGTACTGCTCAACTGTCTCCCTCAAGTTTTCAAAAGTTAGGTTCTTTGCGACCTGTTCAAACAAGCCTAGGCTGTCATTGAGCAGAAGGCGGCCACGCTCAGCATTCGCACCCATGTCTGCTGCCTTCTTGACAGCTTCTTGGCCGCGGAAGACCATGACATCGTCTGCGCTGCAGAAGCTACCACACTTCCGCCTCAAGGACTCTGCAACTGTCTCAACGTTGGAGCCCTTTGCGATGTTGCGGTTGACGATGGCCTTGACCAGATCCTTGGCGAGGTCTCGACCTTCCTTTACAGAGAAGAGAGCCTGGAAAGTCATGCGTCGAACCATGGCTTGAGAGTTAGGATCGAGCAGCTGCATGATGTCCTCCAGTCGCTCTTCAAACAGAACGAGGACGAAGGCAATACCTTCTACCATATCGTTCACCAGTGTGACCAAGCTTGTCAGCGCTCGGTGCTCGCCCTGGAGCTCAACCTCCTCTTGTCTTGATGAGACACGTCCCAGAGCCTCTGGCCCCGCAAGGCCTTCGATGAAGGGCTTGTTATCACCAAGGAACTTCTGCAAGTCCATCAAAGCACGCTGAATTTCCTGTAGCTTGCTGATTTTGACAGCTGATGTGAGAAGAGGACCTGTTAGAGTAGCCTCCTCCGCGATTACTGGAGCATGCCAGATGGAGCGCACAAGACGAGCTACGTACATCGCAATACCATCATGTCGTGGCGATGCGCGAACGTTCTCGACACTGGGTCCCTCAACTGTCGCGCTCTCCGTCAGATGTGCCCTGCCACCGAAATCGATAAAGACCTTGCGAGCAAAGTCTGTCACCTCGGGATCGGTAATTCTGGCAATTCGAGAATCTGGCCCAACGTCAGAGCCCTGGTTGCAAGCAACAGCCAGAGCAGTGGCTGCCGTCTCAGCAAGGCCGTACTGCTTAGCAAGCTTCCGGACGTCCGCCTCAGTGCCCTCTTGTCCACCACCGTACTTAACAAGAGCGGCGAAGATGTCGACGAGTCGCTTCCGTCGTATCGTCTCGATACCGAAAGATGTGATGATTGCATACTCGTTGAGAGGCTTGTCGAATTGTGTCGCGAGCTCATTGCCGAATCCTAGAGGTTCGCTCCTAGCAGAAAAAGGCTCAGAGACCTGGCCCATGTCTTGAATCCTGCCTACAAGATCCAAAGATAGGCCAGTCTCGGTATACCGTGGAGGCTCTGAGCTTTCGCGCTGACCGAGCAACCCCGAGTGTGGTGCAGAGATAAAGAGCGTCTGGTTCTGTTGGTTCTCTGACCTCAGTACGAAAGAGAAGAAGGCACCAGGTGCAAACCTGTTGCCATACTTCGTCTCCTTGAGGTATTTGGAATTGAAACCCAGTGGTGCGCCGCCTTGATACGGTTGTAGTTGGGTCGAGTTGCTCTGCTGGGGTGTTTGGCCATCGTCAGGCGGGAATCGAACGTGGCGCAACTGCATGCTGTTTGGCGCGCTTGTGCTGTCGCTGTTCCAGCCGCCTGAAGTTGTGCTCAGATAGAGTCTGCATCCTGTGGACGTTGTCGCCATGAGAGAAAGGTGGTCTGCCTCCGTGCTCGCGATAGGGCTCAGTGCCACGATCTGCATGTTGCTGAGGACCTCAGACTGGCGAACAACGTGGCTGCACATTGTCTGGAGATTCGAGACGGTTCGTGTAATGACGCATTCGAGAGTCGCCGGTGCGCGCATGTGGTAGACCTTTACGGTGCTGTTCGTCGAGAGCGTGTAGAGGAGGTTTCGAGTGTCGTCGACAACCATTTGCGTGATTCCGGCCTGTTGTGCGGTGCCGTAGAACGGCAGCGCAGGAAGGCCTACAGTTTTCGATATGTGATTTGTCTTGCTGCACTTGCTGGAAAACCACCGATCCTCTTGCTGGTAGTTGAGCTCGTAGACGTCCTCTGTGCTTCCATCACCGAAGAAAATCCGACCTGTCTTGTCTGACCCTGCGATCGCAGTCACCGTTACCCTCCTGACTGACGTCGACAAGCCTGTGCGGTACAATGTGATGCCATGGACACCCTCAGGCCCTCGCTGGCACTCGACGGCGATCAAAAAGATGTCGGTGACAGTCGCGACCACCAGGAGGTATTCGATCGTTTCGACGAAGACCTTGGCGCGCGGCTTGACAAGCTTTACGCAGGTGATGTTGCTGGGCTGCTCTTCAAAGCCAACAAGCTCTGGATTCGGGTGTGTGTAGTCCCAAAGGTAGACTTGGTTGTCCACGACCACCCACGCATGGTTGATCTCTGCAAACAGTCCCATCTGTGTCGACATTTGTGTGTGGTCCACCTGTTCAAAGACCGCCTCTGGAAGTCGATACGTTCGTAGCTTCTGGAAAGGTGCCCAGGCTGGATTCGTTGGTAGCTCATATTCGCCGGAGATGCCCTCTGTCTTTCCGTCAGCTTCTCAAGATGCTTGTCTTCCCTCCTGACGCGCTACTTACGTCCAACGTACGCCTCTAACGGAGGATAACGGTTGTCCCTGTCCAGCATGCTGTTGATCGTGCGCGCAGCACGCTCAATAGCGCTCTCGGCCGGTGGCGCGGGAGGCGCCTGTGTCGCTGGTTGCGACTGTTGCTGGGGCTGTTGCTGCTGGGACAGCTGCTGGGGCTGCGCAAAGGATGGCTGCCGTTGTTGCGCAAAAGATGGCTGCCGTACCAGCCCGCCTCGGTTCGGCGCAGGAGTGTTGATGAACATGCCCGGCGTGGGCCTCTGCGGCGTCGCAGGGACCGAGAAATTCATGATGTGCGGTGGAGATGGGGTGGATGGGCGCGGCGGCCTGGGTGAGAGCGAGCTTCAGGTGGTGGTTCGGGATAGGCGCTGGCGTTTAGGCGCAGACATCAATCGCGCGCAAATGCGGAGACGCTCCAGAAAAAAGGAATGCGCGCCACGGTTCGAGTCGTATGCGGTGCTGGACGACAATTGCGGGTGGACGATGTGCCCGAGTTCAAAGTTGATGGACAACAAAAGAGCTTGCTTGGCGCGATGACACGACAGGGATGATGCTCTGGCGCGTCTAAGCTTGAGCTTGTTGGTGGATGAGGGTTGGCATTCACTCGAGCATTGACTTTCACACAAACAAGACGGGAGTATTTCACAGGACTCAGGAGGCGTCCACCACAGTATCGATCAGATCAATCAGCGATCGGCCCATATCTTCTTCGACACCCGCACGTCAGACACCATGGCGCTCTTCAGACCCTTGATGCTGCGCACAGCTTTCTCGACCTCGCAATCAATCTGCATTCGCTATGCTGCCTTGCGCTACGCCTCCACATCAACTTCGGAGTCTGTCGTCCTCCCGCGGTTGAAGGACGACCTTAAGACCGCGATGCGCTCGAAGAACAAGCCTGCGCTTAATGTCATTCGCGCGCTCCAAGCCGAGATCATCAATGCTTCTAAGACCGCGAAACCGATCGAGAACGACGGCACGTTCTACTCGCTAGTTCAGAAGCAGATCAAGGCTGCGAATGCCACGATCGAGGAGTGCAACGCGGCGAAGCGTCCAGACTTGGTAGAGAAAGAGCAGGCGCAGCTAGACGTGCTCAACAAATACGCCGAGGACATTCCCAAGGTGTCGCAGGAGGAACTGAACGGCCTCATCGACCAGGCGATTGCTGGGTTCGAGGAGGCCAAGAGGGCGTACGGTCCCATTATGGGCAAGGTCATGGGCGCCATTAAGGGAAGGCCGCACGACGTTGAGTATGTGCAGAAGAAGATCGAGGAGCTTGTCGGAAAGAAATGAGTGCCAGGACGATGTTTTCCGACCGTACAAATGTAGTATATCGTGCACCAAGAAGGTGTACCTTGTAAGATTAGAATGCGAAGAGGAAGGCATGCTGCATGGTGTCAGACGCTTCAATGTCAACACGTATTCTGCACTTGTGCAATTGTTTGGTCGCTTTGCAAAATGTGTCTTGGCAAGGGCTTATTAGAAGGCTGCCAGTGATCCCTGAGGTGCCGCAGCCACATAGATATGTATTGACAGTCATTATGAGAATAAAGGCAGCGGCGCCGGACCGCTCGCGTGGACAGAGACCATCTCGGAAGCTGGAGTTGTTAGCGCGCTGTCGAAGACGCAGCAGTTCACGCATGTGGCTGAGGCTGAGAGTCTGGCTTGCGTTTGTACCCGCCAAACCTTGTTCGAAATCGCAATGACGTCAGGCTTCAACCTTCACCATGCACCTCTTCGGTTTTGTCCGGTGACAGCATGGGAGTAGGGATAGCCTTGTAGCAACTGAAATTGGGCAGTGTCGAGTCTTGTGCATGTGTACCCTAATGAACTCCAGGGTCTGCTCTTTGTCACATTGTCATTTCAGGTAGGAAGCCCGAACAAGGTCGCAACTGCCCAACTTCAAGATATGCCCGAACTTCATGCATGAGGCACTTGATTTCCGCATCTGAAACAGCCCGCAGAGGAAAAGCCAGCGGCTATTATGGCCCGGCCGCAAATCACGGCGCAGGCCTATGCAGGGGAGGGGCGCTTGGGCGGCGACGTCATCCGTATTCGACCAAGGTCGCACCCACACACCATCAGCACTCCTAGCCTAGCTTGCGACGATATATTCGCAGCCGCGGCCCCGTTTTCTTGCTCAACTCTCGAGTCGACTGGCTTTTCTGACACAACTTTGCGCCTACAAGTCGAACAGGACTTTCCCCGCGGACATTGCGGCAGCACCCCGCATCACAAGCTATTACATCAAAGAGGCTGGGACAGCATATCACTCGAGATACTACACCCATGGCGCATCGCTCTTCAACCGGTAATCTGGCCAGCCATGACGACGAACCACAACGCGGAGGCCAGCGCTGGGATCGCGACAGATTCGAGCGCATGAGGGGAGGCAGGGGTCCTCCCAGCCGCGACGACGAACACGATCACTTCCGTTTCCAAGAACATGACCGCTTTCCCGGAGGCCGCCGCGATATCGACATCCACGAAGACTACGACCGCCGTGGTCCACCAAGCAGGCAACCTACCCGCGTCGCAGAGAGAGATCGATTCTTCGAGGAAGACCGTTTCGAGCGTCGCGCGCCTCCCCGCCGCAATGATTTATTTGAGGAGCGAACACCTTCTGAGGTCGCAAACCAGGCACTTGCGCCCTACCGCAGGAAGTCTGTAATTGACGACGACATAAACATCGACATCAGGCAACAAGTCTCAAGGCCACGGAAGCCTGCGCGACCGCAGTACATTCGCAGACAGTCATCTCTCGACACATTTGATCGCCGACCACTACCTCGCTATGGAGATGTTGAGAGAATCGAGAGGGAGGAGTACCATGAGTATCGCCCACCTGCCAACGTCAACATTCCCTTGCCTATTCGTCAGCGCCGGAGGTCACCGGACCGCAGGCGGTTCAGAGAATCAGACGAGGATCTTGCTTATGGCGACTTTGCAGGCGGCCGAGGCAGAGAGCGTGAGGAGTTCCGTGAGATCGAAGTCTCTAGAGCCAAGAGCAAAGTGCGAAGAAGCAAAAGTGTTGCAGGCTCACGGCGCAGTTCCTCTTCTGACAGTGTTTCGGAGATCCAGCTTCCACGCGCAAATTGGGGCAAGAGGGGCAAGACAAGACTGCCGAAGCGATTGGTCAAGAGACAGGCGATCGTTGAGCTTGGTTATCCTTTCGAGGAAGATGTAGGTAGCTACGGTACATTTATGGGTGCTTTACTGACTGGAAAAGGATGACTTCATCATCATCACGCGTGCCCTCGAGAAGGAGCATATCGACGAGTGCATCAAGATCAGCGAGAACTACAAAGAGGGTACGATAAGCACACGTGCATTCAACCTCTTGACTAACACCAGTGCAGAGAAAACTACATACGTCTATGAAGAGCGTATTGAGGAGACATCCGCACCTCCTCCACCACCACCGCCAGAATTTGTGGCAGCGCCTCCACCGCCTCAGTCAGTCTATGCAGCACCTCCACCTCCAGCATCTGTCTACGCGGCACCGCCCCAGATGTACGCAGCACCACCTCCACCGGCCTCTGTCTATGCGGCTCCAGCGCCTGTACGCGCACCAACAGTCTACGAGCCATCAGTGCGCAGTATCTCACCCCCCAGACATGAGCACGAGAGGTATGTCGAGATCGAGCGCTCAGCAACCATGCATGGACCAGCGACGGCGTTCTTGCCTGAGGGGCGCCAGTTGGTTCGCCAATCAAGGGAAACCCGCACAGAGCGCGACATTCGCGAGGAGATACGTTCGCTAGAGGAGGAACGCCAACTGCTCAAGTATGAGCGCGGCGAGGATTACGATGTTGTGTATGAACGCCGAGACCGCCCCAAGGAGGTCGTTCGTGTTGACAGGGACAAAAAGGGTAGGTTAGCCCTTGTCCGCTCGGCCCATTAGAACGCCAAATTGATACCCGGTAGGACGACGCGATCGCCCGAACCCCAAAATCATCGCAGCTATGATGTCTACTCTGACTTGAGTAGCTATAACAAACACATGCTTTTAAAGAACTTGTTTGTAGAGGTAGCGGACACGTAGGGATACCTGGGCACGGCGCAAGGCACGGCTTCTTCTAACGAGATGACGGCTGGATGTTTGAAGATGATTTCGATTCGCTCTTATCCGATTTCGGGTTGGTAAACCTATGGAGAACGAGTTGTCATATAGACACGAACTGTACGATCATGAATCACGAATGTTACGCATGGCAGTGCATCACCGGCGTGACGGACATGACGTGCTCTTAATAACTCCACTGTAAACAACACGCCTGCATCACACACCTCGCTCCATAACCCCACTTCCGCACCCACAGAGCCTCACCAATGGCTGCACAACTATGCCCATCTGCATAGAGTGCCGCTACCCTGTCAAAACCCTCTACACCGAGTACTCGAAAGCGGACGACCGCGCGCTAGGGAAAGGCGTGCGCCTCACACAATGTCCGCGCTGCAAGAAGTTCGCCGACAAGTATGTCGAGCATGACTTTGTGGTACTCTTCATTGATCTGGTTCTAATTAAACCGCAAGTGCGTAATCATTCTAGGACGGGCTTTGAAAGGGAAGCTAATCAGACAGGTCTACCGCCACCTCCTCTTCAACCGTCTTGGGCGGGAGGACGACAGGTTCGACGTACACCTTCCCCCTCACACTCTCGCAAGACGCACAAGATCGCTAACACACACAGCGCTCCATCCTGCGCCTCGGCATCCTCCTCCTGCTCTTCGACGTCTACCTGACATGGGCGCGCATCGAGAAGCTGCCCCTCCCTCGCTCGTCACCACACCACACCGCGACCGCGCAGACGCTCAAGAACGCAGCGATCCTGCAGTCCCAACCCCTGGTGCTCCAATACCTCTTCTTCCTGCTCCTCGTCATCCTCTCGACACTCGCATTTCACCTCCCCATCCGACTCCTCACATCCCTCAATCCGTTCAGGCTCCCAAAGGCTATACAGCCCTACTGGACAGGCATAGTACCGCACTACCCGCACCCCACGCCCCTCAGTACCGCGCTACTGGTTAGCAGCTGCACGAAGCTATTCCCCATACTTCTCATCATCTGGGACTACGACTTGCCGAGTAGTGCGACGGCGGTTAGTTGGGCGGTGATTGTGAACAATGTGGCGGCGCTGGAGATTCTCATGGATTGTGGGTATGTGAGGGCGGGCGTGCTTGTTGGTGTTGGCGCGGGGCTGCGGTGGGTTGTTGCTAGAAGTGTCGTCACAGAAGCGGGATTGGGGAGCGGATGGGACGATGAGGGCGTGCTGGGCAATGTGGAGGGGTGGGTTAGAGGTATGATGGGTATAAGCGCGTGAGAGACCAGCATAAGGATATGATACCCGTTTGCATTTCTGAATCGGGCTGGAGGTGTGCGAGAGCAGCTCATGTTGGAGCTTGAGACATGTCACTTGTGGTGTGCAAGATATTCGTACGGGCGAGGAATTAGCAATTGCAATGCTCGGAATCCCTCATGTGATGTTCGTACAGCCAAATTCCATTTTAACGCCTAGCCAACTATACAATGCGCTCAATTCTCGAAGTCCCAGCCCTACTCGCGTGCCTGTGATCTACGCACACGAGCGTTGTGGCCTCAGTCTAGCCGGCTCCTCGTCCGTGTATTTGTATTCATGAAGTACAGCAGCGTTCTATTCCTCTACCCTTGGTTGTATTCCGGTCGCAGGTCGTTTCGTACAGGCGAGATGAGAGGGTGCAGTTGTGCGAGGAATGTGATGGCCCACATGAGGTACATAGCGGCGGCCGAGAGGACGAGGGTTGATCGCCAGACACTGCCAATCGCATGTTAGCTTAATCTTCGTGTGATCACGGTCCGTGATTCCACGGGCGCGCTGCGATCGATCAGGGCGAAGGGTAGTTCCAAATCTAGTTGCGAGGTCCTGAAGAGCCCAGTGTGGCATCCCTCCTCCATGATTGTGAAGCTGGTGGCAGACCTGGCGCCTTCATCGATGGGGGAGGCGGCAAGGATGGTGCGGTCACGGCGGTAGGTCTGTAGCCGGCGATGTATGGGAGATGTCATGAAGGGTTAAGGAAGGTGAACATACGTCTGGTTTTCACCCTTAGGTGCGAGGAACCATGCTGCCGCGCAGAAGACCGCGGTAACGAGAAGTCCGATGAATGGTGCCCAGCTGCGTCTGTTAGCTTCGATGCGTCGGCTCGGGAATGGCGCATTCGTACCCGTTCGCCATACTGTCTTTCACGTGTCGAGAAGTCGGGAGGAGCGTTTGGAGGCGGTAATTCGACGATGCGGCGATGCGGTAGCCTGCTTGAGGCTCGAATGCGATGACGCTTGTCGCAGCGAATGCTTGGCGCCCTAGTCGTGATGCGCTCTGGTCTTTTCACCGGATAGTGCTGATCCAAGCATCGATGCGGTCATCGCTGTATTGGGCCCTGAGGTCGTTCCATTCTTATTTGAACTACACAATCAACTCTATACCTTTCTCATTCGAGTCACTATCAGAAGGACACAATATTCAGCCCCGGCGCACTCCTAATCTCTAAACGGCAGAACCTTCCTTCCGGATGTGTTCAAAGCATGCGGAGCCTTACTTCAACAATGCTTTTGGCCTCACCTTCCGGTTTGAACGACTGCAAACCTACAAATCAGCTTCAGCGTATGCACCAGGCTGTCTGGAGTACAAGATGTTGACATGGAACCTCCCCGCACACAGTACTTATACCTCCTCGTGCATTGTTGAGGATTTCTCGTTCTACAGGCTTGTCCGAGAGTTTCTGTCAAACCTCACTGTGCTGGCAAGACGATACTTTAGCCCTTGGAACGCCGGTGAACGCCCTATTTGCTAGGAGGCTGATGTCCAACCCCGCGCTGCGACGGCAATCATACTACGCGCCATCCCTATTGATTCGTATGGTTCACCAGGCTGCTCAGCGTATTCATGTGGTGGAACGCACCTCTGCACTCGGATGAGGCTTGCTACTCACCAATTGTCCCACCGGGTTTCGGTGTGATATCGTGAATCCTTTCCCAAAGCTGATGAAAGTGGGTGAGAAGGCCACGCCGCCTTTTCAGCTTCTGCCCTGCATTGAGGGTCATCGATGGGCCCCCGCAAGCCGGAGTGCAGCTTCGGATATCAAGGAGCTGGAGTTCCAGAACCTTTGCTGTAGCCGGGCGGGCAGCGGCTGGGAAGGACGAGCGCAATGCTCTATGAATAAGAGACTCTTTAACGTTCACCCCGACGGGTTCCGGCCGCATCACTATGAACAGACCGAGCACTTCATTTTGAAGTTCGATTTTCAATACGGCGTGTTGTCCATTCCCGTTGCTCCTGCCCTGGACCTGGACTTCCCCCAAACTATCAGATGCCATTCCATTGCTACCAATCTACTACACAGCTTCACCGGACAGATCGCGTTCTATCTTGAAGATAAAGCGACCTATCGGACTAGCTTACGCCTCTCACGGTGGGAGCTTGACCAAGCGACGATAGTGCTACAGCCTTGTAAAATGCGCTGGCACGCTTAGTTGCAGGCCTGCATCTATGTGCGCTCCTGCCATATGCACACTGCGGTAAGAATTCATTCAATCGCTGCGAATTAATCTCTAGTAACAATTGAATGAGGCGAGGATTCCATTTCAAGATGCACATACGCTATCGATCTCCGCTTACATTCACGCAGGTTCTCAATCGTCGAGCCAGCTTAGCAGGTGACCTGACAAACGTACGATGAGTCAAAATCTGTACCTTGGCTCTATACTTCCTGAGGTCTATCCAACCGTCCTGTTGGGCAAAACATTGCCATCAACTTACCGAGATGTTGTACAAGTTACACAATGTTGCACAGCGGTCTTCAACCAATCGATGGCATTCCCGACATTTTTCAAGCAGGCAAACATGTTGCTGAACGTCATACATATCGGAACTTTTGGGGCGGTTGCCTTACTAGGCATTGGTGTACGCTGTATACTGCAGCTCTGAAAGCGGATACCGGTATGCTGAGTGGTCGCCCCGCGAGCTAAGCGCAGCGGAGAGTACGTTTTAAGTTCCGCTGGATCCGCTTCCTGTTCAAGTTGCACATTTCAAATTCCCTCGCTTCCTGCTCTCAATCGTTGAGCATCACATCCTGCTGCCAAAATGGATTTTGATGATTTGGTGATAATCGACAATGACTTCACTCCCAGCGCGTCTACTGACATCTCTGCTCCTGCGAAGCTAGACCTACCGGAGAGAGACATCGACTCGGATGAGGAGTCAAACAGTGATTTGCATCCGATCATTCATACGAACACAGAAATGCTGAGTGGCAACTATCGATATCACAACTATCTCCGAGACACCAATGACAACTGTGCCTTCTGCCACGACTTCCTCCTTCAGGCTTACCGTGAGGGGCGTTTCCGGGCTTTTACCTCACCACCACCACCACCGATGACTTCTGTGGGTCGCTGTAAATTCATCATGATCTTTTGACTGACCACGCAGCCTCTACCGCCGCCACCGCCTCCTCCACCGCTACCGATGCCCTTGAATCCCCCCGTGAGTCTTAACCTCGTGACTTCAATACACCAACGGCCCAGCACTGATCCACAGTAGCAAATACCTATCTTATCACCGCCACCACTACTTGCAATGCCTCCGCCGCCTCCACCGGTAAGCACTGAGGTCGCTGAATTATTTGATAAGTTGCTGACTGCGAAGCCGCCACCACCGCCGCCACCGCCGCCACATCCAATTGTGTATTGCCCTCCGCCACCACCACCACCACCACCACCACCTCCCGAATTCATCAGCCGTATTTACAATGCCGATATCGAAGTGTCGTCATCCGAAGCTTTCATTCCCGCAAACTACTTCGATGAAGGCATCTCATCCCATAGCAGAATAGTCCGCATGCTGCCATTCCGCCGCAACGCATTTGTGACATTGCACCGCGCCCAGGCCACTGATTTGAAGGCGTTTGAGTGGCTGCTGAAATACGCTTCTACCGAGACGTGGTACGAGAAGCCCAGCAACGCCGTTTTGAAGCGGATGAAACACGCAGAGCTCGCGGGGAACCCGGCAGACGAGCTCCCAGTGAGTAGCGCAAGGGCGACCGAGATGCAGACTCCCAAAGTGTGGATGTCGGCTGCTCTCACTACGCCTGCTGACGACGACGTGAGCGAGTGTAGTGCCGAGCACGCTGCTGAAAATATCGCTCTCTCCTTTCCCCAGACTTGCCAGCAGTGCACGGATGCAAAGTCCGAAGCCCTTGAGGCCACAGACTTGGTGTACTGTCTTGTATTCAGCAGCTTACAGGCCCACGACTACATTGCTCCTTCCGGTGGCTCGAGCAACAGCGTACGCCCGATCTATATGCTTGCCAAGTGCGGGAGCAGGGAGGCGGCTGTTGCTGAGATCTTCCATACTACTGGGCTCAATGGTTGGAGTCTGGTGTTCAGCTGCGTCATGAGGGCTGACGAAAGTATCGAGGAAAGAGGCGGAAAGTTCAGAAGGGTGGACAATCTGTGGATACTTGCTGACGGCGACGATGACGAGGAATCCGTCAAAATCTTCTACTAAGCATGGCAGATATTCGGGGTTGGCGTTTGTCGTTTCTTTTCCGATTGATGTTTGGGGGCTATACAGGCCGCTTCACGTTGCCATGTGCTCGAGCTTGCACCCAGCGGGTCGTGCCGAATGTTTCCGCGCTTGCATAAGCACGAGGTTCGTGGTCGCCTTCAGTCGTATGCAGTGCATACTCGGCACTGCTGTGCGGCTGCTGTCCGGTGTACAGTGTACATGGAGACCGTTGAGCTGCACCTACGACCGGTTGGCATATGCCGGCTACAGACAAGCGCAGTCGCACTGACACTATGCTCGTCTTGCCCAGCGCTTGTAGCCTCACTTACCGGTGCCACGATCATCCAATCATGGCGGACCACGATAAGTTGCTTTTTGATCCCGGTCCCTCTTGCTTCTTTGCATCCTCCACGCTCATTATCATAAGGTTTTCTTTCTGTTCAGTCTTTTGCTTTACGGAGTATAGCGTCCGGACAAAGGGATACGTTGATGGATATGCGACTGTCATAGCGTCAGGCGTCTATGAATAATCGTCAATTATAACGAAATCATGATACGAATCCATTGCAGACACAAGGCTTAGGGAACGTAATGCTGCAAATCTGCTACCGTTCATCAAGTACCTGCATGAGAAAAGCGTTCTTGATGCTGCACACCTGTTGCGGCGCACATCCAATCGAAGCCCGCGCCGCGGCTTCATCTCCGTCTCCTCGCATCTGGGCAATAATCGTCGCAGCCGTCTCGCATGATATCTCATCGGTGCTTATAAACGGCCTCGCTGTGCTCGATGGGGCTGTCGTGATTGGAGGGCAGAAACAGTCAGTTGTGCTCGGACAGTCTGGGTCCTCCATGGTAACCTCAGGCGGCGGCCTTGGGGGCGGGCAACAGCCTTGACTCTGTGTGATTGCCAGCGTGCGCTCGGGGAAAGTGAAGGCTGACAGTCCTTCTTGTGGTCGCGACGGTGGTGAAGAGTCAGTCTCGCTGGGACTCGCGTAGTACGCTTCGACTCTTTTGCAGGCTTCGACGGACCTGGCCATGATTGTGGCTTCTACTTCTAGTTCTGTTGGAGTCTTGGTTGTTGACCCAAAATGTGTTTCTGACCCGCATTTTGCTGTTGTGGAACTCGCTGAGATTGGTCGCCTCGCAACCTGCACTGGTGGTCTGGGCAATATCGGTGAAGGGCGAGGGCTGAAATCCTGAGAGTAGGCATGGCTCGAAGGCTGTATGCTTAACGAGCGCGGTCCAGCGTGGACTGGATATGGGTTCGAAATACTGGGACTCTTCACACTCGATGTTGGTGTTTCTGGTTCAGAAGGACCTTCAGTCTGCTCGCACGAACGGAGGAAGGAATCGATCTCGTCTCTCAAGATGCCGTGACGAGTAAGCAGAGAGCGTAACCTCTCGTTCTCCTGTGCCACCTTGCGGGCTGCCCGTTGCATTTCCAGCGTCGCAGTGACTCCTTTCAGTTCGTACCCTTGCACCCGAGTTTGAAGATCCTTGATCAGGTCCTTCCGCCGTGCACGTGAACGCCTTTGGTTGTCTCTGATCCGGATGGCGTCATCGACCTGCTGGCAGCTACGTTAGCAACACGATTGGCTCCGCCAGCGCAATGTGTGTATACCCACATTCTTCGACATCTTGAGTGAGTATCTTGCATGCAGAGTCCAGCTTTTGCCGAGGATGGTACTTTGCAGAGCGCCTTAAAGGCCAGGACTAAGCGCTCTTCCGAGCTCGGGATTGTCTGTGCACGCACGCTAGACGGTGTGGCAACCACTACGTTCACGTACTCCATCATCGATCGTTCTCGACCTTCCTCTAAAATGGTTATTGCGTTGCAGAGTCCCAGAGTGCCACATCTAATGCATCGCCGTTGATACCGAACGATGCTTTACCACGTCTAGTGATCCAACCTCTGATGACAATTTCACATATGCAGGTCCATTGACGATCGGCCTCCAAATATTGTGCTGGCAATTGGTCTCGCATGTCACTGGTGGCGCTCGGTGCATTTACGCTTGTGGTTTGTACCCGCAGTGCAGTAATACTTGCTGTAAAGACGGTAGTCCTGCCTCAGACGTTGGGCTTTCGCAACAACAAGATGTGCAAGGGGAGGGGACATTGCAGAGTAGCGTTGCTCTCGACAGCACATACGCGCCTCTCTCCACGGAGTCAAGAACCGTACCGCACAAGCTAGTACGCGCATTTTTAGGTAACGCTGCCATTCTAATAACTGGGAACCTGGTCGAGGATCAGATGCAGCTCAAATAGGGACTACAGACAATGGTACAGGTTTTGCTTGCACTCTGCGTGCGCCAGTCATCCTACTGCTTTAGCGGCTGGGATCAGAAGCGGGGCCATGGCGGTCTGCTGAGATCGTTTCGAACGCCGATGACATGGTGTGAATACGAGAGAAAGATTCAGACTTCCAAGCTTGGCGTAGTCGTTTTGTGGAAGTGTAGCGGGATGATGACGTGGATGCATCCAGGCTCGGGTACGTGAGCGGCTGTTCGAAAGGGACGGCGTAGTTATATTCTAAACATGGCAGAATCCCAAGACTACTTCTAGGCTTAGGAACGTGAGCTGTACGAAAGAGACGGCGTAGTCACATCCTAAACACGGCAGAATCCCATGGCTACTTCTAGGCTCAGATACGTGAGCGGCTGTTCGAAACGACCAGCGTAGTCGCATCACAGCATCGAGGCAGAACGTTGCAAAACCCTCCAGGCTCAATCCTCGATTCTAAAAAGCGCCAACATGCATCGCTAAATCCAACCCCTCTTCCTCTTGCACCACCCCAGCTCTCCGCTCCCACGCGGGCCTCACATAAAGTCCTCTCTCCAATGACTCCTGACCTTCTGCCACGCATCCCGCTCGGGCCTGCCGCCCAGCTTCTCCAGCCCGAGGCCGCGCTCAACCCACTCCTGGCCGCCCATCTCGCTGAGCCGGCTCAGGGCGCGCGCAAACGCAAAGCGCTCCTCGTCGCCGGAGAAGATGCTCGAGTTCTTCAGCATCGTCATGTTCATGCCCAGGTCGTCCATGAGGCTGCGCATCGCGTCGTCGAGATTCTCGCCCGCGTCGGCCGAAGCCGGGAGCTGCCCTTTGGTCGTGGATTGGCTCAGGGCGTCTGAGACTTCGTCCGCGGAGAGGAAGAGCTGGGTTAGCGGGACGGCGGTTGTGAGGACGAGTTTGCTCTGCGAGGGTCAGCTGCAGGCCCGGGACAGGAGAAGAGAAAGGGAAAGAAAAGAGAGTAGACGACTCACCCGGCTCTCGTACAGCGCGTCGATGAAGGTGATGAAGCGCCGCGCCAGATCGCGACTCTTGTGGTTCATGCCCGGCACGTCCGTGATGATGAAGGCCTCGTACTCCTTGCTCAGCTCGAGGTAGTCGGCGGCGCCCGTGGCGCGGCCAATGATTTCGTCGAAACTGAACCACGCACACTTGCCGCTGGCCTTGGGGACGATTATGTCGCGGCCCCAGACCTGGTGCGTCGCGCTGTGCGGCGGGTCGTGCTCGAAGTCGCCGAGGAAGCGGAACCAGCGCTCTGCGTGCGTCTTCGCCGAGGCGTCGAGCGGGTGGTGGTACACGCCGCTCGGCGGGCGCGGGATCTTGCGGTAGTCGGTCTGGCTGTCGAGGTTCAGCACGGTGAGGCGCTGCTTGAGCAGGTTGATGCAGGGGATGAAGGATTCGCGCTGGATGCCGTTCTTGTACAGGTCGTCCGGGTGGCGGTTGGAGGTCGTGACTATGACGGTGCCATGTGCCATCAAGGCTTCCATAAGGCGGCGCAGGATCATGGCGTCGGCGACGTCGGTGCATTGGAACTCGTCGAAGCACAGGACGGAGCTGCGCTCTGCGATGTTGGCGGCGACGTAGGGGATCGAGTCCATGTCGTTGCCGTGCAGCATCTTCATTTTGTGCAGGTCCTTGTGCACTGACTGCATGAAGGCGTGGAAGTGGATGCGGGTTTTGCGCTCCATGCTGGGCGGGAGCGTGTCGTAGAACAAGTCCATCATCATCGTCTTCCCGGATCCCACGTCGCCGTACATGTACATGCCTTTGGGAAGGGAGGCGGGGATCGCGGGCATGGTGGATTTGGGCTCCGAGGAGGAGAGGAAGGAGAAGAGGGACTTCTTGGGCGGTTGGAGGGATTCGATGGTCGGCTGCTGGACGGGCGGTTGCGTGTAGTCTGCGAGCATGTCGTGGAGATCCTGCAGGTTCTTGATAATGTCTATGCATGTTAGCAGGAGGTTGTGTGGGGGAGCGGCTGCGGTACTTCTCTGGTGCTCGTCGTCTCGAAGCCGGCCTGATTCGACGCGCGCATCGTACTCAGCAATGGGCCCGTGGCTTCTTTCTGGGTCTGGCGAGTCTGGACTGATCAGTTCCGTGTCGTCTCAAGCGCTTCCAGTCCACATACACTCTTGCGCCGCCTGTGCGTATCCTCTGTAGGCAGGTAGTGAGGTTTGTCGAGCAGCACGCGCAGGCACCGTTCTGCTGCCAGCACGCCCGATCCCCGTATTCCCAGCAGTCCTCAAGCTCCGCGCACAGTCCATACATATCGACCTCCTCGCATGCACTCTGGCGCTCGCCCCAGTCGCCAGAACCCTCCTCGGCGCAGTGGTGCGCGAGAGGGTCCTGAGCCCGCGCATCACCCCGGATGATGTCATGTTCGAGGCTTGGAAGGGGCAGAAAAATGGCACAACGCTTCGCTATATCATCGCAAGCATACAGACAAAATAGCACTCCCGGGGGATATCAGAACAGCTGTTGATTGTCAAACACGCGAGCAAGAGCAACCAAGGTTCACAACGTTTAGCGTAGCGCGTGGCCCACGCGGGTCGTTTTCGCTGGACCCTCGGCATCGGATATAACAGGCGCAAGCACGGACGTCGGCAATTGAAGATGCGCCGAAGTCAGCCACAACATTGTCGCCAGTGAATTCGTAACATGTGATATCAATGTCCACCTCCGTACACCATCAAGTATCTCCAGTGAATTCGTAAAGACGTGATATCAACACCTTCAGCGCCATCTCATTAACCCTCCTCCTCCGTCCCCACACTCTCATACCTCTCCCCAGCGGCCCTCGCATACCGCATCCTGGGGATATCACCAACATCAAACAAGCGCGTATAATCGACGCGCTCGCCGCCCAGCTTCGCAAACCCGCCCTCTCTGCGCCCAAATACAGGCGCCCCATCGCACCAGAAGTCCTTGCAATTCGCGACGACGCCGCGAGAAAACGGGTTGCCGCGCGCCTGCCGCTGCGCCCGGCGCTGATCCGCATTGGATCCGTTCAGCGCAATGGCGACGAAGGTGTCGAGCCCCAGGAGCCGCTTCCACTGGTCCCAGACCGAGTGTTTGGGCTGCGGACGCTTGGGCGCGTCGCCCGTGTCCTGCCCGGAGCCGAAGCCGTTGGTGGGAGCGCTGCCCGGTGGGCCTGAGCCCGCTGCGCTGCCAGCGACGTCTTGCGATGTGTCGCCCGTGGTGACGAAAGAGGTGACGGCCTCGGCGGCCGTGTGCGAGTTGAGGTGGCCGCGCATCGACTCGTAGGTGGTGAGGTTGCGCGCGATTTGCAGGAGTTGCACGCACAGCAGCATCGTCACCCAGGTCAGCTGGAAGGCGGCCCAGATGGAGAGGACGATGGTGAAGGGGTCCTTGTTGAGGATCTCGCAAAGGTCGTCGGAGAGGACGTTGCAGTCGTCCTCTTTGGGTTTGGGGAGGTGGTCGAGGTAGGTCCAGGCCAGGCGGAGCCAGGACAAAATGCCGAGTTCCAGGAACACGACGTAGAGGACAAAGTGGCGATGGTTGTTGTTCGCAACACAGTTGTTCACCCAGGGGCAGTGACTAGGCATGTTAGCCGTGCGCAGGACTCGACGTCAACGGCACCTACTGATCACTCTTTGCCACGCAACGCTCGCAGCGCTTGCAATGCTTGCTGCGCAGGGGTTTCCGGACCATGCAGTTTACGCAAAAGTGGTGTTCGTCAAATTGTCGTAACTCCATCAGCTCGTCAATAATGGCCTTGGAGGCGCTCCTGCTTGCCGACTTGGGCACGAAACCGGGGTCGGAAGTCATGGTGAAGAAGTAGAAGTAGGCCGTGAGTGCGTAACTGGCTGCAAAAAGAATGTTGATGAAAAAGGAGTCTCGAATGGTTCCTGCTGAAGTTAGACATGTCCCGGTGCGCGCACGATGAGGAGAATACCTGGCAGAACCGTCGTAACATAGCGCACACCGACCCAGAACAGGGTGCTCGCGAAGATGCCAGCAAGAAAGGGCTGGAGAGAATCAGTATCTGTGCAGAGCATGCCAAGACCAGACGTACGCTGTGGTGAATGTTCCGCATGTTCGACGGCCCCCACCGCAGCAGCTTCTGCGCGGCCATCTGCATGGCATAGCTGCTGATGAGCGACAGCGGCAGGCCCACAAACACGGGGTAGTAGCTGACCAGCCACAGGGCCTGCAGCAGAATGGCAAACGGCCAGAAGAAGATGAAGCGGCTCAGGAACCACCGCGAGTCCTTGACAGCAGGAATGGGGAACTCGGTCGGACTCGCATCGGGCCTGTAGCCAGCCTCGCTCAAGGCGCGGCGCCACTGGCGGGTCGTGTTCATCTCCTCGGCGGTCATGGCGGGCGTCTTGCCGTCGTTGTTGGTGGCGAAGCGGTCGGCGCCGTACTCGAGCAGCTTCTGGATGCTCCCCTGGCTGCCCTTGACCAGGGCCCAGTGCAGCGCGGTGAAGCCCTGGTCGTCGGTGGCGTAGACGTTGGCGCCCCACCGCAAGAACAGGTCGACGCACGACGGGTAGCCCTTGTAGGCGGCCCACATGAGCGGTGTGTGCGACTGGGAGTCGGGGATGTCGACGGGCATGTCCTGGTGGAGCAGCAGCACGAGCTGGAAGACGTTGCCGTCGAGCGTGGCCGAGTGCAGCAGGTTGAAGCCCTGGTCGTCGGTGAGCAGCGGATCGGCGCCGTGCTCGAGCAGCAGGTTCACGATGTAGTAGTTGCAGCGCTTCGCGGCCCACAGCACGGGCGTCGCGACGGCATCGCCGCCTTTGGCGTTGAGGGGCGCGCCGGACTGGATGAGGAAGTGGCAGAGCGCGTAGTGGTTGTTGATGGCGGCCCACTGCGCATGGTCAGTACCGGATATCGCGTGTGTGGGCGGTGGTGACGCACATGCAGCGGCGTGATGCCCTGTCCGTCCGTGTACGTCGCATCGAACTTGCCGCTGTCGAACAGCTTCTGGATGGCCGCAATCTCGCCCAGCCGCGCCAGCTGCATGAGGTCCTCCTCGACGGGGAGGCCGGCCGTCTTGTCAGCCATGTCGGCGAGCTCGAGCTGTCCGCTGCTGTCGCCGGACGCCATCTCGGGGGTCCGCAAGTCGGCCAGGGATCCGGGCGGAGGTGGCAGAGTGGCTGCTTGTGCGCACAGAGGTAGTCGTCGTTGGTCGGGGCCGTCACTGCGCTATGTACATGGCTCGGGAGTCGTATCGAGGACCGGTGAGAAGCGTCTCGCGGGCTGCGCATACAAAGTAGTCAGATCGTGAATTGCGCCAATGCCTTCCCTCGCAGACCCCTGCGCTGCTGCGCCTGCCTTTCCGAATCTGTGACGGATTTTGTGGCGCGGCCGCGCAATCCCGGAAGCCCGGCTCACCAGCCTCTTCACCGTACGCGACCAACAAGTGCATGACTCGGAGCCCAGTCACGTGCTGCTGCAATCACAGAAACACCATGTCCCAGGTGTAATAGCTACTCTTTCTACCCAAACGACACAAGGTTCTTCTTCCACCCAAACGACACAAGATTCTTCTTCCACCCAAACGACACAAGATTCTTCTTCCACCCAAACGACACAAGATTTTTTTTCCACCCAAACGCCACAGACACCTTGCATGCCGAAGCAATTCACGCCAACATGCCACTGAATTCACTCCCCTCCTGCAGCATTTCCTCGGCCTTGCCCGCCATGACCAGCTTCCCCTTCCCGAGCACAACACAGTAGTCCGCGTTCCTCACCGCCTCCAAGCGATGCGCAATCGTGATCACCGTGCTCTCCCTCATCTCCTCCCTCAGCACACTCTGGATCCGCTGTGCCGTCTCAAAATCAATGCTCGCCGTAGCCTCGTCCATGATCAGCACCGGACTGCGTCGCAGCATGGCGCGCGCAAGCCCCACGAGCTGCCGCTGCCCCTGCGACAACCCCTTGCCGCCGCCCTCGATCGGCGTCGAGAGCGTCCAGTTGTGATTCCCGGCAATCTTGGCGAGCACCGATTCGCACGCGCCGTCCGAGTATTGCTCCAGGGGGTCGAGGTTCTTGCGCATGCTGCCGGGGAACAAAACGGGTTCCTGCGCAAGGAACGTCACGCGGCTGCGCAGGGCTTGCTTGTTGACCGTGGAGATGTCGACCCCGTCGATCAGGATGCGGCCGCTCTCTGGGGCCATGGTGGCGAGCAGGGAGAGCGCGAGGGTTGATTTGCCAGACCCCGTGCGGCCGATGACTGCCGTGTTGCTTCCGGCTGGGATTGTGAGGCTGATGTTTTGAAGCGCGGGATCGAGATTCTCCGCGTAGCGGATTGTCGCGTCTTCAAAGGTGATGTCGCCCGTGTATGTTGGCCAGTGGGCGGGAGGGTCGACGACGCCGGGCGCCTCCTGCTCGAGGTCGAGGAGCTCGATGACTCGCTCCACGCTTGTGAATTGCATCTCTAGCTGACCGTAGATGCGACACATGTACTCTGTGTACATGACGAACCTCGAGGCTGTGATGAGCACGAAAGCTGTCAGGCCCGGACTGATGCCCGTATAGATAGCAATCAGCGTCATGACAAGTGTCGCGCTCGCTGACATGGTACTGAACCGGAACGATAGCCATGCTTGCAGTGACCAATAGAAGTGATCGTTCTTCTGGAACTTGTCCACGACCTCGATGACGCGAGCCTGGAACCGAGGCTGGGCATTGAACGCGCGAACGGTGGTCAGGCCCTCGACGAGGGCGCCGAAGTTGGACATGAGCGGGGATAGTGACACCATCTGAGATTGTTAGCACTTGGCAGCAGGCGCCTGGAAACTTGACTCACCTCCAACCGCCTCAAGCTTTGAGAGGTAGGCAAGAAGCGGTAGAAATTGTAGATGAACCCACAACAAAGCAGCAATCCGAAAGCGAGGAAAGCCGGCGTCGAGGAGAGAATGACCACGATACAGCTGACGAAGCCAATCATCTGCCATCCGAAGATGGTGAATGCAGAGCTTAATCCACCATCGACCGTGTTCATATCACTGGTCAAGCGGTTCATCAGACGTCCGACCGGTGTGACGTCGTAGAATCTGAATGTTGCATGCGCGACCTTCTCGACCGCCTCTCTGAAGATGGCTTTTGCAGCGTGGTATCCAACACCGAACATGATCAGGTTGGTCCACCAGAACAGCACGGCTGTGCCTGCCACAAACAAGAAGAAGCCCCATAGCCACGGCACAACGTTCTCGGTAGGTGGCGGTAAAAAGTCGAAGATACCATCCTTGTGCACATCATCGTAGCCCTCCCCCCAGGCTTTGATGAACCACGTTTCTGCGACATCGAGAAGACGGAAGAGAGCCATTACAACGATCGAGATAGCCCACCATCGCAGTGTGCCAGCCTTGATATAGCGCCAATATACCTTCAGCTTCACGCCACCCTCGGCACGGTGCTCGTCTTCAATAAACTTGTCAGGAATGGCTGCGGCTTGCTCTTCCTCCCGCTTCTTTGATTCCTCTTCTGACAGCGACTCGTTAGTTTGTGCTCTCTTGAGTGCGTTCCTGTCGTCTTGCTTAGTGGGTTCGTTAATGGTCGCGCGTCCGTGGTCTAGCTCCACCCACTGCTTCGTTAGTTCGTGGCAGAGCTCAGTGCGATGCGTGACCAGGACTGTGACTCGGCCCTCAACCAATGAGCTCCCAAGCAGCTTGTGGACGATGAAATCGGCAGTTTGATGATCTAACGCGGAGAGTGGGTCGTCGAGGAGAAGCACTTTAGCCTTGCTGTATACAGCACGCGCAAGCGCGACGCGAGCCTTCTGTCCCCCTGAGAGCCCAATGCCGTTTTCGCCAATGTTTGATAGATCACCGTGCTGTAATCGTGTCAGCTTTGAATCTCTTCAGTGCATCATGCAACTCACCTTGAACTCAACCATATCTGGGATGAGCGCGCAAGCTTCAAGCACATGCTTATACCGCGTCTCCTCATAAGGCTCCGAAAAGAGGATATTGTCGCGAACGCTCATGCTTTGTAGCCACGGTGTCTGAGCGCAGTATCCAACAGTCTGATCAGGTCGAGTGAGCTCTCCTGCGGTCTTGTCGAGCTCTCCAAGCAGAGCTTGAAGCAGTGCTGTCTTGCCAGCAGCCACCTCGCCATACACGACAGTCAGGCCAAGCGGGAACGACAGAGTAATGTCCTCAAGAACGTTCTTGTCTACTCCCGGCCAAGCAAACGATGCGTTCTGCAGACTCAGATCGGCAGAACCTTCGGGGACAACAGCAGAGTCCTCTTTGTCAGGCTCAGCCATGAAGGCTTCGATACGACCCATCGCGACGTAAGCGTTCAGCAAAGTCGTTATGAGCGGAGGCAGAGCGCCAAGGTACGACTCGAGTAATCTGAACAGATCGATAGCGGGAAAGATAAGATCGACACTGAGCGGCTTCCCAGCCAACTTGGTGAATGCATAGAACGCAACAGCCGGGAAGAGACCAGACCCAAACCTCATGATGAAAGCAAGAGACGTGTTGAAGATGATCTGCAGAACGCGCAGATGCAGCTCCGCCTGTCTTGACTCGAGGATTCCCTTGAGCCATGCTTCGTGCCACCCATACCAGCGCAGATGCCTGATCGACTCAATGAATTGTGTGGTTCTCTGCAGCTTCTCGTCGGTGGCCTTTCTGCGCTTCTTCTCAAAGTACACTTGGTAGCGTGCAACGACGACACTGAGCAGTTGTGTGACAGCAAGAGCAAGAACACCGAGCAGGCAAGACCAGCCAAGCATCCGCCAAATGAGTAGAGTAGACCCAATGACTCCCAGTGGCTTCACGACAATGTCTGAGAACTCCCAAAAGCGCTGCGCGATTTCGTAGACATCGTTCCGCATGAGATTAAGGATCTTGCCCATGGAGGCAGCTGCTGTCTCCTTATCCTCCTCTTCTTTCTTCTTCCTCGACACAAGCGATCGAATCTGAGACCAAAGTCTCACAATCCGGCTTTGTGGAGCACTTTTGACGGGTTGAGTAGATGCGCTAGCCTCCCCATTGGGCTCTGCACTGGTCTCGCCATCAGCATGGCCGTTCGTGTGGCCGTTCGTGTGGCTATTAGTATGACCATTAGTAAAACCATTTGTCGAATCTTCCTTTACTTCCTGCTTCGCCCCGAGGATTTTGCGGTTGAGGGTCTTCTCGTACAGCATAGTGATCAACTGACCCCGGGACCTCTCGTATGCGCGTCGCTGGTACCAAAGGTTGAACACGTTCAGTTGCGTGGAAAGTAAGCGCACGAAAAGTGATATAAAAGCATAAGTGATTGTCGCACTGCGCGGTGATCCAGAATCTTTCTTCATGGAGCTGAGCACCTGTTGCAGTAGTATTGGTGTCAGTAGAGCTGTTGGAGGTCAGACGTGATTCATCAAGTTCGCATGGTACCTTCTGACTTACTCGCGCAAAGTCGCAAAAGGTTAAGGCTCGTGGTTCGCAAAGCGTCCATGCCGTTGGCTATGAAGATCCTGCGTGTCACAGAGCCTTCCAACTTTCGAAACGCCTCATGTAGCCGTGCGTGCTTGAACTCCCATCCAAGATCCCACACATCTTCGTCGTCCATCTTCCGTGTGATCCCTTTCTGAATCAGAGGCCCCATCCACGACACAGTCATGTACTGAAGTGGAGTCAGGTTGTCCTCTGGAGTCCTGAGTTTCACTGTTGGCGGACCGTAGACAGGGCTGATATCTTCCTTGGGAAGATTCGGGTCCCGTAACGGCATGTTTAGGATGACAATGATGCCTATAAACGCTACAATGGGACCAAGAGCGAGTTGGAGACCTCCAAATTGCGAGATTATGATTGCCAATTCTGTAAGTAGAATCGAGGCGAACAGAAAAAGCAAAGACACGGAAGCTTGTCTTGGCCGCTCCAGGATGATGATTGCAATTGTAAGAGCCTGTGAGAAGGTCAGCAAAATGAACGATATGGCGGACGGAGCATTTACCCATGCAAGCGAGGGGAAGACAAAAAAGGTCGCGATAACGACAGGAAAGTAAGCGCTGCTGATCTGCTGAATGAGGCCAAAGGACGCAATTGCTAGTAAGCCATAGGTGGACAATGCGAAGCGGTGATGACGCGCATCTTCAAGCTCGTCCGTCTCCGCCTTAGACTCGCGTAGGAACGGCTTCGTCCATCGCGGGCGATATGGGTCGAGGAGCCGCAATGTGTAAGTCAACAAGACCAGAGCTCCCACGACTGCTGGTATCATAGATAGATACGGGAAAGCGCAAGGGTTGAAAGTAGCTGTTCGCGAATCCTGTACAAATTAGCTTCATATCTCTCAATGGCGACCAGTCTACTTGCCCACGGATGGCGGCATTCTGAGATTGGCGATATCTCGAATACTGGGCGATGGTACTTTCCATTGTTCCCATGCGCCAACATCGGCGTCTGAGAAGAAGCCATAGCTCAAGCGTGGCGACTCGCAAGGCAAATAATGGCCGGCGTCTATATCAATGGCGACTCCGCCCCTCTGCACTCCAACCAGTCAACAATCGAGTCAACAGGCAGTATCATGAGTGCTCGCAAAGTTTGCGGAGCAGGCAGCAATGGAACGGAATGTTGAAAGGTTGTCGGTGTGGAAGTGAGCCGCAGGCATCGAGAGCGGCAAGGGCGTCACTGAACGGGCATTAGCGCGTGTCGTATTGGCTCGTATTGGGTGGATGACTTCACGATGCAGCGGCTTCTTCAACTTTGAGAATTGCGGTTTCAATCGTTGGTATTGCACAAATATGCACTTCTAATGATCTCTTCGAGTTGGGGGGGGTTTTTTTTCGGCTGCCAGCCGCCATTGGGACCGATCGGTGATGGGTGTCAGCGCGACAAGACCCACCTGGTCACAGCCTGACAGGTATCCGAGTGCGAGAATGCTCAAGCTCTTCATTATTGATAGGGCGGCAGCTCAACCAGTCAATCTTCGGATCAAACAAACTCATAATCGTCAAACGGATATGAACAACCAATAATGTTTGCCTATATATGAATGCAGGTATGAACAGAGAGTCTCGTACTTTGGAATTGGGGATCCCTGATATCCCGAGTGCATACTCGTGCGCGTATTTACAGTTCCGATCCTGGTCGTTGAGGGTATCACAGTTCGTTCAATTGGTCTTCGCCTGCGCATTCATAGCCTGTGGGCTTCCATCCAGCTCGCTCGAGAATGGTCTCGCCTCATGCGCTTGCTGGTAGTTTGCGTTGTTCTCTGCATATGCGCCCTGGGGTAGCGGCGGGCTCATACTTGGACTCGGCGCATTGTACACAGCTTGTGGCCCCGCATGTCCGCCCTGTTGAGGATACTGGTTGCCGTACATCGAGATCGGATTCGGCGACGATGCTTGGCTGACGGGTGATTGTGGCTGGGGAGCCCATGTATTTTGCTTGCCATCAGCGACACCGAAAGGAGCCATTCCAGCGCCTTGTTGCTGCATAGGCGGTGGGTAGTATTGGGGTGGGGAGTTTGGACCTGTTGGCGCCACGGGCCCCGGGTTATACGTCGCTGGTGGTGCTGCGGCAGTCGATTTCTTGGACTTCTTCTTGCGGATGCAGAACCATGCGAGGAAGCCTATGAGCGCGAGACCGACAAGTGGACCGACGACGACACCGGCAATCCATGCTTTGCTTGACGACTTCCCTTCTGTAGGGACCGAAGCATTGCCATCGCTGGTGCCATCAGTTGGCGTCGCCGATGCGCTGGAACTGGATGATGTAGGGCCTATACGCAGTCAGTCCAGCGATCCTCAATAAGCTCAGTTTAAGCCATACTCGACGTAGTTTTCGCTTCTTCTGGCTGGACGCGGTAGTACGACCAATTGACACTGCTAACACCACAGTTCACATTGGTCTCTGGACTCGCATCCTGTTCATTCTGGTACATGTAGGCGGTGTTGCAGACAGTGAAGCTTCTCAGTGACGGATCGTCGTAGACGGATGTACTTCGACCGGTCAGTCGTGTAGCCCTTCAATGCACCAAGACACGTACCATGGGAAGGTCAATGACCCAGTGCTTCCAAGAACGCTACCATCGTAGATCAGGCTGCCGCTTACGCAGGCTTTGGGAATGTCGCAACCCGCAGAGGATGTTGCGCAACATCTCCAGTGACCGGCGCTTTGGAAGTAGGTGACGTCTGTTTCACAATTTTGAGTCGTCCAGGTGCCGTCGAACTCAACCCATCCCATGAAGCGATCATTGTTCTGCTTCCTGAACAGCTCATAGTTGGGGCCAGGAGTGATAGTAGGGTCTGCCGCAGAAGCTGACGGCGTGACAATGGATGCAAGGCTGCTCGCGAAGAGCGCCGAGCTGGCCAAGATCTTTCCATGCATGTTGAGCGCTGCTACGTGAATGCTTCGGAGAGAAAATGAAATTGGAGCTGAAAGAGAGGCCACAAGCCGGAGGCAGTGAAATAGATAGCCATCAAGCTCCGGGAGCCTTCATAACATTAACTCTCCACAAGCCTCGGGCTAATTGATCCATGCCAGCAAGATCCTCAATGAGAAGACCGGTCAGAGCCTGCCGCTGTCTCATGAGTGCGAATGCAGTGCCCCGGGTCCAATGAGATGAGGCTGTAGGCGGAATAGGCTCTGTGGCGGGTCCATACGTTCGTATTGTCTCTAGAGCTGAACAACATAGGATGTCGTGGCACCCACGCGGTGGCTGCAAAAGGTAATTTGTGCTATGCCAAGTGCGTGCTTAACACTGTTTGGTATGGTGTGGAGGTGTAGGCGCAGGGGCTTAGCATACACAGCGCAGGGCTAAGCGAACGGCTGTGAGGGCTGAGGTGTGACTCGGATACAGAATGTTTTGTTTTCCAACATCTGTTAGACATTGCACAAATAAACAAGCACTTTTAGTCTGGCACAGATGTATTTGCATGGACGAGTTCTTACCAGTTCCTGAGCGTGTAGGTGTTCTGATTGTCGCGCTGACGGCGAGACAAGGCTGAGCTTTCCTGATGCCAGCCGTTGGTTGACAGCCACAATTGACCGCTTGAACCCGTCATTCGGGCCGCGGGAAAGAAAGACGTCCGGCCAATGGCCCGGCTCGCTTGTTTATGCCGGATTGATCATAGGCTAGGCTGTCGCGAGGTACATCTCTGCCCTCAACTTGAATGCTCCCATGTCGAAGGAAGAGCGTGATCTACGCGTCGGTCCCTCATATGTACAAAGGCACTTGGTTTTCCCATCGGGCTGCGATGGCATCCACAATCCGCCTGGATGTCTGCAAGTGTGGCAGGGTCTAAGCCTCTCGCAGTATCATTTCCCCTATTGGAGCACACTAGCCGCCATGGCGCATTGGTGTCGATCAAATGGAGCTGCCCGTCCGGTGGCATGATTTTCTCGATGACTTTCTTTCCAAGCATTCGGCGTAAATGAACGATCCAGTGCTGGTAAGCTGTCGACATTTCTGTAAAATGCTAGTGATACCCAACACTTGTTAAGTCAAGTGATTGACACTATGTTGTAGATGTCAACACTTGCAAAGATATCCCCCTGAAGCCTCTACAAATGTGACTTTATTTCAACCCCTGTCTGTACCATGTATAGTACTGTGTGACTTGCATTTACGACAACCTTATAGAAATGTTAGGAAAGGACGCCACTTGACCCTGTGCCGATACACGTGTCGCAGACGCCACCCCAGCGCTGGAACCGCTGTGCTTCATGCTAGGCACAAGCGCGACTGCATGTGCATAGTCGCCGTCGTGAGATATGCTGATCTCGCACATTTGGCCGTCCAGGGTCGTTACATCGAAAGGCGCCTCCTCAGCCGCCTCTGCGTCTTCGGCTTCGCGCAATGCTTCGTGTAGGATGAGACCTTCCGGTCTTTGACTTTGATGCTCCTGCTGTCCAGCGCCATTGACCGGGAGGATGACGATATGCTGGAACCCTCTCGTATTCTTATCTAGGTGATCACAGGCTTTTCGGCATGCCTCCTTTGCTGCGAATCTGGTGTTGTTGGTCAGCTGCATACAGTCAAGTAAGCTACTTGAACTCAGTACCTGCCCGCGAGAAAATGTGAAACATTTTGAAGATTACGGGAAACGGCCTGATTACTCCCAAATCGCCGACGGAAGTAGGCACGTTCAGGATGCGTCAGGATCTTTGACAGAAATTGTTCTAAGGGCCGGCCTGCGTTGCCGTTTTCCTTCGCTTTGATTATTTGAGCAATACGCTTGACATGGCAGAGATCTGTGCCAATGCGGAAAGGATGAGGGAACGGGCGAAGAGGCATGTTTCTGAGAGTTGATGTGCTCAATCTTTAAGCTCGCGAGGCTTCGACATACGCGACCGCCTCGGTCTTGGCAGGGTCCAACCAAAAACACTGCGGGACGCAACTCCAGTACGTCAAGAGGACTCGCATGCGCTTCAATTAGCAACATCACTGTTACCACGCAATGCGATCGTAGAACAAAAGATGGCAGAAAAGTAATGTCAATCCCTGCGTAACGTAAATCCCGCCCTGCCGCAAGAAGTGAGCAATGGTCCAAGTCCAAAGGACAATATTTCCGCACCTCCTCAGTTTGCTACGGTAGCGATCTGGTACAAAGGTTATGGGATATAGTATATATTGTACATAGAGAGCCATCACAATACGAAAAATACACTGTTGTTATCACGTACATGCTACTTCGGCAAGACCACCTCTTATCGCACTAAATACTACTGAGCAGTCTAAGAGTCTGCACTAAGCCGTATTCATTTTAATACTCATATCACCTTGAGAACCGTCCTGTAGGACTACATAGCCACCCGACGCCTCTGTCAAGCGTGGTACGTAGATTCATGCGCTGTCGCCACACCGGTTGGAGCTTTGTTCCGTGAACGCATTCCATATGTGGTGAGCATGTACCTGCGCTTTACACCAAATGTGATTTTATGCTCATAGTCTTCTTTATGTCCTCTTACTGCTAAGTCTATGGCTTCTGGGGTGTGACTGCACGAAAACGTAAGACTTGATTGGTACTAAAGGTGACGTATTTCTAGAAGTTTCCTTTGTGCGGGTGGACACGGGGATTGGCTATTTAGGAAGTTTAAGCTGCTCACCTTACCTACGCGACTTCATGCTGAGGTCCTGACGTGTGAATACAAGAACATGTCTACTCGCTGCCTGAGATGAATCCGCACCTGCGTCTTGTGCCTTCGACCTGACTTTCTCACTAGCACTTCTCTACGACAGGACGATCAGATGGCTGATTATGAAATTCCAGCTGGTGTCTTCTGCATCGACAGTCCCAAGATTCACATTCACAAAATCCCCGCTGTAGAAGATACCGTAAGAGAGGCCATGATATGGATCGGTCAACGAGTTGAGACGGGTGGATCAATGAATTGTCAGTTGCGTCCAGACTCTGATGAGGAGATGGGCACTTTGTCCGCCTCAGAGGAGTCGAGAAGATGCATTCTTTGTTGCTTGTGTTGAAGAGCAAGACTGATTTCTCGCCCACTTATTACAAGAACGTAAGCTCCTGCTTGTTTCAATACGTTGAGGTGCAACAGAGCGAAAGATATCACCTACGTAAGTCCCTGCTCTAAGTCATCCCTCCTTTCACGTTGCACATGGATAGACAATCACGAACGGAAGCCACTGTACGCAATGTTCAAATCAGGAAGCCTCGAAACAGGAGCCTGTCATCGGACAGACGGTATTTCGTACTGTGGGCAGGCCTAATGCGGTGTAATGAGCAAAACGAAGAATACTGGACTCGACTTCCGCTGGGGTTTCAATTTGGTGGAGATTTAACGCCCGCTATTACAGTGCTATGCAAGTGGGTATCTATGTAAGACGAGCACACTGAATAGTGTAAGAGATATGAATAACAATGCCCAACTTCTGCGCTCTTAACATCAGAGAAATTCATACCCAAAGCACACTGCTTCTTAAGTTCACTAAGATATGATCCTAGGAAAAGGATGGTGTGTTTCGGATAACGAGCATCCATGCGGCATGCTTGCATATAACGATAAATGGTCGATGAAATCCTGGGACGAATGTAATCTTCGCAGGTACGGGCCGAGGAGAAGAGAAGAACAAACCTGTGTCCCTATGCAGATGAGGCGAGAACAGTGGTATAAGTTCTCGGTACAAGGTAAGTTTGATTGTCTAGTTCTAGAATCAACTAACAAAACGAAAAACAGGTTGTCAGTATTGCAATGGAAAAAACGACAACACCATTCAATCAGCCCTGTCGTAGGGGATTGAGAAAGCTGGCACTTAGTGGGGCTTAGGTGGACCAGAAATCTTAGCAAGGTTCCAGCCCGTCTCGGGCCCACCGACCAGGCCATGTCAACCACCACAACACCACGACCCCAACGACCAGCTCAGGACGCTCAATCTGCCAAAAAATTCGACGTTGGCAGGATTCGAACCTACGCTCCCGAAGGAACAAGATTTCTAGTCTTGCGCGATAACCACTCCGCCACAACGCCGATGGTTGGTGTTGTTGAACAACTACGATAAAATCGTCGGCGATAATAGCATATATATAGTCAGGAAAATGGTTTTGCAACCACGCCGGCAGAGGACTTGCATCTGCGTTGCGCCCGGACTCTGCATCGGACCACTCCACACCAGCAAGCGTCTTCATATTCGTAGTCGCATTCAGGTCGACCTCATCTGATCATCCTAAATACATGCCCCTCTGTGCTGAAAACCCAATCGTCCAGACTCACAGTCCCGACGTCCGTGAATGTCAACCACAGGTACTTGAGCGTCTCGGCTGCCCAGAAGCTTTCCTGCATATCGATCCAACGTCCCTCGCCGGTTCCAGGCCACTCGGAAGGCTGCACCCTGTAGACGTCTGCCAGCTGTGCGTACCCGTAGGGCGCTTTGCAGTGCGTCTCCATGGCGGAGAAAGTCTCCCAGGCCCAGTCGCGGAATCGCTGCTCGCCGGTGATGCGCCACGCGTAGAACAGCGACTCGACGTACTCCGGTCGGCCCTTGTACTCTGGGTCTGTGCTCCAGAAACCGCTTTCTGACCACTCTTTCTTCGCGCGAGCTGTCTCGGGCGCGTGGAACGGCGCCTCGTAGCTGAGCTTCGGTGTCCACGCCCAGTTCTCAGGCCCGATCTTGGATGGCGTCGATGTGTATGTGTGATGACATCCTTCAAGCAGAGCAAGCGCGAACGTTCTGAGGTATGGCTGATCGTAGAACTTGGAGCCAAGTAGGATCGTCCCAGGGGCAAAGCACGCAAGGTGCCCTTGCTCATTGTGATAGGTCTCGCCGTCCTGCTTCCCTATGAAAAGGTGCTGCATGGCATGTTCAGGCGCAGAGGCGGAACGAGTACTGAGGTGCTTGCGCAACGAGTACGCGGATTCCAGGAAACGGGTTTTGTAGGTATTGACGTGAGGATCGGACGGCGGTGCAAGAAGCGTCACCTTCAAGAGGTACTCGTAATATGAATCATGACCACCGTCCCAGTATCTGTCGCGACCTACTGGCGCGCCGGTGCTGATATCAATGGGTGCATCCACTATGCCTTTCCAAGGCGTTTTCCACTTGGACCAGACCAAAGGTGCCCACGCCAGCGTGGAGTTTCTTGCATAGACAGGGTCGCCAGTCAGCCTCGTAAGTACGCGATTCTCGAGGATAGAGGAACCGGCCCGCGCAGGGCCGATGGCAGGGTGCGCATACTGAGGCTTGTCTGGGTGCTCGAAGTGTACAGCCGGCGGATCTGCAACGCCTTGTGAAGTCTTGAAGTTCACACGCGGCCACGGCATGCCTGTCGGCGTGTCGTAGGCAGGGCCCAATTTTTCAGCCAGAGTCACAGCGTGCTCAAGTAGGAGATCGCGCGCTTCGCCATCAAGGATGTCCTCCGGTATCATGCCAACATCGTACAGCTCTACAATCGACAGCAGTCCCCCAAGATAGCGAATCGTAGTCTCGAAGGGATCTACCAGATCCTCCGTATGCGTAAAGTCGATGCCCACAATGTGCTCCAAGGAATGCGCCAGCTCGTCCCACAACTCCATGAGCGCCAGTGTGCTCGCAGAGTCTACGATGAATGCTCCCCAACCATTCCTAGTGGTCAAGTTGCCTCCCGAGACAGGCAGGATATCATCTGCGCCCCATGCATTCTCTCTGTACTTCCAGTATGTGTACTTCATTGCACTGCGCACCTTCCCCGCTCTTGTCTCCTGCGCTTTCCCTGTGCCGTTCCATGCCGTGTGCTGTATTTGCGCGCCAAACGTGGACGTATCGCGGGTCCGTACTGTTGGGTTCGAGAACTCCTTGATCAACAGATAGAAGGTGATGACCAGGATCGCGGCCAGAAGCTTGAATGACGACTCAGGGTTCTTCTCGAATTTCGACTTGCCCCAGCGGCGAAAGCCGGGCATAGTGGAAGGTGTAGATTGCCAACGTATGTATACTGGCTTCAGGTTATAGGTACGTCTTGCGACCGCATCTGTCCCCTGTTGCGGAGCTTCGGAGGTGCTGCGGAGTTCGTAATGGGATTCGGTATGCAGGCTATCGCGACATTCTCAGGCAGTGAGCGACGGAGTAGGAATAGGCGGACCGTGTTCGCTGGAGAAGTCTCGAAAATCCTGCGCGATTTGTTGTCGAGCATTATGCGTGCTTGATCGAGGCGGAAGGTGGGAAGCTGTCAAGCTTGGCAGACGCGACTTCCTTTTTCCCATTTTCCCCCGTGACGTTCTTTCCGCAACTTTATAGGTAGTCGACGTCACACATCACATCTCCAGTCCGACTCACTGCCTCACGAACAAATCCTCCACCTAGAATTCGCGCCACCCGCACCAACTGAATCGCAGCAACTGATCTGGATTCTTGAGGATTCACCCCCTCAACATGGGCGTCTGGCAGTACTTTGCCCGAATCTGCTTGAACGAGCCAGCACTGACAAGCGCATAGATGGTATAGAGGTCTTACGCCTAGGACCAGGATGTTCATGGGCGTGGGCATAATGGCGTACGCAGGCTTTGGCCTCGTCATATCCAACGAGATTGAGAAGCGCTTCGACATGACCCCGGACGAACAAGACTACGAAGAGGTCCGCCAATTGGTCCCCAAAATCACTACCGTCGAGAAAGGTCAGCGATGATTCAGCATTGGTTAGGGAATCTTCACTATACGCAATTGTGAGATCCAAGCAGAATCGCTATTGGTTTAAATATATACATGATGAAAGTCCACATGCATGGTGGTGGTGGTGGTGGTGGTGGAGGAAGAGAGGAGGAGGAAGAGAGGAGGAGGAAGAGAGGAGGAGGAAGAGAGGAGGAGGAAGAGAGGAGGAGGAAGAGAGGAGGAGGAGGAGGAGGAGGAGGAGAGCAAGGGCGGCGCTCAGGCGTAGTAGAGCCACGCCGACAGCAAGCCCAGGCGATGCAGGAAGATAAGGAAGGCGAAGGTACAGCCCAAGAACGCGAAGACGGTGCCGACCAGAGCGAAGTACTAGCCCGAGTCCAGCTTCTTATCGATGCGCACAAGGACCTCCTTGGCCTCCTCGGCGAGCACCGCGGCGTGCTCTTCCGGCCGCGTCGGCTTGTAGCCACCATAGCGGGGTGCGACATCGCCGAAGAGGTCGAGGAGGTTGGCGAGGAGTTTGTACTGCAAAGGCTGCTAGACCCAGAATCAGGAATGTCTTCATCTCTGGAGCTATGGCGAGTTTGAGGCTGGATTGAGTTCGCCTGTAGTATCGTAGACGGAGAACGTGCACGCTTGAACGATCATGTCCGAAATGTCTTCACATGCACCAGAGACTAAACTCAACAATGGCGAAGACGGTGCTCGCTGGAAGTAGAGGGAGTGCCCGGGGTGCAAATGCAGAACTCGAAGCTTCATGAAGGTGGGAATGAACAGTTTCATTGAATTGACTGGATATAGCTCCTAAACTCGCGCTTGCTACATGTACGCGATCCAACGAGACAACTGCAAAGCTAAATGAAATACCACGTTAACACTGCCCCCGGTTGCATGGGGGGGAGTGACAGAGGCGGCTTGGGGTGTGCACGTTAACCTGCGAGGAGGCGGTGGTGGACTTCATCGGCTGCCGCCTCGGAACTCGGCTGCCGCCTCCTCGACAGGACAGAGGTGACTTTTGTAAGAAAAGCGAAAGATGGCTAGTCCTCGGTGGCGGGCGCGATGGCGGGCAGATCCTCAGCCGCAGAAGACAGGGTCAGGGCGCTGAAGCCTTCGGGCGTGATGTTGACGGCGCCGGCTTGGACGAGCTACGCAGCATTAGCAACAGCTTCATTGCCGTTGTGGGGACAAGCAAGGGGGGAACTTACAGCACGACTGAGGTCGTCGATGAGATCGTCAGCGTCCTCGATGCCGACGCACAGCCTGATGATGTCCTCGGGCATGTTGCGCTCGCGCCGCGTCTTCTCGTCGATGCTCGCGTGGCTCATGCGGCACGGCATGCTGATCAGGCTGTTGACGCAGCCGAACGAGACGGAGATGCCCCACAGCTTCGCGCTCTCGACGATGCGCTCCGACACACCAACGTCGCCCGTCTCGAACGAGAGCACGGCGCCCGCGCCCCGCGCCATGCTCCAGTGCAGCTCGTACTGCGGGTGGCTCTTCAGGCCGGGGTACCGGACTTTGAATCCGTGCGATTCCAGGAACGTCGCGATGCGCATCGTGTTGGCCTGCTGCTTCTCCATGCGCACGCCCAGCGTCTTGACGCCTCGCAGCAGCAGCCACGAGTCAAAGGGCGAAAGGCCGCAGCCCGACGCGTTGATGGTGAAGTACAGGCGATCGCTCAGAGCGCTGTCGTTGATGGCGATGACGCCAGCCATCAGGTCGTGGTGGCCGGAGAGATACTTTGTGCCGGACTCGTAGACGATGTCGGCGCCGAGATCGAGCGGGTTCATGAGCATGGGCGACATCATGGTGTTGTCGACGCAGACAACGGCCGCCGGATTGGCGTCGTGGGCGGCGCGCGAGATGGTGGGGATGTCACAGATCTTGATGAGCGGGTTTGTGGGCGTTTCAAGCAGGACGAGGGCCGTCTTGCTGCTCAGGACTTTGCCGACGGCGGCGGGGTTGGTCGTGTCGACGTGGTGCACAATGATGCCGCCGTGGGTCGAGAGGTACTTGAGCAGGCGGTTCGAGCCGCCGTAGAGGTCGTCGCCGGTCACGACTTCGTCGCCCGGGCGCAGCAGGCGCGTGACGACGTCCAGGGCGCCCATGCCGGAGCCGACGACGAGGACGCGGTTGGCGTTCATGATCTTGGCCAGGTGGCGCTCGAGGTGCGTTCGTGTCGGGTTGCCGGAGCGGGTGTAGTCATATTCGCCGCCGCTGCCGTTGGCGTTGGTCTGCTTGAAGGTGGCCGACTGGAGACAGTTAGTCCAGGTCTTTACGATGCCACGGCCGTTGCAATTGCCGGTGTTGGCAGTGGCCTACCTGGTAGATTGGCACAGAGCTGGCGTTGTACTGGTCGGTGCTCTCCGTGTAGACGAGCTCTGTAGCGAGGGCATACTTCCTGCCTGCACTGCGGGGGGTGCTTGGTGCCGGCGACGGCGGCAGGTTGTGGCCGTCAATGTCGAGCACGGGGCCTTTGCTCTTGGACGGTTCGCCAGCCATTGTTGAAGTGGTTGTGCGTCCGATGGACGGGACGTCTGGGATGGACGTGTGGCGGCTCTGTAGTCTAGCTACCAAGGCCGTTATCGGTGATGACGCGGTGCAATTCGCCGCTCACAATGCAGAGGCAGAGGTCCAGATGAATGGAAGTGAGGAGTTGAGCGTCAGGGAAATCAAGTGTACATCAAGAAGCAGCAAACCTCCAAGTCATTCTGCAGCAGGGCCTGCAAGGCACCTTAGCGCAGGCGGGCTTGAGACGTGGGGAGTCACCGCCGCAATTGCGCCATCGTCGCGGACGCTGGTTCGTCGCGGCAGTTCTCGTCCGCTCAGCTGCGATCCGAGTCCGACCACCGGCGTGTGAGCTTTGCCCCAGATTCGCCCGAGCCACATTCTAGAAACGAGCGAGCCTTCACTGGGTGTGGGTTTGAAACGTTTGTCAACGGCGAGCCTTCACTGGGTGTGGGTTTGAAACGTTTGTCAACGGCGAGCCTTCACTGGGTGTGGGTTTGAAACGCTTGCCAACGGCGAGCCTTCACTGAGTGTGGGTTTGAAACGCTTGCCAACGGCGAGCCCTTCACTGGGTGTGGGTTTGAAACGCTTGCCAGCGGCGGGCCTTCACTGTGTGTGAATGGAAACAAGTCAATGTTCTTGCTGCGATCATATCATTTGCCAACGACTACCCATATCCTGGAGTATGCACACGCCTCCCTTTTGTACAGCGACGGAAAATACACAAAAGAATGTCCCAGAACCACCTTGTACGCCGATGCTCGCTGACCCAGATGCCGTCCAAACACGCCCAAGTAATAACAACAAAAAGACCATTTAGAGTGAGGAAGCTGCTGCACATGCCGTGACAGACGACAGCACCCCTCAACGAAGAGTGATTGCGGGGAACCCCTTGCGGGCGTGCACGTTCATCTTGAACTCGAAGATGCCCTCTTCGGTTCCACAATACAGCGTCCGCCCATCCTGGCTTATCGCGAGCCCTGCCGTGCGCAGGCCGTAACTTGGATTGTGTGTGCTACGGATCACCCTCCGAAGCCCTACGCTGAATTCGTACGCCTCGGTCGACAGCTGGCTGGCGCGTTCGGTGCGGAGCCGTTCGCGCACCTGCGTGAGCTGGCGGAGACGACGCAATTCACTGCGCAGTTCGGGTGCGGTTGGCTGGCTGCTACTGGCTGCAGGATTCGACGTGCTCGCACGTGCCGCGCTGCTGGCCTGGCTGGCAAGCGCCGCCTGGATCGTTCGCCAGGCGTTGTCCGTCGACGATATGATCTCGCTGCGTGTATGCGCACTGATGGTGTTTGGTGATCTCGTCGTGACAGCGTCTGTGATGTTGGTTTGCGCGTGGGCTGGCGCATTGACGGTGCCTTCGTTGATCGACACGACGATCGAGGCTTGGCGTCGAGGTGCCGTGCGTTCTCCGAGGTAGCGATTCGTTGACCGGAGACTTTCTGAGAGCAGGTCGTCTAGTGGGTCAGAAGGCACGTCTCGGGCGGCGGCAGCCCGGTCTCTGAGCACAACGTCAGCTCGCGAGCCAAGTCTAGTACGCTCGTGCCCATCGTACCGTGCAGCTTCCACATGGCTCGCCGTTGTGTAGTTGATGCTTCGGGGCCGGATCCCCCCCGGCTGCCGTGCTTCCAACGTGTGGCGTGACGTTCGCAGCGTCTCTAGAATCCGCCGTTCTTCAGACGAGAGCCCGTGTGGGTCGTCGTCAGACTCGACCACGCCGAGACGTCGCAGCGCCCTCTGTCGCTCCGAGTCTGCCTCAAAGTACTCGTTGGCTGTGTCGACGGCTGCCTGTATTCCTTCGGCGTCCAGGGTGCGACGATATCTGCGAATGAAGTCGGCTTCCCGGCGTACGTCTGACATGTCCGGAGGCAGGCTCAAGTCGAAGTCGGCGACCTCGATCCGTTCCAAGCCGTCCGCTTTGGGATCCAGAGTCAGAATCTGCTTCACCTTGAGTGCACAGCGCAGGTCGGCGACACACACTCGGCCCTGGTCCTCGCTCCAGATCAAAAAGTCCGACGGCGCTGGAGAGAAGAGCATTGTGCGTACGGCGCCGGGCCCCGCGTTCGCGTCGGGCCTTGTCGAACTGATCACGCCGAGGATGGCGTCTTCGCCGTCCTCGACGACTTTGAGGTGATCCATGTCGAAGACGGTTATGTAGCCGCACTCGGAGCCAACAGCACAGAGACGGCCAGAGGGCGACCATGCGGTTGTGAAGTATCCTTGGGCACAGGGCGACAATGGAATGTACAGGGCCACTTCTTCAAACAGCTTCCACTCGGACGGCACGGAGCGCAGACGGTCGCTCGGTTCCTTCCAGCTGCTTGGTCTGTCTGGGGCAGGCAGATGCCTCTCGAAAAAGAAGCCCGTCTGCTGGTCGCCCACGGCTACAAGAAAGGATCCATCGGGCGATATGGTGGCGTGGTTCATGGCGATGGGCAGGTCGATGCAGCAGAGCTCGAGGTTGTGCAGCAGGGAATAGAGGCGCACCGACCTGTCGTTGTTGGTGAGGACGGCGACGACATCGTCGCGACCGTCGCCGGCGGTGGCGGGGAGGGTGTGTATCGAGATGGAGTTGACAATGTCCTCGCCAATCTTCTCGAGCTGTATGCGGCGCGCCGTGGCGAGCAGGGGCGGGCGGGAGAGGCGGGTCTCAAACTCGGCGCCCGAGTCGTCGACGGGAGGGAAGCCGGCGACCTTGATGGCGGCAAAGTTGCCGTGGTCCGCGCCGCCGACGCACACGAAGCCGCAGCCAGCAGCCGTGCAGCGGGCCTCGAAGGGCAGGGTGGCGACGTGGGCCTGCGTCTGGGTGGCGGCGTTGAGGCAGAAGATGTCGCAGCCGCTCGCATAGTAGACGACGTCGGGCTCCGGGGAGCTGATGAAGTGCCGCAGCTGGTAGTGTCTGCGGCGGTTAGCCGGGCGGGATGGATGCTGGGGATGCTGCGAATGCTGGGGATGCTGCGAGTGCTGCGAGTGCTGCGAGTGCTGCAAATGCTGCGAATGCTGCGAGTGCTGCAAGTGCTGCAAATGCTGCAAATGCTACAAATGCTGCAAATGCTGCGACTGCTGCGACTGCTGCGAATGCTACGAATGCTACGAATGCGGGGGCCTCACGCGATGGGGATCTTGGTGGGATAGAACGACTTGGAGGGCAGCACAAAGGCGTCGGTGTCTCGACTCCTGCGGCCGTTAGCGCACGCCGTGCAGTGCAGAGATGGGCGGCGACGCGTACAAGAAGTCGTCGACGGCCATGGTGTGCCGTCAGGTGGGCAGCGGCATGTCGCTGCAGCCGTGGGCGCAGGCAGCGGTGGTGAGAGTGCAAGCGATGCGGGTGCGGGTGCAGCATCTGCCCACACGCGCGACCGCGAGCTGCAACACTGCAACGCTGCAACGCCGCAACGCCATGCGCCGGGCGGCCGCTCCATCGCAGCTCGCCCAGACAGGCCACCGTCAACGAACAGCGGCAGTAGTGGCCGCCTCCGGCTGCGGGTCGCTGTGCAAATGTTGCAGTACTGCGCAGGCCATCGCCTCACTCCGACTGTCGTGACTGCAATCACTAATCACTGGACATGCCCGATCCATTGCGCGCGTCGTCCATGGCCCCCCGGCTGCTGCGAGAGCACTGACCGCCCGAGACGGCCGCCCGGAGCCACTCGCAAGTCGTGACGGAACCTTCGAGCATCCTGGCCTTGGCGCGTACGCCTTTGCCCCGGGGGACTTTTTTTCTGTCCAAGCTCTTCGTCGCCATCATATAATCCATCACCCATCCCCCATTGCGCCTCTTCCGCATTCCTTCACCTGTTGCTTCCATCTCCCTCAGCAAGCAGCGCCTCACACACTCACACAATGCTGTCCTCAAGAATATCAAGGACCGTAAGTAGACACGTACCCGCGCCGGCGCCCGTCTGATCTCTCGCTGACCCCGTCGCCAGTTCGCGCCGCGCGTGGCCCAGGCTGCCCGTCGCACGCCCATCAGCGCGCGCCCCTTCAGCTCCACATTCGCCCGCCGCGAGGAGGAGAAGGTCAAGGGCTCCGTCATCGGTATCGATTTGGGCACAACCAACTCGGCCGTCGCCGTCATGGAGGGCAAGGTCCCTCGCATCATCGAAAACTCTGAGGGCACGTGATGCATCCATCCACTGATTGCCGCACCGCGAACCCATTGGCTAACTCCATCTGCAGGTGGCCGCACAACGCCTTCTGTCGTTGGTTTCACAAAGGAGGGCGAGCGCCTCGTCGGCATCGCCGCCAAGCGCCAGGCCGTTGTCAACCCTGAGAACACGCTCTTCGCCACCAAGCGTCTCATTGGTCGCAAGTTCACCGACAGCGAGGTCCAAAAGGACATCCAGCAGGTCCCCTACAAGATTGTCCAGCACACCAACGGTGATGCCTGGCTCGAGGCCCAGGGCCAAAAGTACTCGCCTTCTCAGGTCGGTGGCTTCGTCCTTGGCAAGATGAAGGAGACGGCCGAGTCGTACATGGGCAAGAACGTCAAGAACGCCGTCGTCACTGTCCCCGCCTACTTCAACGACTCGCAGCGTCAGGCCACCAAGGACGCCGGTATGATTGCCGGTCTCAACGTGCTCCGTGTGGTCAACGAGCCCACTGCCGCCGCCCTCGCCTACGGCCTGGACAAGGCCACGGACAATGTCGTCGCTGTCTACGATCTCGGCGGTGGTACATTTGACATCTCCATTCTCGAGATCCAGAACGGTGTGTTTGAGGTCAAGTCCACCAACGGCGACACTCACCTGGGTGGCGAAGACTTTGACATCACCCTCGTCCGCCACCTTGTCCAGCAGTTCAAGAAGGAGCAGAACATCGACCTCAACAGCGACCGCATGGCTATCCAGCGTATCCGCGAGGCCGCCGAGAAGGCCAAGATTGAGCTGTCGTCGTCGTCGCAGACGGACATCAACCTGCCCTTCATCACCGCTGACGCGTCGGGCCCCAAGCACATCAACCAGAAGCTCACCCGTGCTCAGCTCGAGAAGATGATGGACCCCCTCATCTCCAAGACCATTGACCCCGTCCGCAAGGCTCTCAAGGACGCCAACCTGACTGCCAAGGAAATCTCCGAGGTGATCCTTGTCGGTGGCATGACGCGTATGCCCAAGGTCACCGAGTCGGTCAAGAGCATCTTTGGCCGCGACCCCGCCAAGTCTGTCAACCCTGACGAGGCTGTCGCCATTGGTGCTGCCATTCAGGGTGCCGTCCTTGCTGGCGAGGTCACTGACCTTCTCCTCCTCGACGTCACTCCCCTGTCTCTTGGCATCGAGACGCTCGGCGGTGTCTTTACCCGCCTGATCAACCGCAACACCACCATCCCCACGAAGAAGTCGCAGGTCTTTTCCACTGCCGCCGACTTCCAGTCGGCTGTCGAGATCAAGGTCTACCAGGGTGAGCGTGAGCTCGTTCGTGACAACAAGCTGCTGGGCAACTTCCAGCTTGTCGGCATTCCCCCTGCCCACCGCGGTGTTCCCCAGGTCGAGGTCACGTTTGACATTGACGCCGACTCGATTGTCCACGTTCACGCCAAGGACAAGTCGACCAACAAGGACCAGTCCATCACCATCGCCTCGGGCTCTGGTCTGTCCGACTCTGAGATTGAGTCGATGGTCCAGGACTCTGAGCGCTACGCCGAGCAGGACAAGGAGCGCAAGAATGCCATTGAGGCTGCCAACCGCGCCGACTCTGTCGTCAACGACACTGAAAAGGCCCTCAAGGAGTTTGAGGACCGTCTCGACAAGACCGAGGCGGAGAAGATCAAGGAGAAGATTACCGCCATGCGCGAGTTTATTGCCCAGTCTCAGTCTGGCGAGGGCACCGCCACTGCCGCCGAGATCAAGGAGAAGACGGACGAGCTCCAGAATGCTTCCCTGAGCCTCTTTGACCAGATGCACAAGGCCCGCAACGAGAGCCAGAACCAGGGCGAGCAGCAGAAGCCCGAGGGTGAGGGTGAGGGCGACAAGAAGCAGTAAATGCTCTAGTCGCTAGCTCCTCGTTTTGTCTTTTTTACATTCATGCGGCAAAAGCAGGCGTCTTGCATCCGGTCACGGTCGGTCGGGTTGGGTCTCTCTAGACTTGTACATTTCCCTCACGTGTTTGAACATCTTGTACCTATACCTCTCCTCGGTTTCTCTTCTCTCAGCGTTTGTTTTACTACCTTGTACTACCCTTTATTCGACACTTGGGTCATGTCTTGATAACGAGATCCATATCATGGGTGGGAAAAGCCACTGTGGACGCTGTAATAGCAGAGATGATTGTACAACATAGCACGGAGTCGCGAGATTATCTCCGCTCTTGGCAATCCAGTTTGAACTACGTTGCGACTTGTGATTGTGTGATTGCATGATGCGGTGAGCTCGATGACCTGTGGCTCCCCTCCCCAGACGAAGCCTCGGCAGCATGGATGGGTAAGTCGATCATACGTCACAGGATGGCTTTGATCTTCCGCGTCCCCTCGTAAGCACCGAGGATTGCACATCAGTCCAGCCGCCATCAACCAACTGTAACTGACGTTGGTGAACCTGTCAGTGCCGCGCCAGGTTCGAGCCGTAGCAATCGCACAATTTCCCGCCCGCGGGTTCGGCAACTCCAGGATCCCCTCGGCCAGTACGAGCTGCTCTCTACACATACTACAACACACGGCGCCTTCCCAACAGCTTCCAGCCGCGTCAAACTCGCTGCGCACCGACAACGTCCAATTTCAACCCCAAAATGACAGAAGCAACCAACAATCCGCTTTCCGGCCTCTGGCAGCCAACTCAACTCCAACGCCTGCACTACGGCAGCGGCTCGGTCTCCAAACACCTGCTGGACTGCCTTCCGAGCGAAACAAGCAAAGCATTCATCATCACCGGCAACTCGCTGGCCACCAAGACACCGCTCGTCAAGGACGTAGAGCGGCTCCTGGGCTCCAAGCACGCCGGCACGTTCAGCAAGATCGGCGAGCACGCGCCCGTCGCCCAACTCGACGAAGCAACCCAGATCGTCACAAACGACAGCGCCGTCGACACCGTTATTAGTATTGGCGGCGGCTCGCCCATCGACAGCGCAAAGGCAATCTGCTACCGTCTGCACGACAAGACCGGGAGCTGGCTGCACCACATCGCCATCCCGACCACGCTGAGCGCAGCAGAGTGCTCCATGATGGCCGGCTACACGGGCTCCGACGGCGTGAAAACCAGCGTCCGCGCGCCGCAACTCGTGCCGCGCGTCGTGCTGTACGACGCCAGCTTCGCGCTGCACACGCCCGCGCGCCTCTGGACCAGCACGGGTCTGCGCGCCATGGACCACGCACTCGAGCTTCTCTACCACCCGAGCGCGACCGAGATGCCCGCGCGCTGGCTGTGTCTGCAGAGCGCGGCGACGCTGTTCGCGGACCTGCCGCGGTACCACGCCGACCCCAGCGACGAAGCGAACATCACCAGACTCCAGCTCGCCGCCTTTGCCTCCCTCGCCTTCCTGGGGACTAACATCACAGCTGGCCTCGGCTTGTCGCATGCCCTCGGATACGCCCTGGGCTCCCCGTATAGCATCCCGCACGGCATCACGTCGTGTCTGACGCTTGGGCATGTGGTTAAGCTCAAAGCGCAGGACGCCGGTGCCGCGCAGCAGATCGCGCGGCTGCTGCCGTTCATCGGCGAGACGGCGTCGGGGGACGCGCGGACGGACGCTGACAAGGTCGGGGACAGGGTGCTGCGGCTTGTGCGGGAGCTAGGGCTGGACGTCGATCTGCGGGATTACAAGGTCGAGCGCAGTGAGGTCCCGGTTATTGCTAAGAGAGCTACGGGGGTGGAGAGCGGGGATGCGTATCAGGCTGTGGAGAAGCTGGTTCAGGGCTTGTTCGCGTGATGCGGTGCGAGTGCGAGGCTACACAACGCGCCTATACTGTCCTCTCACGTCTTGGAAGTCAGTGTGCTTCTTCACCGTATGGTGAGCCGATGTGTCGTGGCGTGTCGTCTCGTGTTCTGTTCTGTTCGCTCGGGCTGCGTACTGGCTTGTAAATAGTAACGCAGTGCTGCTCGTCGACATCAATTCACTCCGCAGCGCCGCGCCATGTCTACAACACGCATAGCGAGCACCCAGTGGAAGACCTCCGTCTCGGAAGAATCTACACATCGCTCAATCCGTCGCCTTTCCAACCCAGGAATGCCGTCAAGCCGGGGTATCGCATCGTTACCATCGTAGACTCGCCCACACCAAGGGGAAAGGAAAGAAAAGAAAAGCTCAAACAATTCAATCGCAATACGGGCGCTGCTCCATCGCCAGCATCTTCTTCTCCGCGGTCGGCGTCGGCGGCAGAGATGGCAGCAGTGTGAGCGCGCTGCCCGCGCCGTTGCTCCACCTGTGCTTCTCAAGGTGCGCTCGGGATGGCTTGCAGAGCGTGTGCGCCACGGCTTCAAAGTCGTCAAAGTCGAGTTTGGACAACTGCGACTGCGATTCGCAGGGAGCTCGCGCGCCCTTCTCGCCGTATCCGTTTTTGTTTCTGTTTCCGCGCTCCTGCGACTGCCGCCAGACCGCTGTGACTGCGGCCCGGTACCGGGCTGGCTCTGCGCGGGCATGGTCAACGTGGCCGGATGCTTCGAAGAGGACTTCTGCCACGCAGGCGCCTTGCTGCATCGACTCGGCGGCGTGTTCTTCCACGTCTTGCCACGCGATCAGGGCGTCTTTCTTCGAGAACAGGTAGCACGGGGGCACTTGGAGGTCGAACAGGGTAGGGTCGAGTAGTTGTGCTCGCGACCTTGACACGACGTTGTTCTTGCGCCCCTGAAAGACGCGGTGCACCGCCCATACGGATCCGAGCAGCACGGCTGCGACGCCGAGCGCGAGGTGTTTGAGGACGGGAACAGGGGGCAAGGGCTTTGCGAGGGCGGCGCAGAGGCGCGGAAATCGCCGGTGCCCTGGTGTGCTGTCGAGATACAGAGCTGAGATGGGCAGGCGCGAGCCAGTGGTGCACTGGTATGCTGTTGCGAGCTCGCAGGCCTTGTTGCTTCCGCCTTCTGAGAAGACGTGCATCAGGATGCCGCTGGTGTTGGCGCATGGGATGTGTTGGAGGTTGGAGATGTATTTGACGGCGGGCTGGGGGCGATGCTGTTTTCGCTTGGAGCTTCGGAAGAGGAGGTCCGCTAGAGATGTGGTGACGACCATGATGTGTGAGGAAGGAAACATGTTGGCGTATTCTGTGGTGTATTTGGAAATGGGGCGGCCGTGAGCACCGGCCCATGTCATGAGCAAGACGAGAGATGGTGCCGCCGAAATACCCACAGTAGGCGTGGAAGGTGTCGAAGGAATGCGGTCCCAGATTGTTGGCGCGATGAGTTCGAACCCCGGGATGGCATCGTGTGCCACCTTGGTGCTGACCATCGTGAGAATGTTTGAGAAGCCGGGCAGAATACTGGAAAGCAGTGCAGTAAGGAAGTAACGCAGGGAGTAGGTGTGCTGATGTTGTACCTCATACCTCTGGGTCGCTGAGACATGTGCTTATGTAGATTCATGTTTATTCTCACGTCACCCCTGTCAACTCACCACTTCTAGACACTGCCACGGCCCGCTGATTTTGGACCCGATAAGCTGGGTCCTGGCCCTATGTGCAATCTTGCGGCAGCGCCGACAATGAACGCGAAGTCTCGATCATGCTGAGGCTCCCCACGTTGCTGTCTTGGTCGCTCGATGGCACCCGCGTCTCTCCTGATGTTTTGCTAACTGCATGTATCGATTCGCAATTGTACCCACACATCCCCCCAATTCGCTAGTGGCCGTCGCTTCTGGGGCTGGTCATCCTGATCGAGAGTAGAAACAAGCCTTTGGCTACTGCCAGAGAGCCGCATCTTCCACGGAGCATCCTCAGGACGGGGACTACGACTTGCGAATGGAGCATAGCGTGCGGCTACCAATCCTACGCGATGGCGCGAAAGCGTGATTCTTGGTGGTCGGGTCGATTGCAGGAGCCGGCGATCAAATAGGCTTGCGCGCAGGCATTCCAATCGTTTGTTTGCCTGGAATCGCTGTCTGCGCGTGGATATAGTACAGCTGAGCGGTAGACGCGTAGAGTGGTGGAATCATTTTGAGAGCTGAGGAGACGCGCGTTTTGGTGAACACCGGAGACCGAAAAGCGGGCGACTGACATCTTAAGGCTGAGCTGACAGCTGCGGAAGTTTGTACTTCGTACCGGCTCGAGGTCTAGTCGTTTAACACGTCAGCTGTCAAAGCTGTCCATTTGCACGCTGGGGACTTGTGCATGTTGATGACCAAGTGGGCGTCGGCTTTCAGAATCACGATAGGCGCCAATGGTCACGATGTGCACACGGTCTTCATCGGACGATCCGCATCCAGCTCACTCTGTGTAAGCCACAGGCACGAACGGTGGATCTCCGTGGTCTGTCCAAGGCGAGGTGGAGCTGCGTTTGATAGTGTCAGTTGCTATGTGAACAGTACATACGAGGTACGGCGATTCCGTGAGAAAGTCAACGTACCTGATTTGGTGCCACACTAGCTGCTACATGATCAAGGGCATGGTCGAACAGGATTTTGTGTATCAGTGCAAGCTGCTTATGACTTTCAACAGGCTGTGAATTCTCAGTGACTGTCCCGTCCTGTCTTGCTACAGCCCTTTGGCACTTACCACCTTCATGTCGTCAGCGCCCATCGAGTATTCTTTCCAGCCCTCCAGGTTGCAGCAGTCGGTTGGGCCTCAGAGAATGTCTCCTGGGAACGGTCGTACTTGAGCGATACAGAGAAGTCGCACTCGGGACGAACGGATTTCCCGCCCTGCTTGGTCGACTATATGAGAGGTATGCATGTCTTACTCCAATGGCGTTTTGCCTTGTGACTGATTGGTTTTTACAGTCAAGAATGCTTCACTCTCCTCTGTAGAGAGACCCGCGACCCCTTCCGCGAAGGAGGCCCTGGCTGCTCACCCTGTCCTGCCATCGACTTCACCCGCAACAACGCGAACTCCTCGCAATAAACGTCCAGTATCGTCCTATCTGTCGTTTGGTTCGAGTATGGACTTCGATGTCGAGGCTAAGGCTGAGGCTGCGGCGCCTGCCGAGTGGAAGCCTACCAAGAACGAGTTGCTGGTTGTGGTCAGCCTGAGCTTCACCTCGCTTATGGTCGCTCTGGACGCGACTGTCCTTGTTGCTGTGCTGCCGGTATGCTTTCTAGATGACGATGGGTGCTCACAACTGACGGCAAATAGGAAATCGCTCACTCGCTCAACGGAACTTCAGCAGAAGCATTTTGGGCGGGCACAGCTTAGTGAGTACCTCCCGGTAATTCAAGCTCTTCTGACCAATCAATTAGTCTTTTGATCTCTGCGATCTTGCAGCCTGTCATTGCCTCGATATCCTCCAACTTTGGTCGCCAGCAGATGCTGCTGCTCTCCCTGGTCTTTGTAAGAGCCCAGATATTGCGATTGCTCCTCGATGCACTAACAGACCTAGTTCACCTTCGGAACCATTCTTTGTTCTGTTGCTCACAACTTCACTGTACTGCTCACCGGTCGCTCCGTACAAGGCATTGGCAGTGGTGGCATCATCATCGTCACCCAGGTGATCTTCTGCGACATCGTTCCCTTGAGACAGCGACCGAAGTACTTTGCTATGGTCCTCGGTGCCTGGTCTATCGGAAGCATTGTTGGTTCAGTCTTTGGTGGTTCACTGATCGAGAAGGTATCATGGCGCTGGTGAGTAACAGCTTACGCACACACCGAAGCTTGCTGACATGCTTTGTCAGGTGCTTCCATATCAACTACCCATTTTGTGGTATCGGATTCGTCGTGGCGGCCTGCTTCGTCCGCATGAATGCCACGGCTGAGCTCACGTTCGCGCAAAAGCTGAAGCAGACTGATTGGATTGGTGCCTTACTCTTCATTGGCAGCTTCACCAGCTTCCTCGTTAGTCTCTCCTTTGGCGGCGTGCAGCACCCCTGGACATCCGCTGCTACGCTCGCGCCTTTGATTGCAGGTGTCGCGGATATTATCTCCTTTCTCTGTTGGCAGTTGTACAGAAAGCCCCACAGCTTGCTGCCAATGTCGATATTCTACGACTGGTCAGCTATCGCCGCATTCTACAACGCCATGATCAACGGTCTCGTCATAGGCGCTGCCCGTTCTTTCCAGGAACTCCTGCTGACACGTCGTAGCTCTTCACAGCTCTCTATTACATTCCCTTTTTCTTCATGTCTGTTCGTGCTCAATCACCGACTAAAGCAGGCATCGACCTGTCCCCTGCTGTGTGTTTCCTCGTTCCTGGCTCTATCGTCGTGGCCGCTTTGACTGGGAGGCTTGGACGGTTTCGATGGGCCATCTGGCTCGGTTGGGCTATCACAACAACTGCCTGCGGTCTCTTCATCATCATCGACCTCCAGACCAGACTCGTCGTTATCGCTGTGGCTCTTGCCCTCCTTGGCATTGGTTCCGGCATGGTGTTGACCAGCATCAATGTTGGCATCCAGGCCATATCCAAGGTTGAAGACTATGCTATGGCCGCAAGAATGTATGGTTTTTTTTCGTAGTCTTGGCATGCCCATTGGCGTCGCAGTAAGTCAGCCCATTCAAGCTCTCTGTCATAATCCTAATCTCGTCAGCTGTCCGGTACCGTCTTCCAGAACGCAATGTCAAGCAGATTGACTGCGCTCGGTCTTCCCACACCAATTGCCCATGACTTCGAACAGGATGTGTTCGTTCTCCGAATCATGGCAGATGTTGCGCAGAAGACGGCGGTGCTCGAGTCCCATATGCATGGATTCCATGCTGTATTCATCTTCATCACAGCAGTCTCAGGGAGCGCGTTGGCCGCCAGCTTCGTCTTCCGCAAGTTTAGCATGGACAAGGTCCTGCTGACAGCATATTCGGTCAAATGAGCTGCACATGCGCGGCCACACCTTCGATTTCTTCCCTTCTCTTCGCAGATCGTCTCCTTTCTCTTCGGCAACTACCCCACAGTGATAGATACCCCATTTGATAGATACCTTGTTTTCATCTTCAACGTACAAATAATCCAAGCTTGATCGCTTTCGAGGGTGATGTGTCGTGCTGCGGCTTCGTCGGTGTCAGGTCCTGGTCGCCAGAGGGGCAAGCTGGAGACCCTCGACGCGCTAGTGCAAGGTCAACGATTGCACTTCTCTCACCACGTCGCCATAGAACACGTCGCCTTTCTCTCGTCCTCTCCTGGACTCACGATAGCGATTGCTTCGTCCCGGAAATTTGCGACTCCGTTGTCTCGCCTGTCACGTCACCTCCTAACCTCGCCGCATTGCCCAGCATCTTTTCCCCAGTCAGGCCGTGTGCGCGAACGCAAGAATGCACCCGGGCACGTCGTGGATCCCAGTCGGCCTGCTCTTTACAAGGAAGAGACGAGAAGCAGAACTCAACGACGCGAAACGCGCTAGCTTATTGCTCGGTATCCTAGCAATTTCGATTCATGTGCGAAAACCATTATCTTATCCTCCTTCCTCTCTCGGGACAAACCTCCTTACACACCGTCTCATGTTGATCCGTGGCGCATCTAAGTGGGCGATTGGCAATATGATCAGTGCTCAGTTTTGCCGTGCAACCTTGCGAATATCGTGCTAGATCTCCCGGTCGTGCTGTCCAATCGAAGTTGCGCCAGTCAGCGAGCCACAGTGATAAGTCGCCTCGTGTCAACGACAAGCTCGCTTCGATACCTCACTTTTGGCACCTTATCTACATATCGACCACGAGGAGGACACTCCGATACGCCTCGCGGCAAAGACTACGCTTGTGGATAGCTCCACAGGTCACGTACTTTGTGGTCCTCCGAAATCGGTGCAGTGACATTTTCAGATCGTCCACAACGGCGTTCGCGCTTCGACAGGAAGATCGTTCGATGCGTCATCCAGGAACCCGCTGCATGACCCCCTTACAAGGGCCTGGCACGCCAAATGCTTTCGCAACTGCACGTTGCGCGGCTGTGATAGGTGAGCGTTCTCTATCACAGGCCCGTGCTGATCGTTCGCTTCGCACTGGTCTCCCGGCATGCCTCAGGACGCGCACCTGAAACTCGGCTCTCCAACGCTTTAAACGGCTCTGAATACGCACGGAGTCGTGTGCAACCAGAATCATTTGAAGATGTGTATACTCACAAAATGCGTCGTTCGTTATTTCTTTTAGCTTCCAAGCACCATACACTTGTCAAACGGTTTGCATGCTTTACTTCTTGGCGCGCTGTCGCAACCTCAGCCTTGCCCCAACTTTGGGTTCGTGACCAGGGTGTGGGCTTGCTACTGCCGGCGCTCGAGCACCTCTGCGACCGATCCCCCAATTTAGCTTCTTCTATGGCTTTTCCAGAACAACTCCCAACCCGCGCTCCCCGCTGCAATCTGATGATGTGATATAACAACCTCGTCGCACCAGCGCCAGCTGATGCCTGTCCGGGAACACGTTCGTCCACCCCTTACCCCTAAAATTTCGGTGCCGCTGCCTGGATACCCTTCTTCACTCTCCTTCAGCTACGAATGCATAGCGCTCTACTTTCAGACGGTGCCTTCCCAAAGTCCAATTGTATTGGATCGCATGAAAGGTTTATTCGGCATGTCAAGGGGTGTCAGTTGTAGTTCCGGATCCTGCTAGTCGATCGGGTTCTTTGCTATGATGGAAGATCATGTGAACATCCCGGAGGAGTCGATGCGACACATTGAAGCGCTCCTGGCGAGACATCCCCCACAAACAATACAGAGGATGTTCTCGCAGACGCTTGAATCCCGTAGGTCATGCAGTTTAATTATTTAGCGGAGTGCTAAATTTGAATAGGTCGCAACTCCATATCATCCCTCGCATCTACGAATACTACAGCAACAAGCTCGACTTCATCGTCCGGCTCGTCATGGCGCTCCCGTTTGTCGATAGCTTCGACGTTCTCATCATCTACTGGCCACAGTGATGGTGCGTCTTCGGTTGCATCATCAGCTTCGTCACGCTTCAGGATGAGAAGAGCAGAGCCTCGCTCATACCCCGCTGGGCCAGATCCAACGCGACCTGTGCCTGCTATATTGACGCCTGCATCTGACATTAGCAGTCCGCTCGATAACCAATACGAGCACACCGTCACGCCCACAGATGACATCAGCGTTGCCTCGCCCACCTTGTTCCCAGACGAAAAGGGTCAAGGGCAATCTGGCGATTCGTACATGTTCTGTACCTACTGTGCCGAGCAGAAGTCTCTGAAGACCTTTAAGGCAAAGTCGGACTGGAAGAAGCACGAAGCAAGGATGCACGAGACCGGTGAAGACTGGGCGTGTGTTGTGAATGGGTGTAGCCGCATCTTCGATCGACAGAAAGACTTTATCAAGCACCACCAGCGCTATCACTCCGGCCGACCATTGCCATCATTGACGGATATTGGTATCACTCTTCTTCCTAGACGAGTATTCGGCTGCGGATTTGACAAGTGCAAGGAAGTGAGCATTGGGTGGGACGAGCGGTGCGACCACGTTGCAAAACACATGAAGAACGGCGCGACATCCGAGCAGTGGAAGTACTCAAACCTGATACGGAACCTGGTTCGGCAAGAAGCGCTACACGAGACGTGGAAGGAAATAGTCGCTTGTCTGGACGAGCGCTTGAAGGAGAACCGCGCACAGATCAGCTGGTGTCCGGATAACACCAGAGTTCTGCGCCAGAAGCTACAGTGTTGCGACTTGAGGCCGAGTCGAGAGGAGGTGCTCATAACAGCATTGAGCTTGCGTTCTGACATGGTAGTGGATCCCATTCACCAGCAAGTCCCACTCGGCTTCGTTACACCTAGTAGGGACTCGGTGCCAAATGTCGATAAATTGACACGCGAGCAGCGCATGCAGATTCTGATCGGTCACTCGAATGTTCAGCTGTCCCGGACGAGATTGGCAACACTAAACGCTGCTTTACTTGGCGTCACTACTCATACGCCAAATTATCATTGTGGATCATCGCCCTTTGGCGAATCGAGCTCTCCCACAATTGATACGACTGAGCGTCGCATCAGCTATATGGACATAGATCCGGGTGACTACTTGGGCGTTGCGCAGCCTGCTATACCAGATATGCATCTAAGCTTGAGCGCACCTCAGATCGATACTCCCGTCACTGGAAACGGACAGCAAATGCAGCAACAACCGAACAACTACGTGGACCAAACAAAGGGGTCGCCAAATCCACTTGGGTGGTACTATCCCAACTACTTCGATGCCGCACCTCAGTTTGAGGAGTCGCAATACTACGACCGGCCATCACTAGGACAGATGATTGCCAAACCTCTGCACAAGATTGGCACCCGTCTGAACACTTCTAGGAACAGCTCACGGCCGACCTCTCACGTAGAGCAGAATCCTGGCGACATCACTGTTGACTTCGGCATCCAGAATCCCGTGGCGGCGCTAAGCATGCGCAATCTCCACGCAAACGCCCAGCCTCCACAACAGCAGCCAGTGCAGCAACAGCAAATGCAGCAACAGCAAATACAGCAACAGCAAATACAGCAACAGCAAATACAGCAACAGCAACAACATCAACAACAACAACATCAACATCAACATCAACATCAACATCAACATCAACATCAACATCAACATCAACATCAAAATCGACATCAAAATCAACATCAAAATCAACATCAACATTTCCAGCAACAACACGTACACCAGCATCAGCATCAGCAACAGCAATCCCTTGCCCACCCACAACCCCAGCACTTCCGCAACCCCGCCCAAATGCAGGATCAGCTTCAATTGTTCACGACTCACAACTAGCAATGTTCACGACCATGACATAACTACTTCTGCATTCAGCGAGCATATAGACGTTTCTTATGTTGTCTTTCGCATGCTGCTTTTATTGATACCCCGTGCCTTCGGCATTTGATAGATGTACTATGATATGTTTCGCATTAGAGAATAGAGCCGTGAGGCAGGTCTCAATACACAAAACTACAAGGAGTTTCTTCGGATTATCCCTCTGGCCCATGCGCATCTACCAGAATTGCTGTCTGTACCAGAGTTTGGATGTTCGAGCGCCGACAATAGTCTTCCTGGACACGCTCTTTCAAGAGGACCTCATATCACATCAAAGCACTGCCCACCGCCGACCAGTCACACTAGTTGGGAAATCGCCTACCATCAGGCCATTCAAGGTGCAATAATTACGTCGATGAGCCGTATCAATCCAGGTGAAGCGGCTCTTGGTATGCTTCTCGGTTGTCATGCCGTCGACTGTGACGTTTGCCCAGACTCTGCCTTTCTTGTCTTTGTACTGGACCAAGAACTTGCCCTTCATGCCTTTGACGTAAACAAGACCCTTGCAGTGGAAGTGCTTGTTGACAATACATCCAGTGCCGTCAGGCTGAAAGATGCCGGCATCCGCAGGTAGAAGGTGGACCAAGGGGAAGGCCGTTCATGAGGTCTTTCAAGAAGTCATATGGGGTGTTGCGAACAGCTTCCATTACTTCGGGGGTGCAGAGCTCGGGGCGAAAGAACAGTATGATGGGCAAGAAGCTGTCAAAGATACGCAGATTCAGCCTCACCCACGACCAAGCTTACTCTTGAATTGGATCAAGTTGGAAAGTAGCTACTAGTTTCGTCAAGGCTGTGGGATGAAGTTGTGTAGAGTTAGGGAGACTTGATACTTTGTAGGCTCAACGTTAATTGACACGTCAGATAAAGGCAATAAGGAAGACAAGGGTATAAAGCAGCGTGGTGAATGAAAGAGCACAAGTAGCAAATTTCAAACTTGTGACTAGCAACAACAGCGAGAAGAGACAGTTGGAGATTGACACTAAGGCTTTCTGAGTGCACTCCAGCGAGAACACTTCATTACTGCGCTGTCTAGACAGTATCCCAGACTGGTTCATAGTATTTGCAGCCGCTGGCGTTGAGCCAATTCTAGGAAGTCGCAGCCAATGAGTCTCACCATATGCAATTACATCACGGCTCCTTACCGTCGATGTCAACATTCTTCTTCTCCACCACTCGTATCCATGGTTCTTCATTGCCTCACTCATTCTCTGAACCATGACTTTCATCCATACCTCGCCCTTGTACGTAGTTTGAGCCTGATACTGCGCCTTGGTACCCTTTTTGTACTCGTAGTCGAAGTGAGAGAAATCCGTATTGACAGTGCACGTCACACCATCAGGCTGAATGTGCCCCACAGTGTGAGGTGCTGGACCCGACAGTCCTGAGACTACTCGATAAGTGTTCCACTGAATTACACTCAACACGTAGGGAAAATGTTACAGACTAGTTGTTGTGAAATGTTCGTATTCATTATATATCACTAATCATTACATATCATGATGCAGTCATTGTAAACCCGCTAATAACATCCAAGGCCCATAGACTTAAGCACTAACAACAGTGACCTTGTGGGTCTCAACAATATCCCTGCTGCTGAAGCCAAGGTAGAGCGAGAACTCGCCCTCGGGGATGACCCACTGCTGGCTAATGATGTCCCAGTAGGACAGATCACGGCGCATGAGCTCGAAAGCAACAGTACTGGTCTCACCGGCCTCAAGGTAGACCTTCTCAAAGCCACGGAGTTGCTTAGGAGGAGTGCCAGCGGGTGTGCTCTCGGGGAAGCCGACGTACAGCTGAGGAACACCAGCACCGGCGAACTTGCCGGAGTTGGTGAGCGAGATAGTGACGTTGTAAATGGACTCCCAGAGAGCAGGGTTGCCACCGGGCATGACCTTGCGCTCCTCGGGGTGGGCGGTGATGTTGGTCTCGAGAGCCTCGGCCTTAACATCTGAGATGTTGAAGGTAGTGTAGGAGAGACCGAAACCGAACTCGTAGCGGACGGAGATGTTTTGCGCATCGAAGTGGCGGTAGTCAATCTCAAGCTTCTCGTCGAACCAGGATTGCCAATCAAAGTATCCAGTGGTGTTGATGGCGGTAGTGGGAGGGGCATTGTAATCGGAGCCGTTGAAAGCGATGGTGTAGGGCAGGTGACCGCTAGGGTTGACGTCGCCGTAGAGGATATCAGTCAGCGAGTAGCCGGACTGCTCGCCGGGGTAGTGGGCGGCAAGGATGGCAGTGACGTTCTCGTGATCGGCCCAGGGAAGGGTGTTGATACCAGAGGAGTGAGTGACGACAATGGTATTGTTGCACTTGGAGGCAACGTTCTCGACGACTGCGTTGCCGTCCCAGTCAACGTCCAAATGGTCACGATCAGCAGCCTCCTCGGCCCAGGTCTTGAGCATGACAATGCAGACATTGGGGAGCTCGCCGATCCAAAGGTCATCGAGGTCACTCTCAACTATCTCAGTGTTGTTGAGGAAATACTGGACGAGCTTGGTGCCGTTCTGTGCAGAGCGCTCCTTGATGGCCTGCAGAGGAGTGACGAGGGAGGAAACCTGACCAGTACCGGATCCACCACCAGCAAGGAGAGTTCCAAACTCGTAGTTGTTCTGGTTCAACTGCTTGCTGGGCTCAGAAGCATCGTTACCGAAGATAGCAATGTTGCGAGGGCTGTTGAGGGGCAGAGCACCATTGTTCTTGAGGAGAACAGTGCCCGCCGCACCGTGCTTGCGGATGAGCTTGCTGTGGTCACCACGAACATCGCGGCTGGACTCGCCAGTCAAGTTGAACTCGCGGGTCCAGGTGCTGATGGGAGAGAATGTGTTGAGGTCGGGGGTGCTGGGATCGATGGTGGGGTAGTCCTTGTCCTGGCCGAGCCAGTAGTAAGGGGTCATGATACGGACGATCATGTCATCGACACGAGTGACATCGAGAGTACCGTTGTTGACAGCGAGCGTGACGTTACCACCAAAGTAAGAGGGAACACCGAAAGCCGAGCCGTAACTTCCGAGACCACCAGGCATGTTCATATCGAGACCGGCTTCAATTGAAGCCACACCAGTATGGACCGCGCCCCAATCAGACATGACGTAGCCCTGGAAACCGAGCTCGGTTTTGAGCAGACCATTTAGTGAGGCAGAGTTCTGGCAGCCGTACGAGCCGTTGATGCGCTGGTAACTGCACATGAAGGAAGCAGCTTTAGCCTTGACGGCATTGGCGAAGGGCCAGAGGTAGAGCTCGTGCATAGTGCGGTCATCGAGGTTGGCGGAGATGGCAGCAACATCAGTGTCGGTAACGGTGCCGTTCTTGCTGTAAACGGGGTTACGAGCAGTCTCCTGCTCGTTGGCGATGAAGTGCTTAGCGGTAGCCTGAACACCAGCATCTTGGTGACCAGTGATGGTCTCCTCCATGGCGACACCAGTCAAGTAAGGGTCAGCAGCAAAGCCTTCCCAGTTACGGCCGGCATAGGCAGAGCGGCCAAGAGGTCCAGCTACAGGGCTCAGAGCGATGTGAGCACCCTTGGCCCTGAACTCCTGACCCATGGCATAACCGCGCTCGTGCATCAGTTTTCTATCCCAAGATGCGGCAGCGGAGACACCAGCAGAGAAGACACTGGCGTAGTCGGCAACACGAATGGCCAGAGGGCCGTCCTGAAGACAGAGACCCTGGAAGCCAAGACGAGGGATGGCAACAATGTTTCCAACACAAGGTCCAGCCTGACCAGTGACCATGTCGGCCTTCTCTTCGATAGTGAGCTGCTCAACGAAGGCACGGGCCTTTGCAACGGCATCCTCCCAACCGCCGGTAGCATCAGCGGAGACGTTGGCTGCTTCTTGTAAGAACTTGATGCACAGCTGATTCAATCGATCACTTACGAGAGGGGTAAACAGCAGGCGAGTGGCCGTGATCACCCAAGATGGTCGTGTTCAGAGGCTGAACATACGAGAACGCAGTTTCAGCCCTTGAGCCAGAGTCATATGCCTGAGCATTGACAACAGTCAGGACTGCAAGTGCTGAGAGAAGGGCAGCCATGGTGTGGAATGGACTAGTTGAAAGTGCCTTATTCTTTCAACTGATCGCCCATACCGGTCCTTATATACTCTGAGCTGCACCGAAAGCACGTCCGCTTCTCGTCGGGTCGGTCGGCGACTGTGCTTTCCTGGTAGTATACATGGCAATACCAGACCTACCAACCCGAAGTTTGGCCGTGTGGAGAGGTAGACGGCTTGGAGATGCCAGAACTGGGGCTTTCAGCGTCATTCCGGTGCTGAGGGATCACTGCCAAGACGTAAGTTCAAGTCTTGCCTCACTTCGGCAGTGGTTGATGGTGCATGACTCGTGCCGAAGTCGCTGGAAAATATCCAAACGGGAGATATTTATGTAGGATTGAGGCACTGTGATAATTAATCGTCGGGCACGCGGTTGGGAAAGTATAACGACCAGCTCTGGCGAGTCGGTCTCACCTTCTCAATGCAATTGCTACTTCCAAGGCGATTGTTCGTGGGTTTCAATGCACGGCACTTCCCACGGTGGCAGGTGCTCATATCCGCACAAAATCATCATCAACCTCCTCTTTACGACTCGTGATGGCGGGGAGGCAGCAAGGTACATGATAGCCGCGGCTGCATCGGCTGCTACTAGTCTTGTTCTTAGACGTATTAAGCATCGCGAAGAAGAGCCGTGCTTGTTGCCGTGACATCGTGTAAAGGTCTGTGTAGCGCAGAGCCTCGTCTCGCGATCTCGTGGCTTGCAAAACTTGAGGAGCCGTCGAGTGGACTAGCGCCCAGTCGAGCAATCGCTAGGCTCAAATAGAGGATCACGCCCCGCGAGCTACAACCCCAGCATACGTCACTCCGCCAGTCCCCACACAAAACTCCCCGGGGTCCAATTGCCGGTATTGGCCCGTGCTCAGTGGGGTGCATGCAGCATGTGCGATCTCCAAATCTCCAACTTTTTGATCTCGTGTTCGTTCTTTCGGGTGAAAAACCTTCGCCATCGTGGAGGCTGGGCTGCAATGCCTTGCATGAATGCGGGGCATTCCGCCGAGGTTCTACCGCTGCTATGGCAAGCCGCCGAAAGATGACCCCGGTTCACGGGCAGACAACACCCTGCACTACAGGTCCGCGACTCTGAAGCTGACGGACGCGTTAGTGATATAGGAAGCATGCGTCCGATGACTAGGGCAAGAAGATTGGAAGGAATCCATATCCCGCTCAAAGTGGTACACATCGTCACATGACGATTTGGAGAGACTCAGGACCGTATGTGCAGATTGTCAAATTGCTATGCGCTAGGCGGAATACTAAAAGCTAGTCTGATCAACAAGAGTAGAGCCCCACGCCCAGAATGATGGACGACAGTGGCCCGGCCGAGGAAAACAACGGGTCTACTTTTTCAGCCTCAACGGCAATGACAACCTAGGAAACAATAGGCCCCACTTTCTCCCACGTTCTACCATTACGCTGTGTCCTTCTCCCCGGATCGGTTTCCGGGGTGCGCGCCTTGCCTTGCTGCCTCACCCACACCATCTGCGGTTTTCTCCGCAGCGCGTTTTGTCTTCGCGCCTTTCTTGGTCTTGTGGAACTTGGCTGTGAAGTTGCTAAGGTTTACAACCCGGAAAAGCCAGTAGGAAAGCAGAGCGAGGAAGACGTTGAAAGATATGAAAGCAAACATAATGCCAAAGTTCCTCCAGCGTTCGCTGTAATAGATACTGCTGCCGGCCAAGAATTGGTCGGCACTCGAAAGAGCGCAGTACTGGCACGATGCAGTCGCATTGGGGTTCTGAATAGTTCCCATTGCGGCTTGAGCATAGGGGCCAAGGTATTGACCGCAAGTTTGGCCAGATGGTGGGTCGAAGATGGATACTTCTGTGGAGCTGCAAACGACCTCGCGACCTGCCAGCATAGTGGAGACGATCCCACTAATCCAGTACGTAAAAGGCGAAACCCGGTACATGAAGATCCAGAACCCTGGAAGGTTGCTGGGGGTTTGCAGAACTCCGTTGAAGAGGATAGACATCAATGTCAAGAGCGAGACCAATCCGGAAGCTGTCTCGGCGTTCGGCAGAGCAGCAATGGTCATGGCTGCGAAAGATGACGTGTATACAAGGAGCTGGATCGAGAACATAAGAACCAGGCCCTGGCGTGCACTGGCCTGCCCTGCACCGACTACTGGGTAGTAGAATGACGCAAACATGAGAACACCGGCGACGATACCATATGGCAGCTCGACTACGATATTGGCAATCATGAAAGCGACCCAAGAGTAGGCCTTGCTAGGGCGCTCGCGGCTCTCGTAAAGGTTGCGCTGAGTGATGAAGAGCGGCTGGATCTGCTGGACAAGGGAGGAGAAGATGGTGGTCAACATGAACACACTGAAGATGATGTTCTGCATGCCAGCTTGAGTGCTGTTGGCGCCGTAAAACGAGAAACCGATGAAGAGACCAGCGACGACACACAGAGCAATCTTGGCGAGTACATATTCGGGCATCCTCCAGTATTGTTGGAACACACGGTATGTGCACTCCCACACCTGAGTCCAGAGTGGCATAGCAAATTCGGTGCCGCCAGTCTCCTCGGCAATGTTGAGGTTGGAGTGGCTTGTCTCTTCGTGAATCTGGTCGATCTCGCGCTGCACCTGTTCGGCTTCTTCGCTCTTCTTCCAGACTTCGAACCAGTCTTCTCCTTGATCATTCTTTCCGGAATTGACAATCTCCAACATATACTCTGCAGGGTTTTCGTCCTCTCCACACTTGCGAGCACCACTGTTTTCGAAGTAGTGGAGGAGCTTCTGCGAGTTCTCTCCGATCGGACCAAAGTAGACTGTCTTTCCGCCCTTGGCCAGGAACAGAAGGCGGTCAAACTCCTGGAACAGAATGGCGCTTGGCTGATGGATAGTGCACAAGATGGCCTGTCCCGCAGACGCAAGCTTGCGAAGGAAGGATATAATGGACCAAGAGCTCTGACTATCAAGACCAGAAGTAGGCTCATCAAGGAAGAGCAGAAGCTTCGGCTTGGCTGCCAATTCCACGCCAATCGTGAGAAGCTTGCGCTGCTCAACGTTGAGACCCTCTCCAGGCACACCAACAACGGCATTAGCGAATTCTTCCATGTTCAACATCTTGATAACCTCCTCAACATAGTCGTACTTCTCCTGCTTGGGCACCGACTTAGGCTGACGCAAAAAGGCTGAAAACCGAAGCGCCTCGCGAACGGTGCTGGTCTCGAGATGCAGGTCCTGCTGTTGGACGTAGCCTGTGGAACGTTGGAAACTCGGATCAAGAGGCTTTCCATTGACAAGCATATCACCGGTGATGACGCCCATGGTAGTTCGTTGGGCGAGCGAGTCGAGAAGAGTCGTTTTGCCAGCACCACTGACACCCATGAGAGCCGTCAAACTTCCGGGCTTGCAGTAACCGGAAACATGGTCTAACAGTCGGCGAGGCTCCCCCTTGATCTCGATGTCGTACACAACATCTCTCCACGTGAAGATACCCTTGGACTCTTCGATAGCGCTGACATCGGTCTCTCCACCTTCAGCCTGAGCAGCGGGCTTGGCAGCAACCTCTTCGAAAGACTGCTTGCCACCCTTCTCTTGCATGTAGGCGGGAACATGGCCACGCTGAAAGACGAGCTGTTCGGCAGTGTTGGTGGTAGACGAGTTGAGCTCGACAGCGACGAAGTAGATGACCATGAAGAAGATTAAGAAAGCGACGAGGATGCCGAAATTTCTCCAAACGTGAGAGAAGGAATACTCATAGGCAACTGCAATAAAATCGTCGCCGGAGACGAATGCCTGTCCTGCAGTTGCTCCTTGCGAGTTGCAGATAAAATTGGTGCCGGTTTGCGTGTATCCTGGTCCCATCGGGATAAATTGATCACAAGGAAATTGGACACCGTGGAATTCGTTAGCAACCAAGATTTCGAAAGCGTAGAATACCGGATTGATCCATCGAATCCAAGAGAACCAGGGATGCATAGACGGAATGCGAATGACGAATCCAGTGTAGATGACGAGGAAGAGGACCAAGACTCCTGCTAACGCCATGGCTTGCGATGCTGTCTTCGTTAAAGCAGCTGTCGAACGGAAGATAGCAGCCATGACAAAGGTGGTAATATAGGTGATCAGGAAGTAGAGGAAGAATTGACCAGGTGTGTACCGAAGCTGAGCAAGGAAGTACAAGACGATGTTGAACACGGTTGCTTGCAGTAGCTTGACAGGTACGTCTGCGACGATGCCTGCTATGGCCTCTGTAGCTGGATGGTAGAACGCGTAAGAGTTGTGCTTTTCGACGATAGGCCTTTGGGAGTACAGTCCACTGATTTCACCAATGGAAGTCAGGGCGTTGAAGAGCACAGCCAAAAACAGAACAGCACCCCTGCCCTGGAAAGAGCTTGTGCCTTGCGAATGACCGAAGTAGATCGAACCGACAATGAGAGCGATAATGAGGTTGAGCATTGCCTGAGTGGCGGTGGAGGCAAAGTCGCCCCAAATTCGCTGGTATGCTCGAACGGTGTTGAGCTTGATCTGCATGGGAATGCTGATTAGATACGGAGACTTGGGGCGTGTGTGCTTGGCCTGGATGTAGTTCTTCTTCTGACGAAACTCGTGGAGTGTAGAGTGTTGACCAACAGGATTCTCCTGCTCGAACTCCTGGATTTCCTTGAGCAATCTCTGGTACTCGGGTGATTCGCGCCAGTACCTCTCGAAGTCTTCTGGTGTGCGAGGAACTTTATTCTCCCAGCCCTTGGCGGGTTGTCGCTCGTCAGAGTTGGTGACAGCTGTTAAGAAATCACCGGTGGTTTGACGAGGAGGACAGTACCAACCCTGGCGCTCAAAGTAGCTTCGTGCTTTATTGGCTGGGCCGAAGTAAATCTGGCGACCTTCATACAAGACTGCTGCCTTATCGAAGCAATCGTACACTGACTGGGAGGCTTGGTAGATGGCAACTGCGGCGGCTCCGCCAGTCATGTCAGATCCAATTCGCAATGAGCGAACAAACTTGAGCGCAGTAGCCGAATCCAGACCGCGGGTACTGTTGTCCCAAGAGGCGAAAGGAGCACCAGCGAGCAGCATTTCTGCAACGGAGACACGCTTCCTCTCTCCACCACTGACTCCACGAACAAAGTCGTTTCCGACTTTAGTGTTGTATGTGTGGCTCAGACCAAGCACAGCCATTACGACCTCTGCGCTGTACTTGGCGAAGTCCTTGCGGGAAGTTTCGTGGGGCCGGTGTGACGGGGTACGGACCGCAGCTGCGAAAGACAAGGTTTGGCTGACCGTCAGGTGAGGGAAGTGCTTATCAACCTAGAATCATATAGTTAGCAATCGTGCACGGATCATAGGATAGGGGAAATTATACCTCTTGGTTGTACACTGTCTCTCCCTTGAACTCCTTAATGACCTTGTGCTGCTCAATACCATTGTAATGAACTTCAGATCCATCGATCTCGAGGCCGTGAAGCTCACCAGTCAACGCCTTCAAAAGAGTGGAACATCCAGATCCGGGGCGACCAAGAACCACGCAAAGCTCACCAGCCTTGATGATGCCATCAAAACTGTGAAGAATTTGCTTGCGGTCCTTCTTGCCAAAGCTAAAGAACTCCTGTGGTCGAAGAGGTGCCAAAAGCATATCTGTGACAGTCTTCTGCAGCTGCAGTGCTGCGCCCGATCCGAACACACTAAGGTTCTTGTAGACAACAGAAAGCTGCTTCATCTCAACTCCCTCTTCCTCGAGGTAGTGTCTGAAAGAACGCAAGAATTTTGTGAGATCGAACTGGTCGCTGCTGGGGTCCATGCTCGGGTCGTTTGGCTCTGCAATGCTATGGCGTGTTCCTTGTCGAGACATGCTCAGGCTGGTGAGAGCACGCTGGAGGTCTCTCCTCTCTTCGTTATTGATCTCAGACTTTGTCACTGTGCGCTCCATGGGTGAGCCCTCACTGTCATCGGTATCTGAGATCTTGGTTCCTTTCCTGATCCGCTGGCCATTGGAGCCATAGCGTGTAAATGAAGAGTCGCTCGAGCTCCCTGTTGCGACCTTTTCGAGAAGTTCATGATCTTCAGCTCCATCCTGAAGGTAATGATTATGTGTCGTGTCTGTATGGTTGTTTGGGGTATTGAGGAGACCGGCACCCGTGCCAGGTCCAGCCCCGACTGCGGCTAGCCCACCTGCTGCGTAATTGCCGGAGGTGTGGGTGTCGTGCTTCCCTGTGATCGGAAACAGTCCATAGCTACCACGTGATGTTGAGCGTTGAACTTCTGGCGACTGGTGCCCATCTGGAAAATATGTTTCGCGGCCAGACTCTGTTCGAAGAATGCCATCAAAGGGGTTTGCAAGTTCGCTGACTTGGGACGTGTCTTGTTGTGATTGGGATGTCGATTCATTGTGATGTGTTGACGGTGTATTCTGCACCTGGTTGCTTGATGACATGTTGGTGAAGTCACCCTGAGATTGGTGATCCTGAGCCATGACGGGCAACGACAGGTGTGAACGTTAAAGCAGTGTTTGTTAATGATCGCGATCACGACAACATTTGCAGCGTAATAAACATAATTGAACCCTTTCTCCGCCATTACATCAATGCACAGAATTCCACCTATTCGGATCGCGGATCGATAAGGTGATCGTGGTTAGCTCCTTGCGCTGAAAACGGACGAAATGAGCGTTACACAGATGCTCATCTGATAGGGCAGATTTGTGGACATCTTGACGCTATGGCGGGACCATCACGACGAAAAAGGCCTGACTCTGCGCTTGTAGACGCCTTGTTGCTCCAGACTCGCGTGCTAGAGGGTTGGTCCTGGGCGCCGAGTGGATCTTCGCACGTTGGAGCGATGACGTCGTGCCTACGGATGCCTGCGGAAACAGAAGCTCAACCATCGGACCTTAACAGCCTGGAAAACATCCAAAATGATGCCCCACTGCAGGTATTCATGACCGTCGATCAAACTGTCGTCACCAAAACCTGCTGCCAGGGATCGACGCAGCCAGGGAGGCCTGCGCAGATCACCAAAATTGTTCTGGCGGCACTTCGTATTCGGTCTCTACCGAAGAGCTTCACCACGCTTGGCTCGGACTCCGGATAACTTTCTCGGAGCGGTTCAGCCTTGCTATAAACCCGATGGCATCGTTTGTACGATCCGCTCTTCAGCGTTGGACTTCCGGACAAACAGCAGTCTTCACCCTCCGAGTGAACTTGACACCGACTCCCCGATGACAAGTCACAACATCGCCACAATACCAAATTGGCTCACCGTTCATGGCCGGAGTTCTCACGAAGCACGTTGCTTACCCCCGCTGACTCAGATCCTTAGCCCTGCGGATGCAGCCGAGCCAGACCTTCCCTCACAGTGGCAGAGGTCACAGCGCCTTTGTCTTGAACGCCTGATTCGCAGCAGCTAGCGGCACCTTGACAGACCATGAGTCACAATGACTATCGAGCGACTGCCTGTCAATCTACCTTGTGCGCACTGCATGTGCATGCTACTGTTGACTTTCGATACACTACTTCGTACTGCGTGTTCTACCAAACTTCACACGAACCTAGCACGATCCTCTTCTGTCAAACACCCCTACTTAGGCTGCTCATAGAAGGCTAGTTCTCTGCGGCATCTTCGCATTGTGAAGACCGAACTCCCTCACGCCCAAGGTTTATCATCCCGATTATAAGACGCGCCCGAGCAATTGGACGCGTCTGTCTGTCAAACCGGCTGCTTACATCGGTCTCGGACCACAACTTCAGCACATCTTGTGGACTGGCTCGAGAGGCAGTGCAAACATGATTGCGCGCCATGGGCAACTATTAAACATCCAGGAACGAACTCTCGTTCTTGCTCTCTTTCTCGTTCTCGTTTGATTACGGCAAGACCGACGGGGCCGCAGTATTATGCGTTCGGGCTGCCGAAACTGAATGACCACCGCAGAGGCGTAACAACTGCACCGATGGCCGGGTTCTCATCTCTTGCGCGGGACCGAGTAAGGCTGAGCACAAAATCCCACATAATCAGCAGTCATCCTGAGTAAGCGCCATTGAAGCGTCCCAAATTACAAGAGAAGCGGTAAGAAGGACCTGTAGCACCTCTTTACTCGCAATAGGACCAGGTAGTTCCAGAAAGCGGCATCTAGAATCTTACTCAACATTGTCACATCTCAAGACAGCAAGATCTGCAACTCAAGGATGCTCGCGTGCCGTTTGCAAGAGAGAAGGAAGAGAGCCAATGTGCATCGTACGCTTAGTACAAGGCTACGCTGTCCGCTTCGCCAAAGCACCTCAACACCGATGCCACGTGCTGCTTCTTCCCCGTGCCTGAGAGCATGCACTTGAAGGCGCCAAAAGACGAGCAAATGTGTCCACCAAAACGAATCTGCTCCCACTGATGCGCTGTTTCGCTCTTCCAATCGAAATTGTCATCGGGTGCTGTGTATTCACGGTGGGCTGAGTGGCTTCTCGTACAAATCTCATGAACTCTCGGCAGTTCTTTTTCCGCACGATACTTCGCGATATGCTGCGAAGGACAAGGACAGAGATGCATGGGCTCTGCTTCTGTCCCTCTCCAAACCACGACCACCACACTGCCATTTTTCAAATCGCCTGAGACCGTCTATATAGCCGTGCTTTCGTCCTGAACGCATGTCACACTGGCCACGCGTCAATCAATACCCGTCTTGCACCACTGTCGAAGACGTAGAAATCCCGTTGAAAACTAGCGAATGCGCTTCATGTCCCCACCGCAAAAACACGCACGCCGTCGACATATATCCGGCACCTTTTTCGCGCCTTGACTATCACCATGATCCCAAGCCCAGAAACTCACATGTCCGTGGTCAAGTGCAGAGCATCTCAGATAGATGCAAAACATAATCAACTTAAGCAGCTCGGATGGCGTACACAACCGTCGCACTGCTCATACACAACCGCCGCACCGTTCATACGCAAGTGTACCTCATACACCACATCTGCCAGTGGCGGTCTGCAGGCGCTTCGGAGGAGTGCTGGATATGCTCGCGTCTTTGTCCTCTTCCTCCTGCGTGGAACGGTGGTATCGAGGGCACTGGTCCTTCGTCTTGAAAAGGTGCTGGAGAGAGATCGTCGGCGAAGGGGCTGTGGCTGCGTTGTTGTAGGTTGGACGGGTGGATGAGCTGCTAGCGCTGCAATCGGGGTTGGACTGGGAGTGTCTGCTTTTGGGTCAGAGATTAGCGGGAGAATGTCTCGTGGTGGGTATGGGATCTATTGTGTTATTGCTCTACTGCATGCCTGGAGACCTCGAGTGATCGGACGAGAGACGTGTCGTACCGGGAAAACAGGCGATGAGAGATGAGATGTGAACTTTTGCATTATTTCGAATCATTACTTCAATCAAGGGACGCGCTACCATGCAAGTGCAAGGGTGGCAGGCGCCTAGTACTTCTCACCCTCAAGAATCGGCCGCGCCTCCTCGCTCTTCCACCACGAAACACCCTCCTTGCCCGGGTACGAGAACCTGTCCATGGACTCGGGCTTCATCTCGACGCTGTACCCCGGCTCGGTCGGGGTGACATAGTACCCGTTCTCGATGCGGCTGGGGTTGAAGAAGTGCTCGTGCAGATGGTCGACGTACTCGAGGACGCTCTTCTTGGCCGACACGACGACGTAGTCGATCGTCGACAGATGCTGCGTGTACTCGGGCAGTCCGACGCCGCCGGAGTGGGGCACGATGGGCACGCCGTACTTGGCGGCCATGAGCAGCACGGCGATGACTTCGTTGACGCCGCCCAGGCGGCAGGCGTCGATCTGGCAGATGTCGATGGCGCCGGATTGGAGGAACTGCTTGAACATGACGCGGTTCTGGCACATTTCGCCCGTTGCGACGCCGATGCCGTAGGGCTTCAGGGCCTCTCTGATCGCCTTGTGGCCGAGAACTGGGGGTCGTTAGGTACAATGTAAGAGTGTCGGGGGTTGGGACATACCATCATCAGGGCTGGTGGGCTCCTCGATGAACCACGGCTTGAACTCCTGGAGCTGCTTCATGTACTCGATGGCCTCGGGCACGCTCCAGACCTGGTTCGCGTCGACCATGAGGACGTTGCCCTTGTCGAAGCCGATGATTTCGCGTGCGATGCTCAGGCGGTGCTTGTCCTGCGCGACGTCGCTGCCGACCTTGAGCTTGAAGTGGCGGTACCCCTTGCTCAGCGTCTCCTGCAGCAGAGCCTTCATCTTGTCCTCGCCGTATCCGAGCCAGCCGGCCGATGTGGTGTAGGCGGGCACGGCCTGCGAGTCAAGCGCTTCCTGGAGCCTCTCCTTCTTGCCGGTCTCGGCCTTGGTGAGGATCTCCAGCGCCTCCTCGGGCGTGAGGGCGTCGGTGATGTAGCGGAAGTCGATCAGGTCGACAATCTGGCTCGGCGTCATGTCTGCGACGATGCGCCAGACGGGCTTGCCGAGTGTCTTGGCCCACAGATCCCAGATGGCGTTCACCACGGCACCGAGCGCGAGGTGGATGACACCCTTCTCGGGGCCGATCCAGCGCAGTTGTGAGTCGTTGACGAGATGGCGCCATGTCTTGCCCCAGTTCTCGACGAGGGATTCAAGGGTGCGCCCCTTGACGCGGTCGGCGAGGTGTGCGATGGCCGAGCAGACAATCTCGTTGCCGCGGCCGATTGTGAAGGTCTGCCGGGGTCAGCTTGATACAATGGAGTGGTTGCAGACTGTGGAGTGGTTGCAGGCTATGGAGTGGTTGCAGGCTATGGAGCGGTTGCAGAATGTGGAGCGGTTGCAGGCTATGGAGTGGTTGCAGGCTGTGGAGCGGTTGCAGAATGTGGAGTGGTTGCAGACTACGGAGTGGTTGCAGACTGAAGCGGCTCGAACGGTTGGATGGAGACGTCTGCTCGTGCCCAAGTCATGCTGAAGCTGGACGAGGGCGTCACAATGCACCGATTCCGGCCCGCTTTGACAAGGAAAAAGCAAATTCACTTACCATACCATGTCCAGAGAACTCCGAATCCGTGCTCAGAATGCAGTAAGCCGAGGAGTAATCTCCCGCAGCGTTCATAGCATCGGAGCCCGTCTTGTCAAGGGAAGTCTAACAACCAGTCAATTCAGCTTCACAGAAACCGACATGCATCTTGGCACATACCGGGAACCGCACATCCCTCGTCTCAACGCCTGTGATGGTAACCATTGTGGATGATGTGTGTGAGAGGTCGTCTAGAGTGAGGATTCGGAGCGAAACTCAGTACCCCGCGGTGTCTGTAGGACTGTAGATTGCTCGCGAGGGAAAGTCTGGGTATCAGGGTATGAACGGCGGTGCAGAGGAGAGCGAGAAGCGGTGTAAAAGGTCGATTCCACACAACCGCGCCATCAGACATGCTTTATAGCACGGAGTTCCGCTCGCAACACCATCCCACTAACCCCCACATTGGCCGGGGAGTCGCAGCCAAGGTGGATCTGTTTTCCATCCGCACCCCACCACCGCGGCGCCCATTGGTGGAACATCTGGCGCCGCAGCCACAGCGAGCGGGCTGGTGCGGCCCCGATCTTGAGCCGCGTGAGCGGTTTACCGGCATGAGAGCACGGTGCATGTCGCACGTGAGGTGGAGGGTGAGGGAGGACCCCGCGGGCTTTGAGCGGTGCCTCATGCGGAAATTTGATTGAGGCTCTGAAAGCTTGCGCTGTTGGCGAGGCTTGGTCGCGGGTTGCACGACATGGCAGCATGCGGGGACAATGTACGAGACGTTCATGGTAGGCAGAGGAATGCGGAAGTCTGATGGAAGCATTGCCTCGACAGCCTCGACGCTTCTGGATTGTTGAATTCTGGAATATTTACGGCCGTGGAGCACTAGTGGGACTATTCAGTGCTGAACCTGAAGCATGGTTCTCCACGCAGGGACGCGCTAGAGCGCGGACTTGCTCGATTTGGCGCGTGTTTGGGGTGTAATTGTGCGTGTTTGGGGTGTAATTGCGCGCGCGTGCTTGGATGAGACGTAGAGTACCAGATGAGCAGCTGTCTGTTTTCCACGAGTGCGCTCTCTCTGCGCTCTGTCCTGCTTGTCAGCACTCGAGAGCCTGTGAGACACACCTCTTGCCTTTATTCGCTCCATGTTGAATTTCCATTGCAGGGTTCTTCAAAGTCGAAGACCCTAGTGCATATCAATTGCTGTCTGCTACTAGGTCCACCGCGGTGCTTGCTTATTTGATGCCCCGCTTCTCCGTCTCGCTGTAGTAGATGACCATGCGCCAGAGCTTCTTCACGAGCGACTCGGCCTCGTCGTCGAGCGCCTGCAGTTTGATTAGCAACGTGTCGAGATGAATGTCAAGATTGTACTCACAACTTCGAGGTTCTCCACCAAGGCCTGCGGACTGCCCCTGCTCTTCAAGTGCTCCACAATGGCATCGACCAGCATGTCCTCTTGCAGGCCCATGAGCTCCAGGACCTTGTTCGCTGCCCAGTCCTTGATGTCCTTGTCAATGTTCTTCTCAGGCAGATGCTCCCATGACACAGGCCACTTCCACAGACCCTCTCTGTCGTTGGGAATGTCTCTTGCAAGCTGTCGCTGCGCATCCTCGACCTCTTCTTGCGTGAGATTGGCGCGAACGGCGGCGTCGAAGTTGATGGGGACGAGGGCGCGCTTCTTGCCGCTGCTTTGATCAGTGACTTCTTCGTCTTCGAGCAGGTTTTCGACGTCGGCAGCAGTGCGGCGGGGAGCTGCAGCGGTCTCGAGCTTCTTGGCTGCGGCACCGAGAGAAATCTTGAAGTGCTGAGGCTCGCGGTGCTCTTGAGTGCGCTCCGTCTCGTCGGTTTGCGCATCGAGGGAGGCATCGGCCTGGCCACGAGCGTGGTCCCGCTGCTTCTGCTGAGAGGCCAGCTCGCGCTGTTCCTGAGCGCGGTCCTGGGCGTCTTCCCGGACCTCGCGCTCGCGGACCTTTTCGCGCTCGCGCATGTATTCGCCACGATCGCGGTAGTAAAGATGACGCCGGGTCGAGGCCTCTTGATCGTCGTCGAACTCCTTGAGCTGCTTGGCCTGCGCGTCTCGCGCAGCTTGCTGCTCAGCCTCCTGGTTCTTCATGCGGTCGCTTGTGCGTTCCAGAGAGGAGACGCTCCTGCTCTCGTGCTTGAGCCACTTGGAAAGCTGCCTCTGGTACTCGCTCTCCTGCTCGTCGTCCCGCTTCTTCTTGCGTCGACGCTCCATCTCAGAGTCGCTGCCCGAGTCGTCGTCGTCTTCGCGGCTGAAATAAGTGCCGTTGGCGAGAGACCCTCCGTTGGTGAAGCTGACACCGCCCTGGTAGTCCTTGGGGAATTGAGAGCCCCGTGGGCCGCTCGGGGCGCCCTGGAGGCCGCGATCTGCCTTGGGTCCGACTGGGACACCATTGGCGCCGCCAGGGCCTGTCGGAGCAGATGGCGGTGGCGAGCGCCTGCCGCTCCGGCGACGCTCTGCCTCCTCCAGCTCCTCTTCCCTCCGGAGTCGTTCGCGATCGCGCTGGTTCGAGCGGTCGCGGAAGGCGGCGATTTCAGCGGCAACGATCTCGCGCATGTCTGCGGGAATGTCGGCGAGCTCGTCGTCAGCGTTGGTCAGGTTGACAAAGGCAACCTCGACGCCGTCGCCGTCTTGCGCCGGCATGTCCTGCATCATGGCGTCTCCGCCATAGTCCATCTGCGGCATGTTTGGCGGGTTGAACAGGCTCGCGAGGACGCCTGACAGAGCCTCCCTGGCGCTGTCGATGCGGAACTGGACCGTGGCCTCGTCTTCGTTGCGCGTCTTGCTCCACTCCTCGGCGTACTTGATCGATGCATCGTCGACCATGACGTGCAGCTGGCTCGTTTCCACCTCCTCCTCCACCTCCTCCTCCTCCTGCTCCTCCTCCTCCTTGTGCTCCTTGTGCTCCTTGTGCTCCTTCTTCTCCTTGTGCGCCTTCTTCTCCTTGTGCGCCTTCTTCTCCTGTCCCGGCTGCTGTCGCTTCGTGGGGACCCTGACGTCCTTGAAGATATCGGCGGCGGTCTCGAGGCTCTGGGCGTCGGCGAACTCGGCGAAGCCAAACGTCTGGGGCTTGTTGTTGGCGTCGGTGGCCCGCGTCCAGCGCACCAGCTTGCCCGCCGTCTCTAGAATGCGCTCCATGCCCGCGTCGCCGCCCACTCCGTCGGGGATGCTGCCGACGAAGATGGTCCGCGCAATCTCCTCGCGCGTGGGCGGTATCACCTGCTGCGGGCCGTCTCTGCGATCGCCGTCGCGGTCCATGCCCAGGCCGCGTCGCGCCGGCATGGCTGCGCTCTCCTTGCGCGCCCCCACGGCGCTGTCGGCCGCGCCTCCGCGGCCGGGCTGTGTGCCGAGGCGGATGACGGGCGCGTTGAAGTTGAAATTCGGCATGTTTGCCGGCGGCTGCCAGTTCGAGGGCAGCGGGCGCGGGCCGCCAAGCTGGGGAGGGCCTTGAGGCTGCGCGACGCCGGGCGCCGCGACGCCCGGGGGGACCGCGCCCGGGGGTCCTGCTGGATGCTGTCAGCCTAGAAGCCCACTTTCCGGACGTCTTCCATACCCATTCCCGGCGGCGCCATGCCGGGCGGCGAGCCTGCATAGCGCGGAGGGCCGCTGAACCCGGGTGCACCTGCGCGCGTTAGCTGTGCTCGAGCTGCACACTGTGGCGCCAGACGTTACCTGGATAGTTGTACATGTCGCCAATCGCCTCTGCGGAGAGTCTGGCGGTCTGTGAGGGAGACGCAGACGACAGAGCAATAGCGTCGTCGCGGTGCGGACCAACAAGGCCGACCCCGAAGCAGTCCTGTCTTTTCGAGACTGGAGATTGCGCACAGACCGCAACGCTAGGAAATGTCGAAGTGAACATGGCACAGCTCCGCAAGACGACGCCAGCGCCGCGCCGACGCCCAATTGCGGTCCCAGCTACCTCCCGACGACGTCCAGCGCCTCGACAGAAACACAAAACACACCGCACACGTCGCCGTCACCATGGGCTCCCGCGCCGTCGGCGAGTGTCTGCTCCGCCCTCGCACCTTTGCCCGCCCTCGCACCTTTGCCCACCCTCGCGCCTTTGCCCGCCCCACGCCCGCGCGCCTCGGACCAGCGTGGACAGCGCGCTGCGTCAGCAGTACCCCCTCAGCACCCGCCGCCTCCCCAGCACGCCAGGGCGCCCCCGAGCCAGCTCCGACGCGCGCGGCCGCGGCGCAGTCGCCCAGCCCGTCGCCCAGCGCGGCCAGCGCCAACGCCGCCATCGCCGACCTCTTCGGCACGACGGCCAGCGACAGCGCCTCGGCCAGCGGCGCGCAGCAGACGAACCGGCTGTTCGGCGAGAACTTCAGCCCCGTGGGCCGCCGCAGCCGTCGCAGCCCGCCCGCGCTGAACTTCAACGACATGCTCGGCGGCGACGCGCTGCTGGACCCGCGGCTCGACAACAAAAACACCACGCCCATTGCCGAGCAGCAAAAGGCCACCTTTGACAACTACCCGCGTCTGACGCCCCAGTACGGACGCACGGTGCATCTCGACGTCAGCCGCGGACGCGACATCGTGAGGGGCATTGGCATGCTGGGCAGCTTGATGGCGCGGAACAAGGTCAAGACTGATTTCGCCGACCAGCGGTTCCACGAGCGCGGCGGGCTGAAGAGAAAGAGGCTGAACAGCCAGCGGTGGCGGGCCAGATTCAAGGCGGGCTTTCAGAGCGTGACGGGGCGGGTCGTGGAGCTGACGCGCAAGGGGTGGTAGACGGCGCTTTGCTGGTGATGCGGCGTCGGCGGGTGGTGTAAGATTGCGTTGCGTTTATGCATAGACATGTACCATACGAGTGAGCGGCTCCAGGCTGTGAGGTTGGCAAGATAAGACAGCATTGCTCTGCACAAGCGAGTCAAGTTTTCAATCAGCGATCGCATATCGATCCCCTTGACGGGACATTGCCGAGTCTCACAAACCACAGCGGTCTCGCCCATCTCAACACCTCACCACCACTAGCCGTGTCGTTCGCACAAAACACCGACCCACACTTCTCATCAAACACACACACACACACACACACACACAGACACACACACACACAGACACACACACACAGACACACACACATGCATTGCAAGCTACACGCTCTACGCACTCAGTCCTTCTTGCCCAAGCCCCCTCCATACGCATACCCCCCCAACCCATACCCACTCCCCGTCCTGTTCAGCCCCCCGTTCGGAATCGGCAATCCATACCCACTCCCCCCACCCATGCCCGCCCCCATACCAAACCTGCTGCCGCCATTCATCTTATCCCTAGCATACACCCTCAGCCGGCGCGGCAGCTCGACGCCCCGGAAATACGCCACGCACACGGCCGCGCTCGCGCCCGCGCTGAGCAAGCAGTACAACAGCGTGCTCTTGTAGATATGTCCGCCGTACCCCGCCCAGCCCGGTGGAAGGGTGGTGGAGGGATACCAGCGGACGCTAAACGCGAGCGGGAGGGGATCGCCAATGGACACGCGGACGTTGCGGGTGTGGCTCGCGATGCTGTAGGCCGTGGCGGCGTCGACGGTGCCGGGGCTCGCGCGCCGGTCCGCCGCGTGCAGAAGCAGATTCAGGCTGTTGCCGACGTGCAGGTGGCTGAGCTGCAGGGTGCCCGCGAGCCCGACGACGAGCGGGGTGTAGGCGGAGCTCTGCGTGCCGAGCGCGCCTTCCTGCGTCACCTCGTCTGAAACGCGGTACTGTGTCTCGAGCACGCTCGGTGGGAGGGGTTTGCTCGGGATCCGGCATGTGAGCGGCGCGTCGTTGTGCACGTAGAATTCGAGGAGGTGGAAGAACTCGTCCGTGACGAAGTCGATGGTGCAGTTGATTTCCCTCTCCAGCCCGAAGAAGAGCTCCAGTGGACGTCCGGTCTCGTTGCATACGGGGAAGGGTATGTATTGGAGCTGCCCGTTGCTGTCGACAATGTGCTCGCCTGTCTCGCTGCGAGTCGTTAGCTGCGAACCGAGAGAGGGGAGCGGGAGCGGGCGCACATTGTGCGGTTTAGACAAGTGACGGGAATCGGCTCGCCCGCGTTGTAGCCTCGTGCTTCTTGGACTGATTTGAGCGGTTCTTGACCGCTCACGGCGCTGGCGAGGGACGTCCAGAAAGAACACAGCGCCAGCAAGGAGAGCCAGACATTCGAAGCCATTGCGTTATGTCGACCGCAGAGAACAAATTGGCGCGAGACCATGTAGGCAAAGGCTCACCACAACACCGGCAGTGCGTGCTAGGGTGCGCTGCGATTTTGTCCATCTGTCAACTTGCACATGTCGAGGTAGTCCGGAGGTCAAAGCGTTTGCTCCTCCGCCGCAAACTCCGCATTCTCGAATCTACAAAGCACACACAACATAAGCAACTTTGTTGGTAAAATCCATTCGCTCTGAATCGCTTTAGACTATTGGACTTGCTAGATACTTTTGCTTTAATCATGTTGTCGCAATCATCACCCATAATCGACCTCGGTCTACAACTTCACATCCTTGGCCGGAGCGAGCTTGCTCTTGAAGGCGTTGATGAGACCGCTTGTGCTGGCATCGTGCGACTTGGACTCCTCTTTGTCGTCAAGCTCAGACTGGATCTTCTTGGCCAGACTCTTGCCGAGCTCGACACCCCACTGGTCGAAGCTGTTGATGTTCCAGATAGCGCCCTCAGTGAAGGTGAGGTGCTCGTAGTAGACAATCAGAGCGCCGAGTGTGGCGGGAGTGATCTTGTCGGCCAAGATGGAGGTGGTGGGTCGGTTGCCAAGGAAGGTCTTGTGTGAGACGAGGCTGTCGGGGGCACCCTCAGCCTTGACCTGGTCAGGGGTCTTGCCAACCATCAGAGCCTCAGCCTGGGCGAAGAAGTTTGACGCCAGCATCTTCTGGTGCTTGTTGTTCTGAACAGGGTTGTGGCTGTTGGCAGCCAGGATGAAGTCGGTGGGAATGAGCTTGGTACCCTGGTGGAGCAGCTGGTAGAAGGAGTGCTGGGCGTTGGTCGCTGGCTCACCAAACACAATGGGGCCGGTGGTGTACTTGACGTAGTCGCCGCTGCGGGTGATGGCCTTGCCATTCGACTCCATGGATAGCTGCTGAAGGTAGGCAGGGAACCTGTGGAGGTACTGGTCGAAGCTACGAAACGTTAGACAATGTCTTCCATGCGCTCATGGTGACTTACGGAGAGACGAGATGGGTCTGAGCACCGAAGAAGTCAGAGTACCAGACACTCAGCAGACCACCGAGAACGGGGATGTTCTTCTCAAGAGGAGTCTCCCTGAAGTGCTTGTCCATGGCGTGAGCGCCTTCAAGGAACTTGTGGAAGTTGTCGTAGCCAATGTATAGAGCAACGCTTGTACCGATGGCAGACCAGACACTGTAACGTCCACCAACCCAGTCGGAGAATCCGAACATGTTCTTCTTGTCGATACCGAACTTGGTGACCTCCTCCTCGTTTGTGGAGAGAGCGACGAAGTGCTTGGCAATGTCCGCCTCCTTAGCCTGTTCCAAGAACCATGACTTAGCAGTGTTGGCGTTTGTGGTGGTCTCGGCTGTGGTGAAGGTCTTGGAGGCGATCAGGAAGAGAGTGGTCTCGCGGTTGGAGTCCCTCAGTGCCTCAGCGATGTGAGTTCCGTCAATGTTGGAAACGAAGTGAGTCTTGAGGCCGCGGTCAGCGTAAGGCTTGAGGGCCTCGGTGACCATGACGGGGCCGCTGGAGATAGTTAGTACTTGCGTTTCCCTCCTTTCGAATCCAAACACGACTTACAGATCAGAACCACCAATACCGATGTTGACGATGGTGTCAATCTTCTTGCCTGTGTAGCCCTTCCACTCGCCGCTACGAACCTGCTCGGTGAACTCCTTGATGTGCTCGAGGACCTCGTTGACACCCTCAACGACGCTCTTGCCGTCAACCTCCATTTTCTCATTGGAGGTGTTGCGGAGAGCTACATGGTAGACTGCGCGGTCCTCTGTGAAGTTGATCTTCTTACCAGCGAACATGTCATCGCGCAACTGCTCGAGACCAGCCTCCTTGGCGAGCTCGACGAGGAGCTTTACAGTCTCCTCAGTGATGAAGTTCTTGGAGAAGTCAAAGAGAATCTCGGAGTTCTCGGCACCGTTCTTGAAGACATGGCTGAACTTCTCAAAACGCTGCAAGATTGTCAGTAAGGGTCGACACATTGCATGCGACGCTGCATACCTGGGGGTCCTTGTTGAAGTACTCCTTCAAGACGATATCTTTTCCAAGCTTCTGGTGGTGGTCCTGGAGGGACGACCAGGCGTTCAGGTCTGATGCTTGCGCGAAGCCGGGCATGTTGTGTTACGGGACTGGCGGGGTCAACAAAGCAATGCTCCGAACGAGACCAGTAACTTACAATTGAAGTTTGGGGGTATCAAAAGGGAAATGCAAATTCAATTGAGCAGAGAGCAGTGTCAGAAGTGTTGAGTAAGGGTGAGAGAAGACGATCGACGGCGTGTTGAGGTAGCTGCATCTTGGAGCTGTGGAAGGCGCGGCCGAGAAGCCCCCACTATGCCCCGCCGCGCTCGCGGATACGTCACAGCTTTACAGACGGTTAAATCGTGACCAGCAAACTTCTCCGCGTGCTTAGTAAAGGAGCATACAAATGCTCACTAACTGACAGGCGCAGTTGCGGTACCATGTGGCTGGGCTGTCAGTGTCAGATTCGTTCCAGACTTTGCAGAGTGGGATATCATCTTGCATTGCCTATCTGGGCGTGTTCCAAGAACAAAATGCTGCCCCCATGCGCCGATGCCGTTACAGAACCAAAATAGCCAAAAGCGCTGAGAGTTCCCACCAATCACACGCTCATCTATGTATGCTCCAAAGCCCGACAACAACAGTATCTAAAGTTGCAAAGGCGACGGTCCGATCGCCGAGGCAGCCGACTATTGGCCGAGCTAATTCAGTCACCGTTTCTTGAACAAGGATGACCTTACTTCCTATCCGCGACACCCTCGAAAGATGGGTCCTTTACGGAGCCACCAGCATCTCCGAGGCCAGCAACCGGCCGGTTGTAAGACCAGCCAGCGAACTGCTCTTGCATGGTCTGCGACAGCATCGGCCCATCGACGTACGAATCTGTGGGTGCTTCTGAGGTGAACTCGCGATCAAAGTTGGCAGTGTCCTTGGCGTCGACCTGAGATTTTGTTAGCACGCAGGTAAGTCGAGTCGACGAGAGTTGTACACACCACATTGGGCTTGAAACTCGGCTCGTACTTCCTCTCCAAAAGCTTGCGCCAGTCAATGCTGTGGAAGAAGTAGTGTGCCTTGATCTCAGCCGCACCCTTGGCTCCCAGGCGCTTCTCTGCGTTGCGGTCAAGCAGACGGGTCAGGAGGTCGCGTGCAGCAGGGGGAACGATCTCGGGGCCAGGGAAGTGGAGCGGCTCGGTGAGAATCTTGCGGTACATGTCGTTGGTGTTCTCGTCGTAGAAAGGGGGCAGCCCTGTCAACATCTCGTAGAGGAGGACACCGAGTGTCCACCAATCTACCGATTTCGTGTAGCCGCCGCCAGTGAGGAGCTCAGGAGCAAGGTACTCCGGTGTTCCACAGAATGCTGAAAGAAGGTTAGTAGCAGTCCATGACCGGTTCCGTTCAGACACTCACTGTTTGTGCGGTCCTCGTCCTTCATGTCAAGCTTGCAGAGGCCGAAATCGCACAGCGCAATGTGGCCAGTGTAGTCGAGCAGAATGTTCTCGGGCTTCAGGTCACGGTAAATGACATTGAACCCGTGCAGGCACTCCAGCGCGCATAGCAGCTCTGCAGCATAGAATCGCGCACGGTTGATGTCGAATCTTTGCTCTTTCTGCAGGTGGTGGAACAGCTCGCCTCCGTTGACAAAGGCCAAGACAAGATAGAGCTTCTCTGGTGATTGGAAAGAGAACTTTAGTGGTACAATGAAGGGGTTGTTGATCTGAGCCAGAACGGATCGCTCAGCGAGAGTATGCGCGACCTCGGATCGAGAAATGATGTGGGCTTTGCGGATGGTCTTCAGGGCGTAGATTCGGTGTGTGTCCTTCTTCCTGTATGGTGTGAGCATTGGGCCACCACGTTCAAGACGTGCGTTACGTACTGCACCTGCATGACCTTTCCGAAGCTGCCCTTTCCAACAACCTTGAGCAGCTCAAAGTCGTCGATGGCCAATCGGTCTTGTCGGTTCTCGACGAAGTTGACGCCGACCCTCATCTGGCCGCTGCCGAACTGGACACTGATCCAATCAGCGCCAGCCTGGCCAGCAGCAATGGCCTCTCCCTTTCTGTCCTTGCCATCGCGCTGCTCCTCGAATCGGGGGTTGATCCTCAGAGTTCCAATGAAAATGTCCTCATTTCGGCCAGCGTTGGGAGGCGCGGTAGGGTTGCGGATGTAGAGGGAGACGGTCAGGTCGGTGACTCTGGAAACATCGAACTTGTACTGTGTGTTGCCGCCAGCCCACAGTGGGTTCTCTGGTGTGCCAGAGACGGCGTTGATGAAGACTTGCTGCTTGTCGAAGTCGACCAGAGCGTAGGGCAGGTGCTTCGACGAGTAGCGGCCGTGGATGGTGGGCGCCGCGTTGATGCTACCAGCGGCAGACTGCGGGCGGCCCTGGCCGGTGTACGAGCCAACGACGGGATTCCGCGACGAGCCCGGGCGCATCGACCCCGCCACGGAGAAGCCACCGCCGGTCGAGAGAGAACCCTGGTGATGCGAGCCGCCGCTGAAGGCAGCCTCGGCGCCCGGCGGGAGAGAGAAGCCCTTGCCCTCGTGGAGTGTGACGATCAGGATGCCAGGGCGGAGGGGCGCTGGCGGTGGGGCTGCGTTCGCGTCTGAGGCGGCTGCGAACAATTAGCAGTGTCTCGGCACAGGGCATGCAGAGACGCACCAACGCCGCTGGGGTCGGCGAGCGTCGCATTGCTGCTGGCAGGGCTCGTTGCGGCCCTGGGCGTCTGCTGGTCCACAATGGTCGACGTCGACGACGAGCGGCTGAACGTGTTGGCGAGCGGCGCCAGATGCGTCTCCTTGAGCTCTGCGGCACGTGTCAGAATGCATCGTGGGCGGCACACAGGACTACCCACTCTTGGTGAGCTTCCAGGACATGGTGGCAGCGGGCGCGGCGGTCTCGCGGTGCTGTGCAGAAGACGCAGTGCCGGTGTGTGGGCGGTAGAGACGGGAGGCCGGCGGGAGCGGGGAGCAGGCAGGCCGACGGTGCGGTGAGGCTGGAGCGAAAGGCGGCCGAGCGAGCAGAGGGCCGGAGGGCAGAGGGCAGAGGGTATAGGGGCTGGACAGGTGGCGAGTGGCTGTCGAGATGCCCAAGGAGGCCCGTCGGCGTGCACTTCTGAGGGGGCACGGCCTGTTTGAGGCTCGCGTTTGGCTAGCTATGCTCTCCAGGTACGAAGGTAATTAGTCTTGGGCGAGGATCTATCGCGTCGCCTCGCGCCCGCAGAGGCACCGAGAGCCTTGATCGTGAGGGATTCAAGTGCGCCCTCTTGGCTGCTCGTCTTCAGCCCGCGAGCCCCACGCTGAGTGAAGTACGCATCTATTGCCTGCGACGGTGCCCCAGGGCCGCATCCCCATCCAGCTGTAACACTGCGTGCGTGCGTGCGTGCGTGCGTGCTTCGCTGCCTCGGCTGCACCTTCCCCCCATCCATCGAAGATCCATCTCCACCACATCTACAAAGTGTTGCGACTGTCAACACCACGAGCGAGTGCGACGCGCCCATCTCCGCAGGCCATTATTGACGCCGCACACTGCACCGCCACACAGCGCGCACTCGGGCTGTTGGGCCTGCATCGCACTGCACCGCCACGCCCGCGGCTGCGCCGATTCGAGCGCCGACTTCACCTCCGAGCGCCGACCGCCTCTACTTCTGCCCCGTGCGCGAGCGCGCCTAGACGACCATCATGGGCGTCATCAAGAAGAAGACGGGGACGCGTGGCACCGAGGGCGGCATCAAGTATGTCTGCGACGTGTGCTCGTCTGACATCACATCTACGGTATGCACACTGCCTGGAGCTTCTCGAGGATGCGCAGTGTCAAGAGCCTCCTGTTGACATGCCTAGGTGCGCATCCGCTGCGCCAACGACGACACCTGCCACGAATATGACCTCTGCGTGCCGTGCTTTTCCGACGGCAAGGCCTCGCGCGACCACAACCCTGCGACCCACTCGTTCAAAGTTGTTGAGCAGCACTCCATACCAATATACACCGAGGACTGGGGCGCAGACGAGGAATTGGCATTGCTCGAGGGTGCCGAGACATACGGCTTGGGCTCATGGGCAGACATTGCGGACCACATTGGCGGCTTCAGGGAGCGAGACGAGGTCCGCGACCACTATATCGACACGTACGTACAGAGCTCCAAGTTCCCGCTGCCGGAGCATGCCAGCAAGGACGACACCGCGCTCAGCGAGCGCATGCCTCGGGCTGAGTTCCAGGCGCGGAAGAAGAGAAGGATAGAAGAAAAGAAGGAAGAGGCCAAGAATGCAGCACCCGCAACACCAAAGCAGAAGCCCACTGCCAGTGTGCCGTCATGTCACGAGGTCCAAGGCTACATGCCTGGTCGACTGGAGTTCGAAACCGAGTACTTCAATGAAGCCGAAGAGGCGGTCCAGCACATGTCATTCGACCCTGGCGATGGTATCAACCCCAGGACTGGCGAAATGGAGCCGGAGATGGAGCTGAAAATGACCATCATGGACATCTACAACTCGCGGCTGGATGCTCGAGTGGAACGAAAGAAGATCATCTTCGAGCACAAACTCCTGGAGTATAGGAAGAATCAGGCGGCCGACAAAAAGCGCACAAAGGAAGAGAAAGATCTAATGAACAAGGCGAAGCCCTTTGCACGGATGATGAAGCACGAGGACTTCGAGACCTTCTGTAAGGATCTCGAGTACGAGCACAATCTGCGTCAAGCCATCTCTCAGCTGCAGGAATGGAGAAACATGCAGATCACGAATCTGAAAGCTGGCGAGAAGTACGAACAGGAAAAGCAGACACGGCAGTCTCGTGGTCCACCAATCGGCCAGTTCGACCGCCTGGCTTCGAGTAGGATTGGCAAGCCGACACCTCCCTTCGAGCAACCTTCTGCAGCAACAGCCTTGATTGGCTCCGAATTACCGCTCCACATCAAGCAGAGAAGCGGTCTCACAACACCACCCTCAGACAAGACCACAAATGGCACAAATGGCGTCTTAACTCCGCAACACCCCAAGACAAAGTTCCCGGTCAAGCCACTCCCAGGCACAGTGCCTCTGAAGTTTGGCAAGGAGTCTGCAGCTGATCTTCAGCTGTTGACGCCGGAAGAGCGTGAAATGTGCAGTGCGCTGCGCATCATGCCAAAGCCATACAACGCGCTTAAGGAGAAGATGGCGCGCGCGGCATTAAACAACAACGGAGCCCTCAGTAAGAAAGAAGCAACAGAGCTTCTGACCATTGATCAGAAGAAGTCCAAGGTCTTGTATGAGTATTTTGTGCACAGCGGGTGGATTGCGAGGGCGTGAGCGCCCTGCCACAGGTTGGAGACGGTCTGATTGTGAAACGGCGTTGTGAGGTGACTGTGGAATACCCAGGCTGGACGGCGTTGGGGGTTTCATGTGGATATCAGTGGCTTCGGTACCTTTGTTGATATTCGAGTATGAATATACTTTTGCCCATGATGGATCTTGTGTGAGGTGCCAAGCCATGACGCTCATGGATGACTGCTGCGGTAGCTGCCGGGCGAGCTCCTTGCAAACAATGGTTCGGTCTCAAGACACCGAGCTCATGGAGAAAGTCTTTCTGGGTATTGATCTCCGCATCACCACTCACCGCCTTTACCATGTGCCTTTGACTGCCGCATCTGCAGTCTAGGCAGCTTCGACGCCTCGCGGAGTCTCATTTCTACCTGTAGCATAGCGACCAACGTCAGCCTTTCACTTCCGCCCCTTCTCGATACCCCGGGCCGCAGGCAGCCTCCACCTTCCACCCTTCGGACCACAGTACGCTACTCGAGCGACATGCCTGTCTTCCACACGCCTCACGCGAGCATGGGCTCTGGCGCAAGCTACAGCGATGCGGCGTCGCGATTCTCCGGGAGGCAGGTGATGGATGCGGACAATCACGGGACCCGCAAACGACGCAATGGCGACTACGATACATTCTCTATACGCGGCTTCATAGCACAGCCACGGACCGGCACTTCTTCAGCATTTTCGCATTTCGAGAGTCCTGCGCCGCTTGCGCATGACCGATACACATTGGCAGGAGGGAGCATAGAGGGCACAAACAGCTTCACACGGCAGAACGGAAACTACGACGACTACTTCAACCTCCAAACACAGCGCGGCATGTGGTCTTCGCCGACAAGCCCCTCCATGCGGCCCATGACACTAGATCGAGTCGCCTCGACGCCGGATACGCCGAGTTCCTGGATGGTCGATTCGCTCTTCAACCTCGTCGGCGGAGTTGCAGGCACACTCTTCAAGTTCTGCACGGTACCATTCCGCGGATTCCAAGCAGGCGGCGGCCAGAGCTACGACGCAGATGCGCAGATCAAGATTGCATCCAAACTCGGCCTCCACGACGAGCCCGAGCCCAGCGAACCGGCCGCACCAGTTCAACAGATCAAGTTCGACACACGCCCCAGCCCCAGCGACGACTACGGCGTCCGCTCAATCGAATCCGTAGACGCTGACCGCCCGCGCATGCCCAAACGCCTCCGTACAGAAGACGCCTGGGTCATGGTCGGTACCGACGAGGAAACGACCGCAAGCCCCGTAATCACACCACGCATATCCGAACGCCGCATGCCCGCACCCGCATACACACCCTCGCCCTCGCAGATCCCGCGGCCGCTATCACGAACGAGCGCAATACCCGTCTCCAAACGGCCCTCGCTGATCCCCATATCGCGGCGCTCCAGCGGAACACGGACACCCCTATACAACAGTAGCATCTCCGGCTCAAAGAGCCACAACAGACAACGGAGCTTCAGTCGGCTGAGCTTCGGCAGCCCGGGCAAAGCCGAAGAGAAGAAGAAGGCCAGTCCCCTGCCGCCGGACAGTCAGAAGCTGGTGAGCAGGATCAGGAGGGAGGAGATGGAGGACGATGCGCGGATGCGGCGGATGAGCAGCCAGATGAGCGCCATGCTTAGGGAAGCACGGGAGGCGCTGGGGAGCACGGTGGAGATTAACGACGACGACGACGATGATGTCATGTCGTGAGACTACAGCGGACGGCACGATGAACGGCCTTGCATGCGTTTGCTTTCTTGCATAGGTACGGATTTTTCTTTCAGCGATTGCGGGCGTCATGGGAAGGGCGTTTGGTGCGGATTATACCCGGTACGGCAACGGCCGCTTTGCATTTACACAGGCAGTCGAGCGACTGCGGAATCGACTCTATGCTTATCTCTCATCGCCTCTTTGTCCGCAGCCGCGTCCAGCTCGTTCTCTTGCGCTTGACGGCCATGTGGTCTTGGCCAACGACGCGGTAGATAAACCCGCGGCTACTCTGACATCTCCTGCACCTTGCCTCACTTTGTCTTCTCGAATACGCCAATGAGGAGGCATGACTGTCGCTGACTGCGCGAGGAATGATCTTACTTCACTTTTGTGTGGCTTCTTGTGCTGGAAAGCCGCAATGCCTTGATACATGTCCTTTAGAGAAGCAAGAGTGGACATGTGAGTTTTGTCCGCGACTAGGTGTAGATGCACCGTCACCAGCCAAGTGGCTCGTCATTCTATTCAACATGTGGCTTTTTGTTTTTGAAAAAGTCAAAGCCGTCACCAACATCTGCCTCCTGCTGCTCCAGATTCGTTACCCAAACGAAACCCGAACCTGCGTACCCAAACCCCCACTCTCCATCTCCGAAACCAAATCAACACAAAGAAATGTCCGCCGTCTATTTCACTTAACAGCTCAAGAGCCTTGGGCGCCGGAAGAGATCGACCTGTTCCGCTATGTCTGCTTCAGATCCTGAAATGCGAGCATGAGAAGGTATCTCGGGTCTTCGTTTGCGGCTTCGAAAGCTCCGAGGATCTATCTCTCCTCTTCATCATGGCTGCTCCGTCTGGCTTGCGAACTGCCGTGCGCGGGATTCGATGTGCCGCGCGCTTCTTGCCGTCTGCAGAGCGGTGTGAATTATTCTCTTATAAGATGTGAGTGCGCAACGGCAGTTGTAGCGGGTGCCGCGTGCATCGCTCTCGAAGTGAGGGGTTCTCTAGAACGAATGGTAAAGCGCGTTATGTCTCGGGGGCTGACGGCTCTCGGTTTCACGGTCGGAAAATAATAATTATGAATGCCGAATGGCTGTCGCCTTTTATGAAGGGACATCTACATGGCCTGCGTCCCCTGAGTATTGGCAGCCACGAGCTCATGTGCAGTAGGCCTCTCAAGCCTACTTGAAACAAGACTCTCTTCTGTGGCTGCTACCTTGGCTGCTTCCTCTACAGCTGCCTCTCCGGCTTGCAAAACTCATGGACCAGTCAAGCGGGTTTTGGATGTTTCTCTGTCGCTGTAAACCTGCTGGAAATGTTTTTCTCTCCTTCGTCATGGTTGCTTGTTCGGATTGCGGAGGCGATCTTGTTTTCGTATCATAACCCAAGCTTTTCAAAAAATGGTGAAGAAGGCAAACCTGACTCGGCGCTTTCTGTCCTTATAAAACGTCCTCCCTAAGACGTGGGTTGCTACTGAGGGTTGTGTTGAGCACTATCTGGGTCCTTCAGACACAAGCGTGTTTGAGTTGCGCGGTTGAGAGCGCATAGTCGCGGGCCGAGTGACGATGAATGAGGGACTTTTCGGAACTACGATCGGGGTTGAAGTTGTGAATGCACCACTCGGGCGACGGGGCAGGTGCTTGTGTGCCTGCGCGGATGTAATCGATGAAAGTCCCCTATGATCCTCCGAGCATCCTGGCCAGTCCCCCAACGCCGAAACTGACGCTCACACTCAACTTCAGCCCCTTGGACTGCGCAGTAAACTGTTGTTTGTGATCACTCCACTCCCTCTTGATCCGTGCTCTTTCTTGTAGTCCACTCGGTCTACGTTGCAGATTGTCGCGCTCGCTCTCTCTGCGCTCCGCAATCTTTCTCTCGGCGCCTCTTGCACGCTCTGTATCCCGCAGAACCGGCCCAAGCATGCACATGATACCGGAGATCTGGTGGGCCGGCAAATTACCGTGCATCAAAGCCCCGGTCTTGGACTGCGCGACGTAGCACCCATACCGATAAGCGTGCAGAACGATGTTGCGAATGTCCCGGATCCCATGTGCCTGAGCGCGTGCAGATTCTAGCATATCTGATACCGTCTTGTACTTCTCTAGATCCCAGATCGCCACGTTCTTTTCTGTGATTAGAAGAAAGCCATCGTCCGCACCAAGAGCCACAATGCGCGGCTTATCGATCCAAGACCCGCTCTTTATACGGGCTTGCAATGCAGTCAGTAGTCCGTCTGGGATGCTCATCCATATGTATGCGGAAGAGTCGTGTACGAAAAAAGAATTGTTGTAGGGTCCTAGGACGCAACGGATGGCGGGTATGTTGCGAATCAATTGGTCTTGCGCATTTTTGGCAAAGAGAAAAGTCGTTAGCTCGTCTGGAAGCCCTAGGCTGTTCATTCGATCCAGTCCAGAGCGGTCGCGCCATGTGATTAGGAAGCTGTCCTGAAAGCCGAGGGCGATGTGGTGGACTTGTTGGAGTTGCGATGATGAAAGGAAGGCCGTCAATTTTGCGGGCAGGCGAGCGCTGGAGTATTGTTAGTGTTCTCGAACGCGGATTTGATGAGCGCAACGAACATCTCCCGCCTCGACGGGCACTGGAAGAAGTGGCTTCCTCTTTGGCCGAATGTGAACGTTGCGTCGCACATGATCGCCCCCCAGGGTGGTCGATTAATCGAGAGGTCTGAATCTTCGCCAACTGCCTTATTTAAAGCTCAGAAGACGCTCCAGGAAATGGTGAACGACATGTGAATGCTTTGCACTAAGGAGGTGGAGCGATCGGGGTGTAAACAGCGTTGCCGCGCCAAGCGAGATCATCTCCAGGTTCAGAGCAGGGAAGCTGCTGCTTCACACATCGGCCAACTTCGTATCGAGCAATTTGGTCGCCTCACCAACAGACACATGTAATTAAAGCCATGCAATGATACGCAGGATAAAGTTGCTATAACTCCACAGGTCTCAGTCGCACGGAAGGACGCCACAAAGCTCCACAGGCAAATGTGACGTCATAACAACATCGACGAGCCAATAACCACCCAGCATGGCCGCTACATCCAGTAACGCTTCCTTTCTTTCGTTTGGGAGGAACGACAGCTTCATCTCGAAAAGCTTCCAAGGAATCAACCAGTACGTCGCACCTTTGATCCCATGTACCAAGCTGACATGCGCCTCAAGTCACAATCTTCCTACCTCGCTCTCATCCCTTATCTCAACCGCAACGGAGATTCACTGGGCATCACTAGGGCCCGTTCCCGAATCATGGCTGCTCAGCTTCAAAGATGCCTCTGGTCGAAGTAGCATACGATGGGGTGCGCTGCTACCCCAACGTCTTCAGACCATCTTAGCGAAGACCTGGCACTCTCCGCACCTACGATTCTGCCTTGGACCCAACGACTCGTTCATTGTCTGGCATCCTGAGCTTATACGATGGGCAAACCTGCCGCCCAGTCTTGAGGACTCCTTACAGTCATGGCTAACACCTTCGGGATGGCGTGTAGGCCCCCCTCGTATCGTTACCTGGGGACCTGAAGGCGCTTTCTTTGCCATGAGTGAGTATGGAGACGTGGTTTATCGACTTGGTGATGGAGATAGCTGGGAGATCTACAAAGAGACTGTTGAAGAATGGAAGGCTGAAAAGGGCTTTTCGTGGAGCGAGCTTGCATTCATCGCCCTTGATCCTACTATATCTGACCAGTTCGTCGCCATCCGCAACGACGGCACGTGGGCTGGTAGCATTGACGACATTAACGAAGATGCTCTGGAAGATTTGGCTCTCAACTTCTTCGCCAAAGCAAAGAAGAGTCGGAACAGAAGCCAGTCGGGTCACCAAAACAGCACAGCGACACCTCTTCTATCATCAAGCAGCACAAAACCAGACGCCGCCATCCAGACCCTCTACGAGCAATGGTCGAAAGACACAGCAAGCAAGCTAGCCTCAGCTTTAGCAGCGATCGGCCCGACGACAGGCCCATCGCCTTCAAGTCCATCTGGCAACATCCCAGTCCGCCCGAAACCCCGCAAACTGCAAGTCCGGTCTTCATCAACCTCAATCCCAACAACGACCCCAGCTCCCGCCGCTCTTCTTGTCGCCTTTCCGTACCTGCCTCCGATAGTGACGATATGTGCGCTTCCCTCATGCGAGCTGCTCAAAACGGAGTCCCTGAGTATCAAAGCATGCAGACACGACGTGGAGATGCTGATGCGCGCGAGCGGGCTGTACAGCTACGAGTGGCTAAAGCAAGAGAGGCTAAGGTGGCATCCGGATCGGTTCGGGCGGTTGTGCGATGAGTCGTGGAGGGAGGAGGGAAAGAAGATGGCGGAAGAGATGTTCAAGATCATTGACGCACTAATGGAGGATCTTAAAACGGCTGGGAGCTAAGCGGAGATGTACATGGATTGTTCATGCGGTACACACTGCGTCTGCTTTGGCGATCTTTTTTTTCTTCCTTGTTCGCCAAGTGCTTGTACGCGTGGGTATGCAATGCGGGTGCTCAAAGTTACGACAGAATATAAAACACTGAAAGGGCAAATATTCGTCCGCATACCGGCAGACAGACCGATGCCGTTACTAAATGCCGAGTCTTTACTAGACATGTGGCAGGGAAGAAGGAGGCATGACCTGCCCATGTACAGCCCTGAGGTTTGTATAGGCTGAACGATTAACTGAACAGGTAAGTGCACGAAGGTGGTGGGTATCTATAGCTAACAAGCAGTAAGGAGAGCGTGAGTAGGGGGCATAAGAAATTTAGGAAGTCCCTTCGCAGTAGGCTCTTGCTCAAGATATCCAAGCCCATGTCATCGTCACTCTTCCTAGATCGTGATCTGCCATCTTGTCGAACATTGCAGGGCTGACGTCGAGATCCGTAGGCTCACAGCCAGTGCCTGTTCTGTGTTAGTGAACAGCTTATATCTGCTCACAATTTGTACATACATCTATCAACGACCTTCAGGTCGATGCTGACCTGCTTGCCAGTGCGTTCATCTACCCTTATGGCTCTGATCTTCTTCCCGCAAAGCGGATTCTGATTTGGATCACTACCGGTCTGAACAGCATCGTACAGATAGTGCGACACAGAGACGATGGCGTCGTTGTCAGTGGAGGTCACGCCGCAGGCTCCGAGACCGGTACCGTAGTAGGTTAATTCTCCGGTGAAGTGATCGGTATTGGTTGGAAGCGGCAAGAATCGACTCCTACACAGTGATCAGCTCAAACCTTTGAGGATCTAATGAAAGCGCTCACTCCGACTTCTTCGAAAGCCCCACTGCCAGACCAATGATCAGAGCCACCAGACAGATGAAGGCAACAAGGAGAGCAATGAGGAAAGTCCGACGACTACGTCCAAGATACCGCTTATGTGGCACAAATAATCGATCGAAACAGTCTGAGAGAGCCCATCCCGCGCCAGCACCAGCGCTGGCGCCAAATAAAGCACGCTTCCTTTTGTGCTTGCCCTCCTCAGGTATATCCCAAGTCTGCGCCGTATTGCTCCCCCCAACTTCTTTCAAATGCGCCGACGACGGCTCTTCAGCCGCTCTTGGCGGTACTTCCTTCCTTACAAGCTCCTTCCTGGGTATCGTTGGGGCGCTCATGGTGATGTATGGTGTGTATTACAGTATAAGGGGTATGTGGTGGATATGTACGGGGTATCGCAGAGTGGGAACGCTAGAAGGTCATAACAGATCAATTGGGGTAGAGAACGAACGTCTGCGCCATCAAGCGACAGGCAAAACTGTAATCTCAATTGTAGAGGCCTAGGTGTAAGGTGGAGAACGTGCATTGTTGTGGAGAATTAGGGTCAATGCCTCTGGCGCTAGTGAATGGCGCTGTTCGCTCTGCCGCGGCAGGAACAACGTAGAACTTGCCGCTCTCTGACCTCACCACCTACTTTCTCTATCCCCTGCGCACTCACGCCCTTGTTACTTTGAGGCTGGTGGAGCTGATGCCTTCGAAAGTTCTCCACCTGTCAGACCCCTCACAAACCTTGGTTCCATCTCACTAGTACCGAGACGTCCGCCGCCTCTCGGAAGCGCCCACCGAGCTCGGCCTTGCATCTTACGCACACCTGCAAACATGGCCGAACAAAGCATCAACATACCGCAAGTCGTCGTCTTCGCTGTTGTTGCCTTTCTTGTGTATCGCTGGTACTCCAGCAAGCCTTCCGCAAGTGGCACGCGACCGACCGCAATCCGCTCCACGCGCATAGACCCCGCGCAAATTGACACAGTAGCCCAAATGTTCCCACAGCTGAACAGGAGAGATATTGCGTGGGACCTGCAAAGTAACGGAGGAAATGCAGCTGCGACAACTGAGAGGGTGCTGAGTGGCAGATCTTTGGATAGCGTGAGTCCTTCTGGGGGACAGCTCGTACGAGACACGTCACTGACATCTCCTAGGCACCAGCATCGTTCCAGCTATCTGCCGCGCCTGCACCAGCCGTACCTACGAGGCCAGTCGTGGCCTCCGCGAAGCCAAGCCATCCTGATCTGATCACACGATATAACCTTTCTTCGAAGCTGAGCCAGCCTCTCGAGCCAACAGAAGAGAAGCCCAAGACAAAAGTTTGGAGCGCAGACCGAAGCGAACGTCAATCAAACTTACAGAGGAAGCGGGAAGAGATGATCCTGGCCGCCAGGAGGAAGATGGAGGAGAAGGAGAGTGCACATGCCTCAGGCGCTACAGCATAGTAGAGTGCGTACAGCTCAGATGAAGGAACACCAAGTACACATCACATTGGAGGTAGAACACCCTAGTATTCACAACTACATTGTCTCTGCACCAACATTGACTCGCTAGATCGTGCCGCATACCCCGCTTGGCGCCCTCAAAGCTTCTTCTTCGTATCAGGCACCAGTCCCTTCTGCTTCGCGATCCACTGATCCAATCTGGCATAACAGTCCAGCGTCATAAACACACTCAGCGCCAAATACCCCCCATACATACCTCCCAACCCCGCCACCCCTCTCTGCTCCGGCCTCAACTCCTCCCAGCTCCACATCTCCGCCAGGCAGACCAGCGTCGTGATGCTCGTCTCCATACCAAACACTAGGAGCGCAAGGGGAATGCGAGGATCGTTGCGCAACAAGGCGGGGATGGCCCAGAGCGTGAGGGGCAGGTGATACACAAGCTCGAGGAAAGTGAGGACGCCGAACCAGGGGGCTGGGTTGTAGAAGAAGCGATCGCCGTAGGTGGAGACATAAAAGGTGCGGAGATCGTTCATCCAGAGGGGTTTGATGTTGATGGGGTAGTAGGCTGTTAGGTCGAATGCTGGGAGAGGTTAGTGAATATAATGCAGGCGATGCGTATGGTAGTTGTAATCAATACATCCGAGATTTGCGAAATGATGAAGACAGTGTGCAATTGACTGTCTGTGATTGATATCGGAGGGTTGAGAATGATTTGCACGTGCAGGCATAACCTCTACATTGGAGCTCCCGCAGGTGGAGAACAGAAGGCTACATACCTAGCATCACTGGTAGATGCGTTAGGAAGAAGATCAAGTAGATCAAGTCTCGCTTCCGTGTCAGAATTGAGTCGCCCATCTTGCCTTGGTGTCAGGTGATCGCTATTACGATACGGTGTTAATGGTGTGAAAGGATAGGAAGTAGGCGCGCTTGCCAGATCTGCAACGGCGCGTTCTCGGGACCGTGCATCGCGCTTTCGTGATCATTCAGATCGTCACGACAAACACTTCAAACTCGCCATTTGGCATCTGCTCCTGGTGACCATTATACTCATGATTGTCACATGATTCTGCAGTAGTTCTGCGCGCACCATCGGATGTTCGAGAGGAGACCTCCATCGAACCCTGGAAGGCTTTCCGACTAACCAACCAATCGCCAATATGATACACCCTTTCCACGTGAAAGAGTCCTAAGGACATATCAAAACCGCAAATCAGGTTCAGCCCTCAACCGCAGAGGCGTCGTTGTAAGTTGAACGAGTGGACCTCAAGCGCGATATCAATGGGAAGCATCCGTACGATGCGCCACCGAACCCCAGTCTATGGACTATTCCCAGGAGGATTGTCGCCTTACAGCGTGTGAAAGAGCAGTTTAGCCTAAATCTCCCCGCGGCTTGGCCTTCATGCAGATGGACAATGACCATCACTGTCAGCACAAAACCGGATGCTGTCCAATCAGACACCCTGAGACATGTGGAGCTCACACGTTGAAGCCCTCAAGGCGTTCTCGGTGGTCAAGCCGAACTCTTCTTAGCGAAGAGTCGCTCGAGCGTTGCATTGGTAGATCGCGTAGTTGTATCCACTGCCACTGGCGCAGCACACGATTCATGTGAACGCTCGACCGGTCGTGGTGTAATGTTGTGCCTGAACTACCGCGATGACTGCGGAACCCCTCACCACCAGGGTGCTGGATAATATCTCGTAGGCTGCGGCATGATAAGAGTGCAATGTGAACGTACAAAGAGTTGGGTGTGCCTGTAGTAAGCCGCAAAGCTCCGCAGATCTGTTGTACATCGATCAGCTCGCACTTGTTCAAACTTTGATCTTCAACTTTCTCATCCATCAATATTCATCATGGGTGGTGGAGGTGCAGCACCAGAAGGCCTTGGTGCCGCACTTGAGAGGCGTCAGGCTTTGATGGGCAAGAGTGGTCCATCAGCTCTCGTCAAGAACTTCAAGGTCTTCCGTATCGCGCTCTTCGCCTGCTTGGGAGGTGTCCTCTATGGATACAACCAAGGCATGTTCTCTGGTATTCTGGCCATGCCCGCCTTTGGAAAGCGTATGTTGCCCCTCAAGGGCCAGTTACAGTACCTATGTACTGACTGCGGCCTTCTAGAAACCGATGGATACATCGACAACCCGACACAGAAGGGCTGGCTGACGGCCATTCTCGAGCTTGGTGCCTGGTTCGGTGCAGTCATGTCCGGGTTTGTCGCTGAGACTCTCTCTCGCAAGTACGGTATCCTGGCCGCCACCGGTGTCTTCATCCTCGGTGTTGTCATCCAGATCACAGCAATTGCTGGCGGGCATAACGAGATTCTTGCTGGTCGTTTCATTACGTGGGTTGCTCTCCATCTGTAATCAGAAAGCCACTAACACTCTACTAGAGGTATTGGCGTCGGTGCCCTATCGTGTATCGTACCTATGTACAATTCGGAATGTGCTCCTCCGTAAGAACAGCCGTCTCTATCGATGAACACCCATTGACCGGGCAACAGTGAAGTTCGTGGCGCTCTTGTAGCCGGCCAGCAGTTGGCCATCACCTTTGGTATCATGGTTAGCTTCTGGATCAATTACGGGACGAACTACATTGGCGGAACCGGCGAGACCCAGTCCAACGCAGCCTGGCTCGTGCCCATCTGCGTTCAGCTCGCTCCTGCTGCAGTACTGTTCTTCGGCATGCTCTGGATGCCATTCTCCCCAAGATGGCTGGTTCACCACGGCCGTGAAGACGAAGCCAGCCGCACGCTTGCATCTCTCCGTGAGCTCCCCGAGGATCACGAGCTGATCTACCTCGAGTTCCTTGAGATTAAGGCCCAGTCAATGTTCGAAAAACGCAGCATTGCTGAGAAGTTTCCGCATCTGTCGCAGTTGACTGCTTGGAATACTTTCAAGCTTCAGTTCGTCGCCATTGGCGCGCTTTTCAAGACAAAGGCCATGTTCAAACGCGTCATCGTGGCCAGTGTCACCATGTTTTTCCAGCAGTGGAGCGGGTGAGTCTTTCTTACTATGCCTTATGTCTCACTGAAAATTGTCAGAATCAACGCAGTCCTGTACTACGCTCCTTCCATCTTCGGACAGCTCGGTCTAACCGGTAACACCACCTCTCTGCTCGCAACAGGTGTCGTAGGCATCGTCATGTTCCTCGCCACCAGTAAGTCTCACGCCTCCCCCTCTCTCTGTGGTCACACTGATACTCTCCGGTCCCTGCCGTGCTCTACATCGATCGCGCTGGTCGCAGACCTGTGCTTGCCATCGGGGCCATCGGTATGGGCGTATCGCACATCATTATCGCCATCATCCTCGCCAAGAACATCAACAACTTCCACAACGCCAAGGGCGCTGGCTGGGCCGCCGTCGTTATGGTCTGGCTCTTCGTCATTCACTTCGGCTACTCCTGGGGACCTTGTGCGTGGATCTTGATCGCCGAGATATGGCCTATCAGCACTCGTCCCTACGGTACTGCGCTCGGTGGCTCGAGCAATTGGATGAACAACTTCATCATTGGACAGATCACACCTGATCTTCTTGAGAAGATAACGTATGGGACGTACATCTTGTTTGGTCTGTTGACATTCATGGGAGCGGCTTTCATCTGGTTCTTCGTACCAGAGACGAAGCGCTTGAGCCTGGAGGAGATGGACATCATCTTTGGAAGCGAGGGTGCCGTCCAGAAGGACCAGGAGAGGATGGCGGAGATCAACAACGAGATTGGACTCACAGCGATCATGTACGGTGGTAGCGCGGCATCGCCAGATTACCCCAGGGACGAGAAGATGGTTGCTGGTGACGAAGAGCCAGTCGTCTGAAGGCTCATTGTTGTGCGTTGGCGAACTTGTCAGAGTGTGACGTGAGGTAATGGCTTTTTTCGCGATAGTAAAAAAATCATCACCTTCGAATAAGTCTACTAAATAGGCATACGAGAGATCTCTTGCTTCGTTGCATGTGAATCAACTACTGTGCACACTGCCAATCAACGACTGAGCAGTGTCAGCTAAGTACTGAAGTGATCTGATGAGCCCTTATAGCTTACCAGAACAACCATTGCGATAGTACCCCGCCATATTCTGTAATAGATGCTTGGTAAGCCCTTCAGTAATTTGCGATACAGTATGACCGGAACGTCTTCTCGTTCCTGGTAAACACATTGTATGCCGAGCTACCGGCGGTACAATGATGCCACAGGTTTTTTTCAATCGATCTCGATTCAAGCGATCGCGGCTGGACGGCTGAAAGGCATGCAGAAGAAAGGCGGTGACACGCTCAGCCTCAAGCCATCGAACGGTCCTTCATTTGTCGTGAACATGAGCTCGAGATGGGCGAACACATCTGACCATGGTAGAATCCTTGACTTTTTCTCAGGCGTCATCGAGAAGGTCAAGGCAGAGGCGAAGAGAAAAGGGGTGGACAATGACTACATTTACATGATCTACGCATCGCAATTTGAAGACCCAATCGGCAGTTACGGCGCGACCAATGTTCAGAAGTTAAAAGCGGTGTCGGCCAAGTATGATCCTGCATCTGTGTTCATCAACTTGATGCCTGGCCACTTCAAGCTGGGCAAGGGCGCGCCGACCCCGAGCATGCCTTGAGTTTTAGGTGTAGTGAGGAGGAAATAGGGGGTCACTAAATAGTTTTGTGGCTTACACATAAAACGTTCAAGCCCAAGAGCCGTATGTCTCCCCTGCCTTCCCAAGAACCGGCTTGTGCTTGTGCACACCAATGAAGGAGCGCTCGCCACCAAACATATGAATACTCCTCGCGAAATGATCCTCGTCCTCCTCTTCTTCCTTGATTAGTACGCCATCAACTACCTTCCCCCTCGCCATTCGTACCATCTCTGCCTCGACGACAGTTTCAATACACGCCTGCACTGTATCCTCTTCACCCCAAGGCAGCGCGTCGATGTCGATCTCTTTCTCTCGACCCAACAAGCACATGACAATGACCATTGCGCCAGCCTTGCTCATAACTTGGTTGGCATGTTTGCAGCGATCATCATTGCAGCACTCGAGGCAGCCCTCCAAACAGTGGCACGTCTGAAGACGTTTGCATGCTTGTGCAAGTAGAGAGTCAACGTGCTCGAAAGCCTTTGTGGATATGCCGCTCCCGCTTGCGCCTCCCTTGGCATCGTAGAAAGTGAGCCGAGCGGGCCGCTTGCGCTGTGTTTCCTTCTTTGCAAATTCTTTAACAGCAAACTTACACTCGGTGCGTACATCGCCGGGCATGCTGATGACGTAATTGGGCATGAGAGACAGTACCGAGTGTTCTGCGGCGTGGATGCCGGCAGCGATGTTAAGTCTGCGGGATTTTAAGATGTCCATAGCTGACTTCGGAACGTCGAGCCACATGCCTTTTGAGAAAAGGATGATTGGAGGGTTGTCGACCTGTACGGCATCGAGGATGCGTCGCTTCTTGTCAATCTTGAAGAAGCCGTAGACGATTTGCTGGATCTTGATAGGCCCAAAGAAAGCTCTCGATCGTGAACCGGGAATTCTGCGAATAGCTTCTGTCTCGACGGGATCGATGTCGGTATAGTCACGCTGCTGGGTCGTCCAATCCACCTTCACATATTCCACCTTAGCGATCATTCGCTCTTGACTGAACTCTTTGACCAGATATGTATTACCCTGGTGCAGGAAGATGCCGCCGTCGTAGATCGTGAAGAAGGCGCGTGAGGCTTCCAGTTCCTCCAGAACCGTATTCTTGCCATGTGTGACGTCAATGATGGCAAAGTGGGTGTCTTCAGTATCGCGAATAGCTACCAATCGAGATGGCTGGGGCAGGAAGCGCTCGTTGCAATGGTAGAATCCGTTGCCATCTCTGCGCATTCGCTCTCTAGCGATCTTCGGTAGCAGCAGACCAAAGTATGCTGTGTCTGCCTCAACGGTGATCGGCATCTCGTGTGCAGCACACTGAACGTGACCTTCGAGCACCAGCATATTCTCCAGATCGACTTGAAGTTCGCAATTCGGTTTGGTGAAGATCTCTTCCGGATTCTGCATGTAGTACTGGTCTGTTGGGAAACAATCACCGACTAAGACTGACAAAGAGTCCTTGTTTCGTCTTCCAGCACGTCCACTTTGTTGACGAAGATTCGCGATAGTGTACGGGAAACCGACGGTGAGTACGCAGTCTAGGGATCCGATGTCGACACCAAGCTCTAGCGCAGTGGTCGCCACGATGCCCAACAGCTTACCATCAAACATCTCCCGCTCAATCTGCCGTCTGTCTTGAGGCGTGTAACCGCCTCGGTATGACATGACTCGTCCGGTAACCTCTGTTCGTTCAAGAATCGTCAGCTCTGTCTTGATGGCCGCCTGTAACGCCTCGCATTGCTTTCGTACTCGACAGAACGCAATGACCCTTACGCCCCTCAAGATTAATTGACAAAAGAGCTTTGCGGTCTCAGTGTTGCAGTCACCGCGACCTGAAGTTGGATCGCCTGGGTCTTTGAAGGGTGTGTTCCAGCACAGAAACTCTTTTCGGCCAGACGGTGAGCCATCGAAGTCGGTCAGTCTGACCTCATCAACGCCGAAGATGGTTTTCATGTGGGTTTCTGGGTTCGCAACCGTTGCAGAGCAAGATATGAACTTGATGTGTCGGTTACCCAACGCAGCGCATATCCTGCGCAATCGGCGCATGATCATAGCAACGTGAGCTCCAAATAAACCATTGTAGACATGCAACTCATCTACAACAACAAAACGAAGATTCTGAAGAAACGTTCGCCAGGCTTCTTCCTGAGGCAAGATTGTTAGGTGTAGCATGTCCGGGTTCGTGAAGATGACTCGACCCTCATCTCTGATGTAGTCACGGTCTGACATAGCCGTATCTCCGTCAAATGTCTCCACGATGATGTCTTGCATGCCGTCCATAAAGCGTAGCAGCTCTTTCATACTCTTCCTTTGATCTTGTGCCAGCGCTTTTGTGGGGAAAATATACATCGCCCTTGTCTCTGGCTCCTGCTCCAGCTGATGAAGAACAGGAATCTGGTAGATCAGGGATTTGCCTGAACTGGTTGACGTTGACACAATGACATTATATCCCTCATAAAGGTTGTTGATAGCCTCAGCTTGGTGTGCATACAGCTGTGTGATGTTACTTCTGTTGTACAACGCATTGACGAGGTTTTGAGACATAGCAAAGTTGAGGTCGCCATAAATGGGAGGTTGTGGGTCAAATACTCGATGGCCGTCCGGTACAATCTGGCCAGAGTACCATTCAAGAGCCTTCATTTCATCCACAATCTCCGGTATACTCTTTCGCTCAATTGGTATGGACGTTGGTAGTTTCGACACTTGGGGCCCTAGGGTAGAGCCGCGGCTTTCTGTAGGCTGGGGTATGAACATCAAGGACGTCTCTTTGAGTATCTCTACTGCGCTGCGTCCTTCTTCTGCGCATTGGTCCAGAAATGCATTGATGGCCGAGGTAAACTTGGCGTTGCGCTTCTCTATTAGGTTCATCATCTGCTTTTGACTGAACACCGGCATTTTGAGCTCTTCATGGCGTAGCCTCTGGGTCGCTCTTATAGGTTCTCCAGTTTTCGCATTCTGAACCTGACGCTTCAGGTCTCCGTCGATGAACTCGAAGAGCAACACCTCTCGGTGTTCGCCCTTGTCCGGCTCAGGCTGCATGATAAGGAAATCTTGCGCTCTCCTTCCTTTCATGTTGTCCTCTTGACCCATCAGATTTATTTGCAGCATAGCTTCGTCGACGTAGGCGAAGTTGATAGCCCGGGGTATCAAGGCTGTGATCTGTGCGACGTCTTCGGTAAGCAGCGCGCGCTTGATGTGCCCTTCAACTGTCGCTCTAAGATTATCGAGAGTTGTGGCGAGCTGCTTGCGCGTGCAGCAGAAAGTGTAGACGAGATTGAGCGCGCGGTGCACTTGCTGTAGTTTTGTAAAGTGCTCCGGCCATGGCATTGATGATTCAACCAATGTCGATGAGGCGCGTCGTACCAGTGCGGGTTTCTTCGCTTTCGTCGTTCGTCGCGGCTTCTTGCCGCCATAGTAGGTCTTGGTGGGAACACTCGTGGTCGTCGTGCTATCATTTGCTGCATTGCTCAAGTTATCTTGGCCTTCATCATCGAGCACTGGCGTTTGCGACTTAGCGGAACGCTGGGAATGCTCCGGATGTTCGTCTTGCGCCTTTCTTTTGCGTTTTCGAACGACCTGATTCGAGACCGACGCAGCTTTCAAGGGCATCTTTCATGCATGTTGGGTCCATGGATAGCGTGTGTGGAAGGCTTGGTGGCGGTTGTCGAGACAATTGCCCCTAGAGCTGCAAGCGCGAACCTTAGAAAATCGATGACGTACTGTAGTTCATGAGAGTGTCCAGCAGGCGCGACCAACACCAGAGGTCATGTTATGAACTCGGTTACAATATTTCCAAAGCTTCTCATCGAGATGTATGTCATCCGTGAGGTTGTACCTGCACGGTTGAGCAAAGCATGCGCGTGTAAGCCTTGCGACTTCCCTACGCGGTATCACGTGGTGAGATTCGCGGAAATGGTGGGGCCGAGCTGCAAGTAAACTGATCACGCGCATATGCCTCACTGACAGCTCACAATGCATCGCCTCGCAGCGTGCTCGCCACCTTCCATGTCCTCATGAGCCTGGTTGGCAGCTCGGCTCAGTGTTGACGCCGCAGGGTTACTTCGAAGAGGGGAGCAGCCGTGGTTCACTGGGGACAATGATGCCGCGTGTAACTCGACCCTTCAGCCTGAACCCGTAGGCAGCATGAGCGCCTTTCTGTCTTGCATCTTTCTCGCCTACCTATCCCTTAAGAGGTAAGCTTTCGAAATTCTTACGGCCAAGAAAGTAATCGATAGTCGGAGTGGGCGGTACCCCTCCTCCGTCCTCACCAAGAATAACCCACCAGGCCCAATGGCCTTAGGGCTGAAGCTCGTGCCGCAGAGGCCAGGGTACTTATACATTTGTCTGGAGTGCAGTGCAGAGAGATGTCGTGCGTTTTCGTTCTGTACCATCTTTTCAGTCTAGAACTCCGGCTGACCGTTGTTGGCAAACTGATAAAGAGCCTCGCCATATCTATTGTCGCTTGTACCTTCCCTGTATCCTTCTATCTCATCTTCGTTCACCTGCGTGTCCAACATCCGTGATGGATCTCAAGACTGGTCAACGAGTTGCGATTTACCGGGGAGCCGACCTACCGAGCCAGTACACCTGGAGCCCTTATGTCTCGAAGCTCGAGCTTCGTTGTCGTCTGTCAGGTCTCAAGTACATCTGTGAGATTGGCTTCCCCCCGTCCGGACCTAAAGGAAAGATACCGTACGTGGAGGTGACCATGCCTGGGCATTCTTCAGTATGGCTCTCGGATTCGACCCTGATTGCGAAAGACTTTGTGAACAAGGGCCTGCTGCATAGTTTGAACGCAGACCTGGGTGCTTTGGAGAAGGGACACGACCTTGCAATTCGAGCATTGATGGAAGACAAGCTCGCGTTTTACGACACGCATGAGCGTTGGGTCAAGAACTACTATGTCATGCGAGACCATGCCATGGGCAAGCTGCCATACCCAGCAAGGATCATCGCAGGAACTCTGGCGTACCGGGGCATCGTCCAGCGACTTCATGAACAAGGGACCGGTCGCTTTAGTGACGCAGAAATCACTGCTTTCACTGAAGAGGTTTGGGAATCCGTCAATGGGTTGCTCGAAGCCAGTATGGACAAGAAACAGAGCAAGGAAGAGTGTTTCTGGGTATTGGGAGGGAACGAGCCATCTGAAGCCGACACCACTGTCTTTGGCTTTGTTGTCGCCAACCTTGTTAGCGATTCTGCGCCTTGGAGTAGGGATCTTTTGAAGACGCGATTTCCCAATACGGTCGAGTATGCAAGAAGGGTCCATAAGAAGTACTTCCCAGATTACCACATGTGGAACTAGGGCTTCCACACCGAAGAGCTCGCACGCAGGTTGCTTTGAAACACCTCACGACTCCTTCACTTCTTGACTACTTGTATCGTTACCTATTCATTTGAAGATTCCACAACTGATCAGGCATCATGCGAGTGCGAGGTACCATCTAATACTGGCTGAACACCCAGAATCCATGGTAGCCCCACCTCTTGTCCGTTCTCCAGCCTCCACAAGCCTTGCTTTGGTCTCCACATCGCGAAAATAGCCGCTGGCGTCATCTCGTGTGCGCACTTCCGCCATTCATCAGTCGCGCCAGGCATTCCGGTGTCGAAGGCCACCTTGAGAAGAGACTGGAAACCAAACTTCTCGTACAATGGCTTCCCCATGTCCGATCCTTCCAGCCAACATTCGAGATTAAGATTGTCTGCTTTCTTTATACCCGCTCTCATTAATTGCGAGCCGATACCGCACAGACGATGTGCGGGAGTGACCGCCATCCAATTTAGTGCTGGCACTACGTTAGCATGTATCCAGTTTTAGCTGCGGTGTCGGAGTGCTAATAGTCAGGAAGAGGGGGTTTTCTATAGATATGTAGGGTCAAATCTCATTTCTGATGACCTTTACTTACCACAATGAGGACGCGTCATCCAGTTGGCCCGTGGCCTGTAGGCTTGGTTCAAGATCGATTCGCAGAATTTACGACATTCACCCTCAGGCCACCACGGTGCCTCCAGTTTGGGCACGCCCTTGACGAATGGGTTTGTTGTTGATAACACCCATTGCGCACAGCCTACAGCCTTCTCGGTGACGGTGTCGAAGGCGTAGAGCCAATGGCTCGAAGGGTCTGCGGCGTGTTGTCTCCAGAATCGCTCCTTCGATTCGGCGATTGCAGCCTCGCGGTGTGCAGGTGTGAAACCAAGGATCGGAAAAAACAGCTGAATGAAAGGTTCGTATGGTGTGTGATTTGCTGCCCAAATCACTTCGAGTACCTCCTCCAACTCTTGCTTTGTTTCAACCTCCCGGACGAGGTAACGATCGTTCATGTCTGTCGCAAACTGCTCTTCGATGCCGACCATGGCGATATCGGCGTCCTGAAGTAGGTCGTCGAGTTACTGACCTGCCGTCTTGTGAAAACTACAGCGGAGTCGGAGATACACAAAAGCATTAGGATTGGATATAAGTAAATTACCGCGTTTGGTCAACCTCCCTAAACAGGAAGGAGCTAATGTGGTTAAGGCTGCTACCCTAGCGCGCCTCGGCGCGACGAGCCAGCATTTGGCAAGTCGCATTTATTTACCAGCAAACACCCGATAGCCCCCCATCTTCCAGCATCCTGGTTACACACGTATCACCAATGTCATGTCGGTAAGCTTGTGACCTTCCTTGCTTCGTCCGGAGCTAAGACACCCGCCTGCTCGGCAACAATGCAGAGCGGCGCGGCTGGGATGCGTTCCCATTCATCACTGGACCGAGCTTTGGATCGTGAACACGGCTGGGCGTAATACGTGTACTGAGCCACATTGGCAGCAGCAGAACGTGATATGGTTACACCGGAGATGCCACCCTCTTCTGCTGCGGGTGCTGCTGCCTTCCTAACTCCGCTAGAATATCATCACTAGAGCCATGGAACGACCACCTAAGTACATGCCTGTGAGCGCAGACGAGGAAGAAGAGATCGCGAGACAGCTTGAGGAAGAGAAGGATGGCATCGCATGGAACAACAACTCCACGGAGATCATTCCGACGAACACGCGCAGCTTTGTCGCATTTCTGTCATTGCTGCTGCTCTCACTTTCAGCGAACGTTCTGTTGGTCATGGACAATGCGAAGCTTCGAATTGTGACCCAAAGCGCTGGCAAGACTCTCTATAGTGGGCTATCATTCGATACGCCTGTCACATATGAGCCTATCTCACCTTTCTGGAATCCCAATAGCAGTGCACAGGAGATGGATGCAGCATGGGATGCAATCAACACCAACCCTGTGGCAGTGGCTCTTCACGATGACTTTGTACGCAAGGCTGCATTACCTCCGTCTGGTCGTTTTCCCTGGGACACTGAGCGCAGCATTTACTATCTGAAAGGGATCCACGATCTTCACTGCGTGAAATACATCCGCAAGGCTGTCGCAGTGAAGCACTACGGCGGCAATCAGACCTTCGACTTCCACCACATCAATCATTGCCTCAATGGCTTACGTCAAGACAGTGGGTCTGCCTTGTACCATACTTAGAGCCATGCTGACCCCTCGCAACAGTAATGTGTGCAGCAGACGATACCCCGATGCCGGCTCTTGCTGAGCATATCGGCGCTGGTCAGACTCGGAAGTGCCGTGACTGGAGTAAGATGACCGATTGGGCTACACAGTTGGATCGAAATGCATGTTTCGAAATGGACGATTATCGTGAGGCCACCAACACCCTGGAACAGTTCGCATTCTGTCCACCCGGGTCGCCGTATCAGTCGGTTCAACAAGCGTATTTCGACTATCACGGCCACAAAGATCCATACGAAGTCAAGAACGATGAAGAGGTAACGGAGATATTCTGATAGCTTTTACGTGCCGGTAATGCGAAGACTTGGTTGATCGACGAATTTGCGCCATTCTTCTCGAATATAGGTCTCATACACTAGAATCAGTTCCGACTTGATTGCAACACTCGCATCCGCACTTGATGAGATTTCGATCCTCCAGCCAAACATAGCATGTTGGAGTATCACAACATGGATATTGTCGCCGACCAGACGTCTATCCTGCATGCTCGGGAAGCTCATTCCCGAACATCTCGCCAATCGGGTGCAAAATCAGGCCCTCATGTGATATCAGATGCCGGGAAAACTATTGATTACATTACTGCAAGCCTTCCGCCGCGCGTCGAAGTCAATCGCCCTTGCTTAAGCACTGGTCGAGTGTTGAAGGCAAGGCTGAGAACCGCTAATTGCGCCCCAAGTCCTCGATGCAGTGGGAATGCGCATCAGCTGAACTTCGGGATCTTGAGTCGCATGTTGGGTTACAGCATTCAAAAACAACAATAGATCTGCTGCTCAGCCTCATGTAAGAAGTATATGAGGGCGTTATGAACGACTCGTAAGAAGCATCATTCACAGCTGTGGCTCATCGATTCTTTCATTTGCATCCGTTGCAAAGGTATGTCGCAAAAATTCTCTTCAAGGGATGTGTAACACTGACGCCTCGCCAATAGTAGACAAGATCGATCATCATGCGCTCCACTTTGATTCTGCTCCCATTGATGGCTCTATTAAGCAGCGTTCTGGGTGCACCCGCTCCTAATAAGTGTGGTTATAACCCGGACAAGCCGGACTGGAAGCCTAAATGGAAGGATGGCAAGCCAGATATCACAACATCGGCACCTGTGAATCCGAAGATCAACGAAAGAGCTGTCCCTGATCCAAAAGAAGAGGTGGAACTAGAGGTGAGAATTGATTGTTAAATCGTAAGATTCATCCCACCTGCTCCATCGTCCCCAGTACTGATCACATTCAGTGTATCGCAAAAGCTTGCCATCAGATGGTCATAACTTTCGCATCGTCATTTTATCCACATTGGAACAAGCAGTCAGCTTTAATCATCATGTCATTCTTTAATAAAAGCCACTCCATTCGCTTAGTTTCTCTGGTGAAAATCCTCTCCATTGCTTGGCAGTATTTGTCCTGTGAACACTGCTCGATCTTCGGTGCTCTGGAACCAACGTCATCTGATGGCTCTGTGCCGCAACCACTGAACTTTGTTTCGCCTCCTTATCAGGCAATACCTCCATACGTGCGTTGGCAGATGTTTCACGGCGGTCGGGAACCAGCGTCTACCAATCTTACTCGACAGATGTTGTACCACCGCGCTAGAAGTGATGTGTTACAAGGTCACACCAGCCCTTGCGGACCTTCAATCCGACTGGAATACTGCTAATCATGGCGCAATGTCGATCGATATCAGCTGAGACAAATTCTGAGTCGCTATCGAAGCGAAGTTGGTGTTCGCCTACGCTGCTGTCGCTGTAACTTGTCGTACTTACATTGTAAGCCGACGAAATTTCGGACCATATTCGAGGCCATAGCAGTTACACAAACAGTACCACAAGTGGAAGCATCTCCGCTGATCAAATCGCTCGGGAGACCTTGCATCGTTCACTGCACAACCACGTACAACGGTATTCCCCAGCCCTGAGCTCGTCTACCCCTCCACCCAGCTTGTGATGTTACGAAGCGCGTATCTGACTTGTCCGTCAAACCAGGGGCGGATAAGGATACTGTTGTTTGTTTCTCAGGCGGTTTGTCTGGCGAAACCTTACATTTCTCAAGTGATGCGCCTGAATTTGGCCGCGGACGCCTCCATCAACAACTTTCTCTGCACTGGCTATTGCGACTCGGAAGTTTCGGCGTCTTACCCACTTATTTCAAGGCATTTGCATGGTCTACCGCCGGATACTCGATAAACGATGCGATGACAACCATTTATGTTTCTTCTCATCATCCCATCCCGCGACAGCCAGGGTCTAGGGATGACTTGGGACCCTTCTTGAATGTTGTCACTTGGATCCTACTCATCACTTCTGCGTTGGCGGTTGTGACTAGACTTATCACAAAGCGCGCCTTGAAGCGACGGGTCGATGTCGATGATGCGTTTGTCCTTCTGGCTTTGGTAAGTAGACCCACTATGCTGCGATATATCCCAGACTGACGATCGTCGGTCAGATCACCAGCATTGGATCAGGGGCATCTGTCAGCGTCCAAGTTGCAAACGGTTTAGGTCGCGACCTCTCCACGTTGGTAGGGGAAGATGTCGAAGCCTACCTCAAGGTGCGTGATTGCACGCATTCCTAGTTGCGCCCATCTTTGGACATAGCCGCTGACCACTCGAGACGTAGGCCGAGTACGCGAACAAAATACTGTACATCGCGACTTTAGCCCTGGCAAAGTTGTCCATCATATCACTGCTCATGAATATTACCGCTTCGGACAGGCACCGACACCTAGGGCTCGGCCTCACCGGCTTCATTGCGCTCTGGGGTTTGGTATCGGTCATTGCGACTTCATTCCAATGCGGCGGCACTTATCCATGGCGCACTAGTAGTCGGGAAGGCCAGTGCATAGACTTCGTAAGTCTGATGCTTACAGCCCGTTTAGTGAAGCATGGCTGACAGAAACGCAGATCGCCTTCTGGCAAGGCATGAGTGTCATCAACATGCTGACCGATCTAGCGCTGATTTTATTTCCTGTGCATGTTATCGTTACGCTTCAGATGAGCATGGCCAAGAAGGTCACTATACTCACCTTCTTTGGCGCACGATTATTGTAAGTCACCTGTCCATGCCTCTTGAAGTGTTGGTCCTGACCAGTCTCAGAGATATCGTTGCAACCGCTGTTCAGATGGCGTACATTGACGGGTTCTCCTCAACAAACCCAACTCGAGACCTGTGGAAATGGACACTCGTGACCCAGATCATTGAATGTATCACAATCCTCACCTCTTGCGTTCCTTATCTTCGCCCACTTCTCGAGTCCATTCCTTCAGGGCTTTACGGCTCTGATGAGATACGCCGCCGTGGCACGCCATCCGAAGTTGGTTATTCGCGCAGGAAGGGAGGATCATACCAACTCAGTAGTACGGACTCGAAGACCGACGGTGCCAGTCCGCGAAGTGGATCACAGAATAGGAAGAGTCGCAACGACAGCGGCATGAAACGCTTCTTGCCCATGCTTTTGCAAGATAGAACGACACACTCGAACTCGGCTTCTGGGGTACCAGGTGGTCCACGCCGGTTGGACGGACGAATAGACGTTGAGATTACAGCCACGAGAGACAAATCCGAGAAAGAAAAAAAGTGGGAGACTGACAGCATAGGCAGCAATTCCAAGATCTTGAAAACTACAGTCGTCAGTGCTGAGTGGGAAGAGGCGCAACGTCAAAGCCGAGAGGCTTCGGTGGATGAGATCAAAGTACTGCGATGAGCTAGATCCTTGGCCTCTAGTAATGCAACGTTTTCTTGCTCATTCGTGCCATTCATCGTGCCTCTACACGTGTATTTCTACAAAATGTGTTTGCCGGAGAAACTCACGACATATCTTGCCATAAGCTGTGAGTAACCCAGGGGCTATGATGTCAGCACGAGGCGGGGTGGTACTGATTTCTTGTGTGGTTCAACATGTACCAGACGCTCATACTAGGCACTCTCCAGTGGCTTCCTCACCCAGTCCAGGGCTGTTTGTCTCGAGCACATGGCCACGGACACCGAGGGTACTTACAGCACAAAGTGCAATCAATTTCGGGCTGCCTTTTGCGTGCTAGTCGTAGTAGTGACAGGTACACGATAGACGGATGACACGGACCCGCTGCACGTATGCATACAGCGCTTGTTGCTGTCCAAGACCTTGTGCGCTGCTTGGGTGTTGTACCTCGTGCGATGTGGGACTACCTAGGGGTCTCAAGCGATACGGGGAATTGGGCAACAAAAAGCCAGAGGCTGCACACTTCCAGATGCAAGCAGGCCACTGGACATGCCTTCAAACTTTGCTGCACACGCGATGGATGTTGTCGCAGGTAGCCGAACGCTGTAGTGTTCACAAATGACGCTGCAACGTGCAGGTGGCGATGCAGCCGCAGAAATGTGGAAAGAACCGAGTCGAGAACCAGTCAGCGACCGTTTGCTCTTTGCGTGCATCCAGCCTTGCCCACGCACTGCTTTTCGATCTGATCTTCGGTGATCTAGATATGAACGCCTGCCTATCAGAGAAGTCGCCATGGTAAGCCGTTGGGCATGTCGGTGAATCTGAAAATGATCAAGTGATGCAGAAAGCCCACGTGGTCCAGAGTCTCTAAGCGCAGCAATCGTGTTCCACAGGGTCGCACCATCCCTTCATTCTCCTCCCCAACCACCTCACATCCAGGATATTGCCCTGGCTCGTCCTATAACCTGTCTGCGGGGAGCCCACTGATCTAACCAGAACGGACTGGCAGCCGTTTCTGTTGCCACGAAATCCATGTCTTCATCTTTATCAGCATACTGCCCGTTCAACGACGTTACTCTACCGCTGATTTCCGTGCGATGCGGATCTTACTATTGACATTTTCGTCATTCCGCTGATTCTGTAAAAGAAGCCATCGCGCCTTCACCCTTGTCAAGCATGAGCGAAGAAGCCCGCCGTTCGAATCGGGAGACCTTGCAGCTCGGACGAGCATGCAAACAGCTCCCCATGCATGGACAGTGGATTTTCAGGTGAAATTCAGAACGTAATCAGGCCGGAAAATCATCCATGGCTGCCACCTGGGAAGACATCGAAGCAAGGGGCAACGCTCCGATGCATGCCACCGCTTTGCGCAGCTCCCCCAAGCCCAGCTGTGGAACCGAAGAAGCGAATCAGTGCTCATCCTCGAGCTGTTCGTCAAGCTATGAATGCGGTGCAATATGTCGAGATGCCGCCGTCACTGCAGCGAGCCTACAAACGCTTCAGCTGCACAGCGTATTGTCTTAGCGGCTTGCTTGCTCAACGCTTCAGCATCGTCTACCGTTCTTGCCGGAACACATGGCTCACGTTACTTCCGAAGGGGATAAATATCAAGATTGACTTGCGTTGCATGTGTCCCCCGTATCACGATCTGACTTTCAGTGCCGTCGTTCCTTTCCTAAACTGCTGGCCAGCCCCCTTTCGGCTCCTGAAATTAAACTCGTTGACGTACCGTTTATCTGGCCTTGAGTCTTCCATACACCGCAGCTTTGTCTTTTGACGGTCCCTCAAAATGGAGAAACATGTCGAACTTCAGACCTTCAACAATGGCGAGCTACGGAATCGTCGGGACAAGGACTCGATCTCAGAGGTCAAGGGTGCCGAATTTGATCGTGACCGATATGAGCTGGCGAGAGTGGGCAAGGAGCAGGTCCTAAAGGTTTGTTACCATCTAACAAAATATACTTTTAGAGCTAATATTCGCAGCGTCGCTTCGGTCTGGTGTCTATGACGGGTCTTTCTTGTGGTTTGATGTGCACATGGGAAAGTCTTCTTGTGTAAGATAGGTCCTCAAGCTGATTTGACGTCTCTGACATGTACGCAGCATCTTCTTGACTGGCTTCCAAAAGTGAGTTGAACCTACCTAACACCACCCGGTAGCTTGCTGATCTCAACAGTGGCGGTCCCGCTGGTCTTATCTACGGGTTCATACTGATCTGGCTCGGCAACTTCTCGGTCTTCATTTGCATCGGTGAATTGGCGAGTGCCGTACCTACAGCCGGGGGTCAATACCACTGGGTGTCTTTGCTTGCACCACGTTCGAACAAGCGGTTCTTCAGCTACATTACAGGTACCTCACATTTTGGAACTTCCGTGTGCCTGAAGATTTTTCACTAACAAGCCCAGGCTGGCTGACCGTCATTGGCTGGATCGCAGCTCTAACATCAGTGTGCTTCTTTGTCTCGGATCTCGTTCTGCAACTGGCAACGCTGAATAATCCTGACACCTATGTACGGGAGAACTGGCATGCAACGCTGCTGTTGTGGGCTGTGCTGATGCTCTGTGTCTTCATCAATGTGTTCATCAGTGGTGCGCTGCCAACCATCGAAGTAGTCGTCTTGGTCATGCATGTCCTGGGGTTCTTTGGAATTCTAGTGCCACTGGTGTACCTTTCGCCGTATCACAATACTGCCAAAGCCGTCTTCACTACTTTCAACAACAAGGGTCAATGGCCCACACAAGCATTGGCCTTCTTCGTTGGACTACAAGGCAATGCATTGGCCTTTGTCGGAACAGACTCGGTTGTGCACGTGAGTCAAATCATCTTTGAAGTTCGGACTACCAATGACTCTTTTAGATGTCGGAAGAGGTCAAGAACGCCAGTACTGATGTCCCACGCTCAATGCTCATGAGTCTTGGCATCAACGGAACTCTCGCCATTGGACTACTTATCGCTGTCCTCTTCAGTGCGACTGGCCTGGACGCCCTGCTCAATGACTTGGAGTCACCTCTATCGCCCTTTATCCGAATCTTCCAGCAAGCTGTAGGCTCGAGAGCTGGTACTACCGTCATGGTAAGTATCATCATCGCTCTCGAGTTCTGTAGCGCAATGGGTTGCCTAGCTGCAGCATCTCGCATGACTTGGTCCTTTGCGCGTGACAAAGGTCTGCCTTTCTCTAAGGCCCTGAGCATTGTGAGTCCACATTACGTATTTGACGTCAGTCCGATTCTTATTCTTCATAGATCGACCAGCGCAGTACTATCCCTGTGGTGGCCATTTGCGTTGTCACAGTCTTCGCCGCCCTCCTCTCCCTCATCAACATCGGGAACAGTGCCGCCTTCAACGGAACCATCTCGCTCGTGCTCGAGGGCTTCTACCTCTCCTACTTGCTCGCTATCGGCTTGCTATTCTGGCGCCGTATCCGCGGCGACCTGGACAACCAGAACGATGAGCTCAATGTCTTCAACTCCTCGCCTTATCACCCTGAACGCTACGACCGCAGTCTCACGTGGGGTCCTTGGCGTCTCAAGGGCAAACTTGGTGTTGTGAACAACGCGGTAGCCATCTGCTACTTGCTGCTTATCATCTTCTTCAGCTTTTGGCCAACCCAGATCAATCCATCGGCGGAGATGATGAATTGGGCTGTCGTCGTCACTGGCGGTGTTGCGACGTTCTCAGTTGTGTACTATGTCATCTTTGCAAGGAAGAGCTACACGGGCCCTGTGGTCGATTCGGAAGCGATCGCGAAGTACGAGCAAGGTACCCTATAGGCCTGCGGAATATATGAGACTATCGGAACACTCAAAGAAGCCAACAGCTGGAGTCAGAGGGACTTAGAGCCCTTCCGGAATGGTTGCCACGGATCACAATTTCGTTTGCATTGTAGTTTTATTGGGTAAAATGGTGGCGCACGTTTCGTTCCGCTGACCATAGATTGACACATCGCTATGTAGTATGACAATGAACTCATGACTTAAAGCGCAATCTGACTTCGACTGGCCTCGATGAGCTTGAGTGGACCATCAAATCGTCGTCAATTTGTGTTCCACACAAGTACTGAGTCAAACAGTCCGAATGTCAAGACAATCTACTTCGCGAAGCTTAAAGCCCCTGATGAGATCGGATCTTCTTAGGGCAAGCAATGCCTTCCTGTCGAGTCATGAGGCCGTCTGCGCGCTTTGAATATCTACTGGGACATCAAGTTCGTAAAGCACTTTCGCTGGGTTAATGTCCATCCAATTCTTTAATAGCTTATCATTAGATAACGTAGGCATTCCCATCATGCTAGCTGAGTTCGCCCTTATGCCTTCCACATTATCCCTCCGTCTTGGCGATCCAGTCTTTGATAACGAGCACGTTGTGTGGAACCAAGCCATCCAGATCCTGTCGAGAGTCCTCAAGTACTTTCATGCACCGCTGCAGGAGGTTACTGTAGATCTTGAAGACAGTTGCGGTATCTGTCACCGTGCCTCTCGGGAAGTAATGTCTAAAGCGCACGTACGGTACTGGAGTTTATGTGGCTTTGTAGTCTAGGAATGATCGGAATACGCCCTCCAGCTCTGGCTTATGATGGATCTGCATACGCTTGCGATATCTGCTACAGCCTGCATCCTTCGTGCAATTGTACATCACGAAGTGCGGCACAGCGGTCGAGCGCAGGAAATTCCAAGCCGCATCTAGATCTTCGCGATCGAGCGGCTCGTCAAAAATGAGGCTCTACAGCCACCCACAAATGGTAAATATATATAATATTGTGGTGTAGTAGTAATTGAAGTATGGCGATTAATTTGTACTATCTGAATTTACTTGGCAGTCTGACGCTGCGGCCGCGTGACGTCGTGACAGGTGGTTGGCTTGAGGAGGCCTCCTGGGCTTGAGCACCACCCACGGCATCCACCACACGTTTTTGACGCTTGCTCTTTTGTGTAGATAGTAATGAGGCTCTCTTCTTGCCTGTTTGAGATAACTGTATAGGTTTGGCAGCGTTGTGGGCGTCTTTCTGACGTTGTTTTTCAGCTGCCTGTTCAGCTCTCTCCTTCTCCTGCACCTTCTTCCTCTCCTCTCGCGCCACACGCCTCTCCTCCTTCTCTCCCTCCCGTGCCTGCTTCTTCTTATCGCGTGCTTGCCGCTGCTCTACTTTTGCAAGCTCTTCTCTTTCCTCCTGTTGTTGTTGTAGCTTATAACGCTCCTCTGCCTCACGTCGCTTGGTAGGTGACCAGAAAGTCACTTCACTCTAATATTCCTGCTCCCGCTGCAGAGGCAGTACTTTAGGCTTCTTGTTGTGCTTGTTCTTGGTCTTTACAGCCTCCTTAAGGCCCTGCAGCTCATGGTGTATAAGCTGATTCTGCACTAATAGATACTGGAGAGTCCAATGAAGCTTCTGGGTCTCTCTACTATCGTTGTCCTTTACTGCAGCCTTGATAAGACTCTGGATTTTGACCTAGTCGTCACCGCTATACACAGAAGTAGACGAATCAGAGCTCTCAGCTGCCTCAGGGGTTCCGTGGGTGAAGCGATCAAGTACTTGGCTACTATCAGATGGGCATATCCTAGTAACTCTAAAGGAGCTCAATACAGTACTCTCTGTAAAGCTCTTCACCTCCTAACAACACTGTAGATAGTGTAGAGAGGGTGGACACAACGCGCAAATATGTAAGAATAATGTAGAAGAGGTCTCTAAGTAATATTACAGCTTAGTTTGCCTTGTGCAGCGCTAGTTTGTGGTGTTTTGGGCCATAATAGGGTTTGATAGGGGTGGGTCTTGGCAAAAGTAGGCGACTCGCCGTAGTGGGCAACTTGCCCTACACCTACATTAACATATTAAACTACTATTTGCAGGCCTGAATTTGGGTGTTATAGGCCAAAATGGGGTCAGGCTTTGGTGTGGCCTTGGCAGAGTGACCGGCATACCCGTGTGACCGGCATACCCGTGTGACCGGCATACCCGTGTGACCGGCATACCCGTGAAGTACGTTACCTAAACAGGACTTTAGAGCATACCCATCCGCCAGCCTAGGCAGAAAAAGAGGCAGAAAAAGAGCGCAAGAAACAAGAGCGCAACGCAGCAAAAGCTACACAGTTACCACAATTAGGTAAGCGCAAAGCATCAAATAAGACCCAGAAGAAGCCTCAGAAGCCTCAGAGGCGTGCTGCGGGTGCGCGGAGTGGTGTTCTAGTAGAGGTGCCTGCACCTGCACCTCGCACTCACACCACCTGCAGCGGTCGCGTCGTCATACAAAAGTATTGATTTGAAACTGAGAACATTGTCGCATAGGTATATATATGTCTCTACTAAAAAAAAAACTACTTATTGATTACTACTGTTGGTGGCTCTACAGCGTAATTTTTGTGGTGTTGAGATGTGCCGAATTCGTGCATTGACCCGGTGCGTGCGTTGACCCGGTGGACACGGTACCGTGTCCGCCGGGCTCGTGCACGGCTCGGGCTCGTGCACGAATTTCAGACATCTCAAACTCACAAAAAAGATTGTATAAGTTAACGTACTCTATCACCAAGCTGGTCATATCACCAAACTAGTCACTTAAAATCCCACCAAAAAACACAGAAACTATACCCCTGCATCTCAATAACTACTTAATAGAATCTTCTAAAAACTTTAGAATAGAGCTACATCTATACTAATAAGACTGTTTAAAAGTCTTAGAGTGCTTAGCCCTATATTATAGATATTGTTTAGAAGATACTAAAATACAGGGGTAGCTATAGGCTATCTTAACATCTATACTAGCTATTAGTCTAAGACTTTTAAATAGTTTTATTAGTATAGATATAGCTCTACTCTAAAGTTTTTAGAAGATTCTATTAAGTAGTTATTAAGATGTAGGGGTATAGTTTCTGTGTTTTTTAGTAGGATTTTAAGTGACTAGTTTAGTGATATGACTAGCTCAGTGATAGAGTACGTTAACAACAAGCATTAATTATATAGCTAAAATTAATTCTAAGTATCTACAAACTTATGTGGTGATATTGCAAGCTCTATTAATAATTCTAAGTTGCGGTGCAGCCACTGCAGGTGGTGTGAGTACGAGGTGCAGGTGCTGGCTCCTCTACAACAACACCACGCCTAGCACCCACACAAAGCCTCTGTTGCTTCTAAGGCTTCTTCTATGTCTTTTTTAATGTTGCGCGCTTACCTAATTAGGATAATTGTATAGCTTTTACTGCGTTGTGTTCTTAATTAAGACGCTCTTTCTTAGCAGCCTCTGCCTCTCTCTTTGCCTGCAACGTCTTAAGGCGATTCTTGTACGCAACAGAGTGTCTCTCTTTCTCTAACTTGTTCTAAAGGGCAGTTTGCGCTTATTACTCCTTCCTATAATACTTAGTAATTGTTTCTTTAAGTTGTTATTATTTATTGTTATAAGCTTCTTGTTAGGCTTTGCATACTTTACAAGGACTGTAGAGCGTAGCGTTAGACTTGTACTTCTTATCCTGCTACAAGTTAAGAGTCCTCTGTTTCTTTTTTAAGGGGTTTAAGCATGTTATTGTACTACAGAGTCTGTTGTTTTTAGTCTCTAGAAGCATGTTTTAAGTAGAGATGTGGTGGAGAGTCTGCCTTAATTACTTTGCTACCTTAGAGTTATCCTCCACCACAACAGACTTAAAGAGCTAGTTAATTAATTGCTAATTGTTACTAGCAATAGCTAGAGGTGTACTTAGCTCACTGTTGCCTTGTTGCTTAAATTGCTTAAGTATAATGCTTAGATTCTGCAGAAAGATGCCTGTGTTGACAAAGGAGCTAACGTGTTTCACAAGCGAGCGCCGCACCCAACCGAGCGCCGCACTTTCAACAACAGAACGCCTGCGCAGCGCTATATCACAACACAACACGAATAAATAATTGTTTGCAGGCCTAGATAGTATTATTTAGAAGCTTTACTATCATCTGCGTCCTCTATTTCTACCTTGCAAGTGCAGGAATTGTGTCTAATCTCACTGCAACGCCCACAGCGTTGTCTAACGCGCACCCTCTTTGCAGGCGTCTTGCCCTCACCACAACCCCCACCCTCCTTTTTAGCAATTAAGTTAGCTACTTTGCTAACTGTAAGGGTCTCCTCTGTGCGTATATATTGTTGCTTACAGGTCTTGCGCTTTGTAGACGCTTCTACAGCGTCTTAAAGGTGGCCTATTTCCTCCTGCATTAACACTATATTATGAGCTATCTGCTGAGCGCCCTTTGCTAACTGTTTGACCTGCTCATCTAACGAACTTGCTAGAGACCCTTGATGGATTTGAATCTGCTTTTGAATTAGAGTTGACTGCTCCTCTACTTTGTGAGCAGTGCGTGGTGTCTTTGGCTCCCAGGCGACGTTGCTGGGTTTTGGTGGCGTTGGCGTGCGCAGGCGCACATCAAGCTTTGATAACACCACCTCTGGGTTGTGTGGGACTAGCCTAGCACCTCTAAAGCCTGCGCGAACGTTCTCTCTAGTGAACGCCTTACTAAACGCTGATTTAAAGGCTGGCAGGAAGGTTTCCTTGTTGATATGGTGGATGCGACTGCGTGCCAAGGCCGAAACCTTGTTGCCATACAGGCGCTTTAGTGGCGAGAAGCAGGCGACGTCAAGTGGCTGCAACAGGTGCGACGAGTGCGGGGGCATACAGAGAGTGATTATCTTCTTCTCTCTGCAGAGATCTTGGAAAGCCACTGAGCAGTGGCTCTCATGGCCGTCAATAATAAGTAGCTGGTAGACCCCAACTGGCTTCGCATGCGTATCGAAGTGGTGGAGCCAGGCAAGTGCTAGATTATTGTTAGTCTAGCCAGTAGGACTAACATCAATAACCTAGTCCTGTGGGAGGTCCTTAGTAAACCAGTTAGAGATGAGAACCTTGCCTGCAAGGATAAGGAATGGTGGGATAACCTTCCCTGTTGACCCAACGCCTTGTACCAGGGTAACCCACTCACGATTGCCAGGTTGGATCTTCTTCCGCTTCCCAGGCTTCTCTGAGCCTGTTACTACCAGCTGCGACAATATCTTGCCTATTAGGAAGCTAGACTTATCAAAGTTGTACACATCCTTGTCTATAATACCATACTTCGCCTTCATGGACTGAACAAGCGTGAACCAGGGCTGGATAACTGCTGGGTCCTCGCAGGCAGCCCGCTGGCGATCGTATGGGCGGGTCCACCGCTTCTGGAGCTCTGGTGTACGCTTTACCAAGTTGTCAACCCAGTTCTTGCCAACAGGCTTTGCGCCGCGCTCTCTTAGCAGTTTATCTGCCATATCTTGTACGTCTGCCTTTGAGGAGGGTAGGCCACGCGCAGATTCCTCAAGTATACGTAGTACAACTGCCTCCTCTTCTAGCTTTGTAAGGTGCTTTGCATTCAGCTCGCAGTTGCGTTAAGAGCGTGTTCTGTCGCGTTAGTGTTAGATTATTTGTTTAGGCACTTTGTAGACTTTCTCAGCGCGTTAGATACTTTAAATTTAGTTTCTTAAGATATTAGATATAGCAAGCTGTACATCAGCTTCAGTATAGAGTGTAGGAGCTTGTTGTGGTTGAGACATTACGCGCTGTTGTTGCGCCGGCGTTCTGGCAGCGAGAGTGCGGCGCTCGGTTGGGTGCGGCGCTCGCTTGTGAAACACGTTAAGTACCGAGGCGGACGGCGTAACCATCGGGACGGCGTAACCATCGATCCGATGACCAAAATCAATGCAGCACCCCACTTTCAACACGCGATATCTCTATCAATATGAGCCCAATTG